GAAAAGGAGGGCAGTGTTCTTACCAGAAACTGACCTACCCTTGACCCTAGAAAGGGAGGTTGCTGGGCAGAGACCAGGACAGGCCTACCCTTTCAGGACTGATAGCATTTTGCAGCTCCTGGCCCTCTGCAGCCTGGTCTCCATGAACTATAGGCACAGAGTGTTTTGAATTTGGTATTGAGTCTGTTGCCTTTGTTGTTATTATAATTTTTTCGTAAAACAAGAAAGAACAAAGTAATGGAAATATAGGACTAAGCCACCTGCTCAGCAGGTGGATGGGTGAGGGTCAGGTAGAGGCCACAATTGCCTCTGCATCCAGCCAGAACTGGGAAGATGGGTCATCAACAGAAGCCAAGCACATCAAATGCACACTCTCCAAATCACAGGACCAGTGAATATGAAGTGCTTCTGGTCATAGGGGAAGCAGGGAGCCGGACTAAGGGCTGAGCATGCGGTCTGCGCTGTTCCCTGAAGCGAGCCGTGACAGGTGCAAGCAGAAAGACAAAGCCTGGAGTACAGAGTGTGGTCAGGGTTAGGGGCAGCACGGGCAATATTGGTGAAGGCAGTATGGGGTGAACAGGTGAAGATGAGCACAGATGGCACACAACAGACGGTAACAACATGGTGGGTGAGGATGAACGGCCGTGAAGGGAGTTTGGCTATGGTACCCATGACTCTTGAGAAGGCCCACAGCCTACAACCTGGGGGACACAGGACAACCTCAGAGGGTCTTTGGCAGTTGTGTTCATGCTGTCAGTGTGGCTGGGTGGGGTGCATCATCTACACCATGAATATCAGACCAAGTCTCCCACTTGTCCTTTCTCCCCAGGCCCTTCACAGTAAACCAATGCACCCCTCAGATATTGGCTCTTTTGACTCCTCAAGAAGGCCTTCTACCCCTGACCAGGCCAGGCCTCTCTGGGACAGGCAAACTTACCTCTTTGTGGCTAGCTTTGGTTGTATCCCAACCCTTGGCTGTTTAACTGACTAATGTGACCTGTATCCTGTGTACCTGGCATAGTGCTGATAGAATACCTGGATGGATGTGACCATATTCTGGCCAAAGAACCACAGAGAAGGGCAAGGCCTCTGACCTCTGAGGTACTTCCTTGAAGTGGCATTCTGAAGTGACAGAGTAAGACAGGCAGAGGGTCTTAGTTCAACAGAGCTGCTACATATCCCAATGGCTAGCTAAGCCAGACAAAGTGAAGGACCAAACCATCCTGGAACAACCCTGCTAACCTAGGCCCTCCTCTAAGGTACCTCCAAGTAAGAAAACACATTCAGATGGAATCACTCAGGTCAGCCTGGCACAGGGACTTCCTTGTATTAGCTTCATGTCTGGCCTCGGTATAAGAGACTCAGAGCTTGCAGTCTTTTCAGCTTTGCCCCAACTAGTGTGAGTCTTAGATGCGTGTCTCCCCTCAGTTGATTTCCTCTCAGAGATACAAAGACACAACCAAGCCTGCAATGTGGCTGTCAAGATGGAGATATGCTACAATCCTGCAGGCACCTGCTTGAAATCTGGCACATAGTAAACACAGTGCTTGTGGAGGGGCCTAATTACTTACATACATACATGCACATACACATACACTTGCACACCAACACTGCATGTAGGAGAGGGACAAAGGTTTCTTTTAAACATCTCCTTACCCTCTGTTTGACATGTGTAAATAACAATCACTGGGAGTCCCTTAAAGGTCACACCACTCTCCTCATGTCACTTTTTTCTTCTAGACAGCTTCCTAGTCCTGACTAGAGGTTTCAACATGAAGTATTTCAGCACTGTGGATCAATTCCAAGAGACTGATGAAAGGCAGAAATTAATTAGGTGGGAAGGACAACCTTCTCTGGCTTATCTCTTCTCTCAGCTTGGCCAGAGGGCCCCTCCTGACTGTCATGAGAAGGGCTGGCAATGAAAGTTGGCTGTGGTGGTCTCGAGATGACCTAAGGGGTTAATTCTAAAGGCTTTCACCGAGCTGTGGAGGGGCTGCAGGAAGCTTCCAACCCTAGCAGAGAACCTGGATCCTATGAAGCAGCTATTACCAAATGTCAAGTTACCTATAAATACATGGAACCATTTTTCTAAATCTTTACTATACCTTACATCAAATCAGTTGAATCCAGCTGATTTCTGCTTTTGAATCAAAAGAGTACCAAAGTGGGGAGGCAGCCTTAATGGTGTCTCCTAACTACACTCAAAGCCAGTCCTGATGCTTGGTTCCCTTTTCCCGCTGGTGGCAAATTAATTAGCCTAAGAAGCCTCCAGGAGGCAGGAGACTGGAACTCAGGAAGCCCAATGCCCAGGCCCATGCAGAACTGCTGTTTCAGATGACAGTGCCTAACCTTTTTTGAAGTCATACCACTGGCTGGAGAGGTAGGGTGCAAAATAAGGGTGAAGAGTTCTAGAGCCCAGGCTCTTCCTTCTATGTGATTCTACCCAGTTCTCATCCCAACATCACTAAGAACCTGGACAAGAGTAAACAAGTACTTTTGTTTAATACCCATGAGGCAAATATACTCCATTTTATAAGGGAAAACTAGCTCAGAGAAATGCAGGCCCTTGTCCAAGGTTGCTAAGCATGTAAGCAATGGAACTAGGATTGGAAGCCAGATGTCTTGACTCCAGGTCAGACATCTGCTCTGTCCTTGCCTTCCTGTCTGAACTCAAGCAGTTCTCTGAACCCAGTAGTATCAGGAGTAGAAGCACCCATCACTCTCCTTGCAGGAGGAGGGCTTGGGCTTGGCTATGAATTGCAATGAGTGCTAATGCCCTTGTTCTTTCAGGGAGAACCTGAAGCTGTGTTCAGACTGAGGAGCTAAGTGGAAAGCATGAGCCATATATTTTCCTCCCAGAGCCAGCCAGGTCAGGAAGCAGGAATGGGCACTGTGGTCTCTTGAGGTTGCGAAATCCCCTGACACAGCAGTTTGCTGTTTCTGCCTAAAGTCTGGGCCTTTCCCTAAGAACTAGTGAAGCTGGTGAATGGCCACTGTGGCATTTGAAAATCACAGCTATTTTAGGGCTCTGAATATTTTTCTGTTACAGACATTGTTTTCTCTTAGAGGTGAGGGAGAAAAGCACTGTGCTGCTCCACATACTGGGGTGGGACTGGGCAAAAATGGGCGATGAAATACCAATGGTTCCACACTGCTGATAGGAATCACTTTGAAACCACTGAAAGCATATTTGAATTTATTTATATGGCTCCATCTGCAAGCTTATAGAACCAATAGTTATGTTGGCATCCTGAATGTGTCATGCCTAGTGCCTACTTGCCTTCCCAACTCTATGCACACTTATGTACCTGCATGGGGCAGCTAGGTAGTTGGTGCCAGGTGGTGACATGTTTCCTCTTCTGAGATGCTCCTGCCTCCTTTCTTCCCTGATTCTAGAGGTGCTCCTAGCTGTATGCACTGAAAGCCAAGCAGCCAAGCCCTATGATGCCTGTGGCCTGAGCTGGGTGGGAAGATGCACAGCTGGTGCAGGAACTTTCTACCCAAGAACACAGGAGTGGAGCCACATGGCATGTTCTCTTTCCTGAAAACTTTGGCATGGTGCTAAATCCTCACAGGAAGTACCTGGCAGACACTAACTCCCAGAGCAAGGATTTATTGCTAATGCAGTTTCTCAATATTCTCAAGAGCAAAAGATTGGAACAGGGTGGTTTCCTGGGCTAACATGAGTTAATTAAGAAGGAGAGGATCTTACTTAAGGAATTTCCACAGAACTGAAGACTGGAGTAACAGGCAGCAAGCTCAACACTCCAGGGAGGGCAAGGAGGTGCCAATGCTTGGACAGGGTAAGGACACAATCCCATTGAGAGAAGTCAGAGACATGCAGCACACACACAGATACACTGCTTCTCTCTCAACACACATGCTACAGAGCCAAATCCAGGAAGGGACGCTGCAAGTCTTCTGTTCTCTCAGGAGATGACCAAATCCCACCCTTGGAGAAGCTAAGCCTTGGCCATCTTGTCATCTCTCACCAGTGCTTCTGATGATCTCTTGGCTCAGCAAGCTGGGGCATATGCCCATGTTCTCCAGGAACCTGTACACACTGGACAGGGCCTCAGCAGGGCACTGGAGCCAAGGCAGTATGCCTTCCTGGCTCCCCTCCACCCAGAGCTGAACTGGACCTCAACTTCAAGGCTATTGTGGTGCCCAGAAGGCCCATCCTTCCTCTGAGGAACTGCTCTACAAAGGCTACCTGGCAGGAGGCAAAGCCCTGGGTCCAATCCTACCCACCTAGGGGTTTCCCATCACCTTGGGGAAAGTAGAGCAAGGCCTGTTTTCCCACAGCCTGGATAAGATGAGCCACACTGGAGTGAGGGCCTAGGTATCTTTCAGCATTGTCACTATCTTCTCAGGGGTTCACTTTAATGGTTCTCTAAATTCACCAGTTTGGTTTATCCCATCTTGTCACTGTAAAGGTGAGGAGAACATGAAGAAATAAAGCTACATGCAAGCATGCAAGCCTCCTAAGGTTAGTAAGAAATGTGATTGAATAGTCGCCACCTGCCCCATTCCACATGGGATGGCCTTGCACATGATCCCAGGTGACCTCCATCAACATCCTGTCTGAATACCCCAGGGTGAAAGATTTAATTAGTCATCACCTTCCTGTGATGGTCAGGACAGAGATATAACATGCTACTGAATGGTGCAGGCCTCACCAAAGACATGTCTTCCAAAGCACACTCATTTTGCAACTGAGAAAATGCAGGTTCAAACAAGTGAGGCACTTAAGTCCAACCTGACCCTTACACTGGCTCCCAGGTGGGCAAGCTAGCAGGTGGCGACCCTGAGCATGTCTTGGAAGCACAAGAATCACCGTGAGTCCATGAAGTTAATGAACAGCCGCAACATTGCCCGTGTCACCCCAGACCCAACACCCACCCTCACCAAAACAAAGCGACAAAATAAAGTCGCTTGAGCACCCTCCCCATGATTGGCGTGCCGCCCTGGGCTGGCAGTAGGGAGAACAGGGACTATACCGTCCGGCGTCGCCTGCTGGTGGGGTTTTTTACATTTGACGTAATCGTGGTCAATCGGAGTGGCTGTGTAAGGTGGGGATGTCAGACCTGGGCCAGAGGAGGAGGGGAGGGAGGCTCCGGGGCCCGGCAGTGTCCCAGCTGAAGAGTGGGAGTCCTCATCCACCAGGCAGGCCTTCTCCCTGTGGGGACAGAGGGTTGGGGCACAGGTTAGAGCCTCCATATCACAGTGAAATGGACATGTGCCACTGTGGGTCAGTATCCTTCCCAGAGTATGCTGCTCTCATGTAAAGCTGTTTTGACAGCACCCGGACAGCTCAAGCCCCTAAATGGATGGCGGCTCAAACTTTTTGGCCCAGACTCTGAGGCATCTCTGGATCTCAGGGCCCAGTAGTCTCTTTAGGGAAGCTGACAAGCCTCTCCTCAGAAGCACCCAACACCCCTTCATACCAAGTCAGTGCACTTCTATGTGACAACCCAACAGATCTAATCCCTGACAAGTGGGTGGACAGAAATACATCTGTATTATTATAGGCTCACACTCATACAAGTACATCTACTGCAACATGGATAAAAAAAAAAAGTAGAAACACCTTCCATATAACCTTGGAATGGTTACATAAAACCAGGCATATCTGTACTATGCAATAATAAATATGGAATAGAAAGAATGTGGTGAGGGGCTGGGGTTGTGGCTCATTGGTAGCGTGCTCGCCTCACACATGCGAGACCCTGGGTTTGATCCTCAGTACCACATAAAAATAAATAAGTGAAATAAAGGTATTGTGTCCAACTACAACTAAAAAAATATATATTAAAAAAAAAAAAGAAAGAATGTGGTGAAAAGGTTATCATCTTTACAGACTGTGGCCAAGGCCCATCGTTGAGGGAAAAAGCAAACTCTGGAGCAACACCTTCAATAACTTATTTTTATGAGATAAAGAAAACCCTTAACTCTATGTGTGAACATAAGCATGTACAAATTACAGAAAATGATTTGAGAAATTAAACTATGAATAGTGTCTAACTCTATTTATATGTACCTAAATTTCTTATAACTAGAATATGGTCAGTCACATTTTATTTGTATAATTAAAAAACTATTATAACAGAATTATGGTCAATGAAAGACAACTTCATTATACCCTGGGGGTTCTTTATATTTATGTAATTTCTGAGAACACTGAACCTACCCAAGTAACACACCACCTGGGTGCTTATCTTTTCAATAAGCTGAAGGATACTGCCTCTGTGGACTATTTGTAGCAAATTCTCTCTGTCATGTGTCTACCTGTGGCCATGAACATAAGGCCCTCAGGGACTGGACCTGGGAGCAGGGCTCAGGCAGGGGCCCCAGAGATGGAGTGAGTTAAGAGAAGTACCAGGGTGGGACACTGGACCACGCCAGGGCACCAGCTTCCTTGAGCTCTCTGACACTGCAGGAAGAACCCATGCCTCTAATGGCCCTCACTGTTTCTGAGAACAGGCAGTACACCAGGCCTCAGAGGTAACCCATCCTTGGGAGGACCCCAGAAAAGGATAGGGGGTGGGGTAGGCATCTACAAAGTGAAAACTGGCCTTCTACAATGCTCTGCATAAAACAGAGCTGTACTTCAGTGGAGTGAAAGGGAAGGTACCGGCTTCACTTTAGGACATGCACCCAAGGGTGGGGTGACACCAGGTGTCATGGCCACAGGATGAGGAGCTGAGGACTACACACTCACCTTCTCCCTCACATTCAACAGGATGATCTTGGCCCAGCAATTAGAGTTTCCAGGCAGGTTCCAGAGACTCTGAGTTCCAGTTTACCCAGTAGCCATATTCTGAAGACTATACTGCAGTAAATGAGGCATGTGGGATTACCACAAGCATGCTACTCACTTCTCTGAAGCTTTGGGTGTATTCTTCTCCTCACCCCTGGCAAAGGGTCCTTCTGCAGCTTCCTTCATAAAGTTGACCAGGACCTCTGCACCAACCCCAGAATCGGGTTTTCCCAGGAGCTTCAGGATGGAAGCATGGAGCCGGAAGTACACCTAGAACAACACTTCTGGTGTAAGCAGCCTTCCCAGTGCTATAACCTTAGCTAGCAGCCACACTGGAAGTGGGTCCCTGCCTGTGATGACAGGCCACCACACACTCCCCTGTTTTGGTTACCTTTTAAGCCAGCCAAATCCATAACTAATTCAAAATTTAAAATTAAATGAATTAAAAAATTAAAATGAATACTGTCAGCATTTCAGCTTAAATGTTTACCTAGTAATCCAGGCTTGTGGCGGTGAGATAAGAGTAAGGACCTTGGCTCCATTCACTGGGCACTGCCTCCTACTGTGATGCCACTGATCCTTTGTGCCCCTTTCCTGGCACCCACAGAAACTGAGACTATATATCTGTCTTTACAATGAACTAGGCATGCCCTAAGGCAAAGACTAGGTAGGATTTCCTATCTGTAATCCAGCCCCAGGGAAGAGCAAGGTCTTCATAGGTCTCAAGAACCTTTGCCTGTAGGATTCAGGACAGGTAAACAGGCAGAACAATGAATCAGATAAGGTTCTGTGCTTTCTACTACATTCCTTAATTTACAAATAGGTGAAGTCAGTTGCCTAAAGTCCCACAGCTAGGAAAGCTCAAAGCCAGGTAAAACCCAGGTCTGTCCTGTCTTCTGCCCTCTGCTGCTCCTACATAAATGATATACCACAAGCAGACACACCTCCACAGTCAGCTTGATAATGTGGGTATAATGTAGCTCCTGCCTGTAGTACAGATAGCATATCTATAGCATGGATATCCCAGGGCCTGAGAACTGCTGGCACCTCAGACCCTGACTAGCAGGCTTCTGCATATATCAAAGATGGTTTTCACTTAGGTGACAAGCGTCTGCTGGTCCAGGCCCTGGTAGCATTTTCAAGGGGGCATACCAGACAGAGAGGGCTCACACCCAGAGTGCTCCACTTCTAGCCTATGGATTCTAGAGAAATTGGCTCAGCAACTCCATTTTTAATTGTAGGAAACCATCCATAAATATCCAGGTGGCCAAACTTGGAGGAGGGCAAAGTGTTTAAGAGGCAAGTAAAGTTTTTGAATCAAGGTTCCACATCAGAGGGACCAAGGCATTTCATTTTCAACAGAGCAGGGTTAAGTTCTTCACAGAAATGTCATTTATAAAACAAGATATACACATGCATCAACTGATTCAAAGTTACAGATACATTGGAATGCCCCTGGAATGAACTCTGCACCTGCAATCCTTCAAGCCAGCCCAGTGTACTGGAGAAGGGTGATCCATATAACTGGGGCCTTAATTCCTCATTTGGAAGTCCCTGGGCCCCCTGAGGCCATCATCCTGCTTGGTCACTGGCTCTACTAGACAGAAGCAGAGTCCAAAACTCAAAAGAAAAAACCATGGAGAGTTGATATCATCTTTGTGAAATCCAAGTCACTTTCCCCCACCCTCCACCTCCACTCTAGCCAGGGTCAGTTCTGCCCAGAGGTGTCACATATCAGTTAGAGGCCCGGTGGGATCTGGCCCAGCTCCCTTTCTCTCCTGCTGGTAATTTAGGGTGAGTCACATTTCTTCCCTGGACCTCAGCCTTCTCCTCTGCAAAGTTATAGTTCCTCCAAAGCACTCAGTGCCTAGTAGATCGTGTGAAAGTACAGTGAAGAGGGAAGGAGTTGGCCACTGCTGAAAAAGCATTCAATAGGAAGCTTTACTCTCTATACTTAAGAATATCTGGCCTCCTAATAGCCACTATATAAACACTTCACAGCAACTTTTAAAAATTAAGATTTTTTTTTTTTGTCTGCTCACAGGATTAGCAATTGTGTAAAAAGCAAGTTCTAGCATGACTGGGGAGAAAAACAAGTTCATCAATCAGTATAACCTGTCAGGGTAACTGGACACTGTTGCTCAAAATGTTAAAAGACCCAGCAATTCCACCTTTGAACTTTAGCCCTTGGAAATATTCATTAAGTGCTCTCTGATACAAGTACAGGAACATGTCCTAAGAAGTGGAGGGGAAGCCAAACCCATTAAGAAGGCACTGCATAGATAAACAAATGCCCAGCCCAACCATGGGGCACTAGAACAGGCAGGGAAGCTCACCATACCTTCAACTACATCTTGTCCAAAGAACTCAGAAAATGTTATTAAGTATCTACCTACATATTGATTAAAAAAAAATAGGACATACAGGGACATGCCCAAACTGTTAATAGGGATTATTAAAATGGGGCAGGTGTTAATATCACTGGGGACTTTCATGTTTTATATACTTGTGAATTGTCTGATTCCCTTTAAAAAGAAAATAAAAACATGACTACATGTTAATTTTATCATGGGGGGAAAAACACATGAAGGTAGAAAAAGGATTAGTAAGCAGTAAATTCTACCTTAATTCTAAAAAACTTGCTGGGCATGTTAGCAGTCTCAGGAAGGGCAAAGCTAACATGTTCAGGGGAAGTTTGAATCCTGGGTTAAGCCAAGCATGTCTGGATCTCCACCCACATCTTTGGTTTCCTCCCCTACAAAATGCACTGGTCACAGCTGCCTGGCCTGCCCCTCAAGACTACCTACCATGAGCAACAGTAAGAGCATTCATCAGAGGTACACTGGAAATCAAAAAAGAAAATCCCAGCAGTTCAAAAACAAAAACTGCTTTTCTCTTGAGAAGCAGTGAGAAAAAAAACAAATCTGGGGTAAAGAGCAGACTGTTCACTCTGGTTCAACTTTGCCAAGCTGGGTATCCCAGACATAGGCTGGGACCTCACTGGGCCTTGGATGTCTCATATGCACCTGGAAGACAGAGTGTCTGTACTCCCCCTGCCGGGCTATACTCCCCCTTGGCACCAGAAGACATTGAACTTTACTGTCATCACCAAGGTCAAGCTCTTCAAACCTGTGGGTGCTAATGAGAAAGGATTTTTTTTTTTCCCTGAGAGATGAGAACAATCGCACGTTCTTCCAGAAAGGATGGTAAGCACCCTTAGAAAAAGAGAAGAAAGGCTGCTTTAATTTAATTGCACATAAAACTGCTGAACACAGAGAAGTTTCCAGTGGGTTTGCAGGAGAGTCACTGAGATTGTGAGCCCCATCCCCAAGGAGACAGAGAGACCAGCCCATCCCTGCCCTGACTCCCAACCCTGAGCCAACATGGTGTCACCTCCAGGGCCTCCATGGCCAGCTCAGGTGGGTTGTGGTAGTGGATCTTCTTGGGGTAGCGGGCAGCCTCCTCATGCAGATAGTGGCTAGCCTGCCTATAGTGCAGCAGATAGACGGCTGGTGACTGCTGCTGCTTCTCAGCCACCTTGCCTAGCATATAGTGGATCAGCCATTCCTCTTCATCACCATCGCCCTCACAGTGAGCTGCCGATGTAAAACAGTGCCTGGCTGTCTCCAGCATGCTGTCTCTCCGGCCCTCCATCTGTAACAAGTCCCAAGAGCATAGGCCTTAGGCACAAGGATTGAACCTACCCTGGAATCATGCTTTTTCCAATATTAATTCAGTTGATTTGTTGACAAAATTTATATTCCTCTCAACAACCCTGAGACCAGACTGTTGTCAGCATTTCCCAGCTGATGACAATGAGACATGAAGAGTCTTGGGGATTCCTCACAAGTACACATAAAGTAAGGTGCAGAACTGGACTTAAATTAAGGGTGCCTCTCACCAGTGTAAGGTCCTTTCTTATGCCCTCCCGCTGCAGCTCTTAACAGTTTATGAATTTGTGAAGTATCCACTGACTCCCTCTAAGGTTCCTATCTATGATCTATGTGGCTGCAGTAAGGACTTGAACCTGCAAAGGGGAAAGAGTAGAGGGCTGGGGCTGCTATCACCAGAGGGAAGAACCAGGCCAATGGCAATTGTGGCATGTCACTGACAGTCTCAGAATGTTGGGCACAATGACAAAAGCTCATCCTCCAGGGCAGAGGGGCTTTCAGAGGATTTCAGTGGCACAACTGTGGGCTGAGACTCTCATTCAGTCCTCCAACAATCCCATGATAGTGTTAACAATGCCATCATCTTTTTTTGAATTTTGATTAAAGATGAACACTACAGAACTTAAGGCTTAGCAACATCTATCCAACCAGCAGTTCTCTTTCAGCACACTGCTTTCCTGGGAGACCTTTTTGGGCCAGGGTACCTAACTTCTGTACTAGTCTAAACATGTCAGTTTGAGGGCTGGGGATGCAGTTCAGTGGTAGAGTATCTGCTTACCATGTGTAAGGCCCCAAGTTTGATACCCAGCATCACCAAAACACCAAAACCAAAACCAAAAGTCAGTATGGTTCCTTTGCTTCCTTTTCAAGGAGGCCAGGGTTACCTGCTGAACAGAGACCTCAGGCTAGACCCAGCATCTCCCACTAAGGGTGCTCCTTACCAAAAGAGACTTAAAAAATCCCAACACATGGTCAAGAATTTTATAAGGACCCAACAAATTCCTTTGAGGAAAAAGGGAAGAGATACTTTCCTTCAGTTGGCTACCACCTCTTGCCCTACCAATTAACTACTCTCAAACTGATGACTGACAAGTCAGGTCACAATAGTCTGTCCCTGAACTTGCCTGCACTGGATTGGGTGTCTAAAAACCAAGGGGACAAGTTATCATTATGTATGGTATGGCTTGAGCCTCCTGGGAATAATCACTCCTGAACTCCTGGCTTGAATGTGAAGACAGGCAGAAAGAATGTCTGGAAAAGAATTTTGTAGTCCTGAGGGCACTCTGGTCAGACAGAAGGATGACAAGGCCCCTTTGCTTAGCTGGTCCTCACCTGCTGCACAAGCTCAGGAGGCAGCTCCGCTTTCCATTGCTTCAACTGGCGTGAAGCGAATGAGTGCAAGGCATAGGACATGGTGCCATACTCAATCCACAGGGACAGGTTAGAGCTGTCGATCTCCAGGGCCCGCCTGAAGCAGTTCAGGACAGGTGTGGCATGTTTCCAGATTGGTCCATCACTCTTCAGCTCATTGGAGTTCAACTTATCCTGAATGCGACTGGCCCGGGCCAGAGCCATGCCTGCCCAGGAATCAAACCTGGAGTGGGTGACAAAAAAAGCACAAGCTAAGACCACCATTGCCCTGATAGTAGGGCAGTTATGATGGCTCTGAGGGTAGGCAGATAGGCACTGTGGACACTGTACTACCGTAACACTAGAGCTCAAAGCCCAAGATCATGATTTGGACCAGCCACGTCTCAAAGTCTCAGTTCCTATATCATGACATATGGCACTCAATGACTGCTTTACTGGATGGGCTCTTGGACTTTGCTGCCCTCTGTTTCCCTGAACTGAGGAGGAATAGCTCTCGTGGAAAGAAACAGGGGCGCTCTGCAAAGCATCAAAAAAGGGCCCAGTCAAAGTGATGGGGAAACTTTCAGCAGGTGTCATGGTCCCTCCTCCTACATAGGCAGAGCCTGCATCAACATACTTACCAAACAAGAGCACAGTCACCAGCCACTCCTCTCCCTGTTTTCCCTCTGGGACCCTGAGCAGACTCTGACCTTTCCAGCTCAGTTCCCAGCAGTAAAACAAAGAGTGAGGGGGAATATGTGATGGCTGAGCCCCTATTATTCTGAGATCATCTATCTGAAAGAAACTAAGGGTGAGAATGTAGAAACCTCTCTGCGAGGATAATCAGTTACAAAGACACCAAGACCAAGATAATTTATGGGCTCTTAACAGAGTTTGGAATTTTCTGAATGCTAGATAGACAACAAAAAAAGGAACTAGAAGGATGAAAGAAGTTACTCTCCCATATGCCAACAATTCTTGACCACCACAGCTAAAGTTAGCTACTATGACTTTAAAAAGGGTTAATTGTCTTCCTGAACTATTTAATAGTTTACCATATCTCCAAGATGTTGTCAAGGAACCTTGTGAGTTCAGATGTACTTTCACTGCACTTCAGTACCCAAGGAGGAAACTGTATTAATGAAGGAAACAGAAAAAGACAGAAGGCTCACTGGGGTAAGGAGGACAGCAAAGACAAAGGCTTCATCCCTCATTCCATTTGAGGGGCTCCTGAGAGTAGCTCTTCCTCTTCAGGGACCTGGGGACCCAAGGCTACCATTTCTTCCCTTCCTCTGCTTATATCACCCTGGAAGAGGGTGGGGCTAGGTGTCAAACTCCCCTTCACTAGGACTAGTTTCTTTCAATTTCCAGTATGTTTTCTGTATTCCATTTGTCCTCACCTTGAAAAAAGAGCCCACATCACAATACTGCCTATGTGGTTACATAGAACCAACATAAAAACCAGTATCTCTTATCACAAAGTAATCAAAAGCAGAAGCATATCATCAGGACAACTGAAAATGTTTAAGTGTCCCACCTAGAGCCATCTTCTGATGTGAGTATCTGACCCTGGCAGTGCAGTACATGCCCATACTCTAGAAATACTGATTTACAGGGACACCGAGGGGCCTGAGGGCCAATGATGTGAACTTGGGGGTGGGGGTAGAATGTCAGCTCTGACTTATGCAGGGCAGGCCTGATGCCAGCACAGGATACAGAGTTATCTCCTTGGCAATGGAGATAAGTTGTACTAGTACTACTTTCATTTTCCCCCTCCCCAAATGGTGCTGTGACCAATTTGGGCTACCTCCAGTTTAGCAAAAGCAAAAAGAAAGGTCAACACAAAGGAAGGAAAAAACTGTTACCAGTATTTGTTCTCATAGACTCTGTTTCCGGATAAGAACCTCCAACACTATAATCATGACCCTATTATCCACCCAGCTGACTGTTATGGGCTTCACCCCTACCCAACAAGCTCAGAAGACTTTAATAAGGGAAAAAAAAAAAAAAAAAAAAAAAAACTGTATCCAAACTTCCACATTAGTTAGACCAGAAGCCACAAGTCTCCCCTGGCACCTGTCTGTTAGGGCCAGAATGAAGAAGGCGAAGGGCTGAGGCTCAGGACCAAGATAGGTTCCTTCTTGGCTCTGGGGCCAGCTTTCAGAGACCCCTCCTCTGTAGCAGGTAGACTTAGTGGGTTGATACCCTCCGATAAGGTGGTATGCAAATTGGAGGGAGGTATGGTTGAGACTTTGCAACTCTCATTTCAGTGATTAAGGGCTTGTCACATGAGAGAAGCTACATGAAGTGCCTGTCGCCCCAAGGTTGGTAGGTTTTACCATACTTTACAGATGAGGCAGCAGCAGTACAGAGGAGATGATCCCTAGTAACACAGTGTATCACACAGTGAGCATTCAGCCAGTGTTAATGGAAGTCTGTGCCACTACAATGGTATACAGCCCCCAGAGAGGATATCCAGGGCTCTAAGTACACAGTCCCTTGCCTGGAAGGAACCACAGACTGAGCAAAAGGGGCCCAATAAGGACTATTCCCATAAGCTATGGAAGTCTTACAAATTGGCTTTACCACTCAGATCCCAACCCCTTCTCCCCCTTGGTCAGGTGGAATCCATTGAAATTCTCAGGTTTCCCAAGTGAGAACAGTTTTGTGCTTATAGTTAAGGACAGCTACTATGGGCTAGCCTCTGAGTACCACCAGGAAGCCTGTCTACAGACATAATACCTTCAGAGGCTGATCAGCCACAGAGGGTGGTCTTATGTTAACTGTGACACAAGGCTTACCTCCTAGGTGCGCCAGCCATGAGAAGGTATCAAGTGCACTTGACTTCATGAGTAGAGCAGGGCCTTTAAGGATGTTCAGGCCAATCACATTTTAAGAGAAAGTTAAGCAAGGCTTCTTGGGAAGAAAGCACAAGTCTCACACATACAGAGCTCTCCTACATGCATCAGGTAACAACCACTACTGCCAATGATGCCCTGAGTCTCATCAAGGAAAGAGAACTTCAGTTTGAGTTTTTCCTATTACCCTCTCTACCCCAAGAAAACAACCATAATTAAAGAACCTGCAACAGAAACACTTAAGGGTACATATAACCCAACTTCCTGGGGCCTGAAACCAGAAAGGAAGCAGCACAAAACAGCACCTCCTTGTCTCACACAACAAGGCCCAAATTATACTTTGGACCTTCTCTGATGCCCTGTCCCTTTCAGGGAAAGAAGCCTTCTGTCCTGTTCTTTTTATGGAGAACCTACTTTTCTAATAACTGTAGTGTACTAAACTACCTTCTTATTTCTTTTCCCTGGCCCCCTTGTTGTGAGCAGGGAAACTCCAAACTGGCCTCCTGAAGATCTGGCTGAGCCAGTCACCCCAACCCTCTGGGTAGCCAGCCTGGCCCTAGCCCAAATTACCCACCTGTTAGGGCAGATGCAGATGTCATGCATGTAGAATTTGATGGCCTTGGACTGCTCCTTGTTTTTGAAATGATAATCAGCCAGGAGGTAGTAGAGTTCATTTACTACTGGAGGAGAGGGGTCAGCCCCTTCTGGGAGGCAGGGCACCTACCAGGTAAGAGAGTAAGTATAAGAGGAGGTGGCCTCAGCTGTGCCCTATAAGCCCAGGACTGCTTGGTCCTATCAACACATGACAGATCCCTGGCTTCTCCTAACCCTGGCATCTTATGCACAGCAGGAAAGAAACCAGGGCATACAGGTAGCAATGTTGGAGGGGAGGAATGTGATATGGCCCCATAACCCCCACCTCCTTGTATCTACTGAGGCCCACCTCAGATGATGTCCCCTCAATGTAAGCAGAGACTTTGTCTAGGCTCAGTGCTGGCCTCTCTGTACGGGGCACAATGGTAGCAATTCTTTTCAGGAGATTGGCCAAATCAGCAGATACAGTGCTGGTCTTGTAGCTGTCAAATTCAGGAAGGGTCTTGGGCTTAAAATACTCAAACATAAACAGGGCATCCTCCCATATAAGATCCACCTTGAAAAAAGACAGAAGGCAGATTCATATTACACTCAGAGTAAAGAAAAAAGTTTCTCCATAGATATGCATTATGACCAATGTAAATAAGGTCACAATATATTAAAGGGTCTATAACAAGTCCCCATTACACTTCTTAAAATCTGCACACCAAGTGTAATCCTTAAATTCAAGTGTTTGAAAAGTATAAGCCTAGTTTTTATAAAGACAAATATTTTAACTGAGGATTATGCTCTGTGAGATCACATGGCTCAGCCAGAGGGTGGGTTCTATCATAAGTGGGGGCCTGGGGCCAGCCACTGACCCTCTCTGTACCACAGCTGCTCCCTCAGTCATTTGGCTGATGAAAACTGAGTGCTGACTCCGGATAGTTTTAAAGGCAGGAACCAGAGTGGAGACCCTAGCCTAAGGAACTCATATTTTAGAGGACAAAATTCCTAAGATTAGAGAAAAACTGACAGTATTGAGGAACCATGAGCTAATAACCCAAGAGTGCTTAAAAAAAAAAAAAAGGAGAGAGAGAAAGAAAAACCTCTAAGGAATTATTCATATCCAAGTTACAAATAAATCTACAGAGAATTGCAACACTACATTTTTGAATCATTTGTCAACATTTATGAGGACACCATTTTTTGGAAACTCTTTATCCTTTAATCAAAGGACATCATAAGGTCCTCTTGTACTCTTCTTGCAACTTGTACTGGGACTGTGGAGCTGGGTATAACAAATCTGACATGTTTCAAAAGAGCTTCTGCTTCCCTAGAGCCCCACTCTTCATCAGAGCTGCCTCCTTCCCAGGCCTATGGTGGCAGACTTACCTGCTGGGCTGAGTGCTCCTCTAAGTACCTGGCCTTGCTCTTCTTGCTAGGGAAGCTGTATAGGCAGTAGAAGCACTGCTCCAAGGCTGTCTCCAGCTCCTCCTTATAGGGGTGTGTGTCTTCAGAAGTGGAGGCAGCAAGTTCCTTTTGGAGAACTTGCACCTATGGTGAGTAGAAAGAGATGCCTGGAAAAGTGGCCTGCTGCCAGAGCCTCCCTGTCATAGAAGGATCTCCCCGGAGAGATCCAAACTCTTTCAACCTAAGGAGGCAATGTTTGCTGAGTCCCTACATGACCTGATTCCAAAAGACTTGCTTTCTAGAAAAGACCTGTTATCCTAATGGGGTTATCTGGACCAGTTCTGGCAGCAGCCTCCTCCCATTGGGTTTGCTGAGCTGCCTTCTTTCCAAATACCCAGTTTCCACCAACTACTAGAAGAAAATATTATACTCCATTTATTTAGCTGTACATTTCCTAAATGAATTATTTACTTAGCACCTTTTTTTCCTAGGCAGTGAAACACAGTCCTGCTTTTAAGAAGTTAAGGTTCCAGTGGAGATAATGGAGTTAAATATTTAAAACATGTAAGTGTAAGAACATAATCCCATTAGGGTTGAGGGAATCTCCCTCAGACAAAATATTTGTGAGGATCAGATAGAATGTGAATAATATAGTAAACAAGTTGTACCTATAGATATGAGATCCTATGGCTATTGAACTTTTAGTAAACAGGCATTCTTTCCAAGTATCTATGAAATTTTACCAAAATTAGATAAAAAACAAGACTCATAAAATACCAAAAGATAATACAGACCACATCCTCTAAATGTAATTCAATAAACTTAGAAATCAATCATATAAAAATAGCAACCACGAAATATAAAAATTTCTGGATGTACCTAAAAATGTATTGAGGGAAAACTTATATACATATATTATACTTCAATACATATATTAGGAAATTAGTATTAAAATAGCATTGTACTCAATAAAGAAACAACAGAAAATAAAAAGATAATAATATAAATAGATAATATTAAAGTGGTAATTAGTGAACTAGAAAGTAAAGAAAAAAACAGATCCAGGAACTAACAGGTTATAGTTTGAAAACATTAATATAGACCTCAGGAAAAGACTGAGGCAAACATCATGAACAGTTTTATATTAATATTATAATATTATGATATTAATATAAAACTGTTATATTAATTATATTAATAAGTAGACCCTATTCTGAAAATATAATTGATTTGAGAAAAAATCTAAACGGATCTATATTCACTAAAGAAATCGAGTTTTAGTTTAGATCTGTGTTGAAGGCTTTATTTAGAGACTGCATCTTATCACACTGAGTTGCTTAGGGCCTTGCTGAGTTGCTGAGGCTAGCTTTGAACTCGAAATCCTCCTGCCTCAGCGGCTGGGATTACACCCATGTGGTACCATGCCCAGCTTAGTAGTTCTTTTTATAGGAATCCACACTAGAGAAATTCTCACAAATACACATAAACAACTTGGTGGATGTTAACCTCCAAAATGGATAAATAATAATGCCATCACAATCCATAATGCCATAATACCATCATTAAGAGAATGATAATCTATTTATAGACAAAATGATACAATGTCTAAGATTTGCTTCAAAACAATGTGGGATGGGAGTAGGTGGGGGAATGGCAATGCATTATAAATAAATAATTACTTTTCAGTGCTCAGCCTCTTGGAGTGTACTATACTATTACTTCTATTTTATTGTTTGGAAATTTCCATACTAAAAAGTTAAAAATAATTCAGATGCTCACACAATATATGATCCTATAAAGCAACTGAAATGAATAACCCAACATTACTTATTAAAATGAATAAACCATTGATTTTTATCAATGTGGAGATATCTATGTGTTGAAATTAATAAAAGCAAGCTGCAAGAGATTATAAACCATATATTTTGTACTTAAAATTTTAAAAATCGTGCAACTATATGTTGTTCAGTAATGTGCAAATACGTAATAATTAAGCATAAAAACCTGGACTACAAAGATACACACCAACTTTAATAAAGTAAGCAAGAGAGGGAAATGAATATATGTTACCCTTCCTATAACTTTCTATTTTCATTAGAAGACAAGTTTGCAGCAAATAGTAGATTATTAATATGCATACAATCTGGGTAGTGGTATGTGGGACACAGTATAAAAGGGAACACCCCAGAAAGTAGTAAAGGCTCCACAGGAGAGGGGCTATCTGAGCTGGATGTGGATGAATAGATAAGAATTCCTCAACCCAAACAGAACATAGAATAAGAAATGCTAACTCTAGCTAGGCATGGTGGTACACACCTATAATCCCAGAGATTTGGGAGGCTGAGAGAGGAAGATAACAAGTTCAAGGCCAGCCTAAGCAACTTATCCAAGGACCTGTCTCAAAATAACAAATAAAAAGGGATGGAAATGTAGTTTAGTGGTAGAGCACCCCTGGATTCAATTCAAAGTACTGGGGTGGGGGTTGGAGGAGAGCTAACTCCAGAAAAGACGGGATACAAGAGAATTTCAGACTATTTCTACTCTAAGAGAAAATAATCCACACAAAGGGTCTCTCTGATGTTGGTCCCAAAAACACTTTCAAGACAGTCTTTTACCTACAGATCATGAATCTGAGATAAACTCCACAGCACCTATGATGAGTGCTCAGGCAGCACTTCTGGATAAATGAATAAGTGTCTATTTTATTCTCTCGCTGAAGAAATATCACTGGGACAGAAATCTACGTCAGGCACTGCTCAACTCCTAGGGATACTTCAGACAGCAAGACAGAAAAGGTCCTGGACTCAGGGATGCAATCTAGTTGGTGAGGGGCATGCAACACAAAAAAATAGCAAGGTATCCAGCTGTAGGGGCAACAGAGAATGGAGGAACTGGGGAAGGCTGCTTCAAAAGAAGGAAAGGACCAGCCAGTCATGTGTGACCCACGAGAGAGTGGCAGGCAGAAGGCATGGGGTTGAGAGTGGGGAGTCAGAGGAATCTCAAGTTGGACCCTGGGCACAAAAATTAGGAAGTACAAACAAAACACAAGTGTACTCATATCACTTCTACTCTCTTAAATTCAACTGGCAGATACTGGCAGCTACAATTCACATTCTTCCAAAAACAGACAGAGATTGAGTAAACTGTCAATAGGACCACATGCTGGCCCCTTTAGCCTTCTCTTCTCTATCAGCACCACTCCTACCCAAGGCCAGCCTACAAAGGTAGTAAAGTAACTCACTCTTCCAATTTGAATAAGGTGACTTTGTGGAAGCAATGTCCCTATACTAGGCAACTGTCAGAGGAAAGAAAGAAGGGGGCCAATTCCTGGATATCAAAACAGATTCCACCTGGCATAAATCTTCGCAAAATGATCCTGGAGCATAAAGACATCCCAGGGTGAGCACACAGGCCCTTGGAGCTCACAGGGTAGGGTAGACACTCAGCCATCTGGAGCTGGGGCTGGAACCTGGGCCAGAGGGTTTCCTCACCAAGTCTCCACATCCTCAGCATGATGCTTTGCCAACTGAAAGGCCCTACACATACATGAGCTCTGTACATATGCTTAATCTCCTTCAACGTATTTATTAAATAAGAACCTACTCTGCATTGCCAGGAGCAGTGGTGCACGTATGTAATCCCAACCACTCAGGAGGCTGGCAAGGTGCTAAGTAAATCAGTGAGATCCTGACTCTAAATAAAATACGAAATAGGGCTGGGGATATGGCTCAGCGGCCAAGTGCCCCTGAGTTCAATCACTGGTATCCCCTCGTCAAAAAAATAATAAGCTAATTTGTGCCAGGCACAGTACTAGGTACTTGGATCCAGTCATGAAACAACTTACAAAATTCCCTATTTTTTCACAAGCTACATTTCAGTGGAGAAGACACACAACAAACATAATAAAGAAGCAAATTATATAGCATACTACCAGGTGATGAACTATGGGGAGAGTATAGAGCAGAGGAGGAAGATACTAGGAAGGGAGGCTACAGCTGCAAAGAGGGTATGCTTGCTGAAAAGAAGGTAAAGAACAGGGGATGGCAAAATTCTTAAAGGACCATACAGTAAATATTTCAGGCTTTGTGGGCTATAAAGATTGTAATATATACTTGACTCTGCTGCTGTACTGCAAACACAGCCATAGTTAATTTGTAAATGAGTGGATGTGGCTATGTCCCAAAAAAAACTTTAAAGAGACATTAGAGACTGGGTTGGATGCCTCTCCCTTGGCAAATCCAGAATACCTGATGCTCTGTAACTTGTCTGGTATTGCCAGGCCTCCCACTCAACAGAGAGCTTTGGGGACGGGGTTAATACTGCTTATCCTCAGTAACCCCAGAGAGCTACTACCAATAAATCACAGTTGGCAAGTTCAAGGAAGTCTGCTTATGGAGGCTCACTAAAGAATTACTGACTGAATAAATTAATAGTTATTGACTGAGCAATTATAACCTGGCATAACAAGTGGTATTGGCAAATAGGACTTCAAAGACTTTGGTGGTAATGGTGAATGCAGTGACTACTTTAAAAAAATTATTATGGCCTAGTTTTGTGTCCAACTAGTAACAGAATCAGCAATAACTAGTGGAACTAAATTCACCTGCTATTTAAAACCAGGTCTATAGTTCCCTGAGCCTCAGTTGCACAAGGGAACTGCTATAGTTTGGATTTTAAAAGAATTTTTTTTAAATTTTTTTTATGGTGCTGGGGATTAAACCCAGGGCCTCAATTAAACCCTTGCCTTGCGAGGCAAGCACTCTACCCCTAAGCCACATTCCAAGCCCTATAGCTTAAATCTTGATTGTCACCTAAAGGCCCATGAATTGGCACTATTGGAAGGTGGTAGAAACTTTAGAAGGCAGGGCCTAGTGGGAGTAAATGCTACTAGGGGCATGCTCTTAATGAGGATTTCAGGACCCCAGCTTTTTCCTATCTTTCTTGTTGCTTTTCAGCTGCCATGAACAGGTTTCCTCTACTACATGCTCTTGCCATGATGTACCGCCTTGCCACAGGACCAAAAGCAATGGGACCATGTGACTCTGGACTGAAACCTCTGAAACCATGAGCCAAAATAAATCTTTCCTCCTTATAAGATGATTAGCTCAAGTATTTTGTCACAATAATGGAAAACTGACTAACATAGGAACCTTTCTGGCAAGTCTCAATAGTCACACACATATAGAGAGTAGTCAAAGAAGCACAGTGGGCCCTCCTGCATGGAAAGGCCAAGCAAACTCAAGGGAGCCAACACAGCTCTGTTCCTCTTGGTACCCCTCAGCCCCATCCCAACCCTGTACTAATAGCCCATGGCCTGGGGAAACCACGCACATAGAATCGTAGCAGAGCCCCATCTGAATTGCAGCACCAGGACCTTCTTCCCAAGTATTCATGGGCTGTGTTGAGCAGCATGAGGGAGGAAGGGAGCATTGGCGTCTCTGACATTCCTAGAGAAGAACAGACCAACAGATACAAAGTTAGCAGGAACAGGTAGAACTGCACACAGGTTGAAGGCTCTCTCTACTTTGGGGGCTTTTTTGTCTTTACAAAAGTGGCCACAGAATTTCTTACTTTCCTTTATTTTCTTGTTTTTAAATAAGAATGATTTGATTTGCTTTACTAAAACATGCATATCAAAAAGCAATTCAAATCATACAGGAAAGTATAAAGAAGGAATGCTTCATTTACCAAAATACCAACCTCTAAGGATGAACCAATGTTGACATTTGGGACAAATAATTTATAATAATGGAACTCATAGTACCATTTCCTAAAATGTCTTATCTTTAGACATGCCTGAATATTATAGGAAAAAAAAAAAAAAAAAAGGAAAACAGAAGGGGGAAAAAACCCCTGAATTTCAGTTAAATATTTGGTTACCAATAGAATTATTATTAGTTTCTTAAAGAACTTCACTATTTTTGAAACTCTAGGCCATAATCTATTAGTGTCTTATGACTTACACTTTTAGAAGGGATTGAGACAGAACATATCAGAACAGAAAATATCAGAAGGTATTACTCAGGAGAAAAAACTTTCTTTCCTGAGATTTGCTTGGTACTTTTTATTATTGGTTAGCACCAGTCAAAAAAGTAAAAGCACTGGTTTGAAAAAAGGTCAGGTCATCATTAAGTTTAAGCAAGTCATTTTTTTGCTCTAAACCCAATAGGCACTGACCTATTTCACTTTTTTTTTTTTTTTTTTTTTTTTTTTGGAGACAGGGTCTTGCTAAATTGCCAAGGCTGTCCTCCGACTTTTGACCCTTCTGCCTCAGCCTCTAAGTTGCTGGGGTGACAGGTATCACTGTGCTCTGCTAGTCACTCCAGTCCTCTGAGGGTCTACATAAGATCAGTGAGGGTTACATAAGATCAGTGATTCACTTTATAATACTTCCTCCTCTCCCTACCTTTCAGTTTTGTTTCATATGTTTTCTATAACCATTCCACGTTTATAACATTTCCATTCTTTTCTACAACCACACTTAGCCCAGTTGTTTTCTCTCAACACCAATTTTAAATGGACTCAGTGCTCCTCACAAATACCTTCCTATGAATTAGCCACTCTGACTAAGAAGTGCTCATGAGAGCTGGAGCTCCTGTTTATAAACGTCTCATTATCTCTGTAATTACAAACAACTTGGCTAGATATCTTAGGCCACATATTTTTTTCCTGAGGAACTGGACAGACATATACATTATCCCAACTGCATTGACTGAAGTTATAGAGAAATCTAAAATGAGCCTAATTTTTTATCCCATGAAGACAATAATTACTTATTCAGCTTAGAAACCAAAATAATCTTTATCCTTTCAGTAGATGATTAACCAGGATGTATTTGATGTGGCTTGCTATATATTAATTTCTCTTGGTATCTACTGTACACTTGGAATCTGAAGATTCAATTTTTACTACATTTACAGATACTATCTTATATTGGACATTAGGAGGGTTGCTCCTCCTGTTCCATTGCCTAAGTCTTTCCACTGGGGGCACTACTTATCCTTATATTAAACCCCAATCCCTGTTCTCCACCTCTATCATCTTTCAATGCTTTTGAGTTCTTCACTGCATTCACTTGTTCATTTTGGTCATATTCATTCTGCTCCTTGCCATTTGGGTTTTTGAATTTATAATAGTGAGATTTGGTTTGCAGAGTTTTCTTTTAGTTCTTCAATTTCCTTTTTACCTCATTGTTTATCAGCTCAAATTTTCTAATTATTTTCTTGGACGAACCATATACAGAGATTCTGTCTCTCTTCCTTAGAGATACATTCTCTGCCAGGATGAATACATCAGTTTTTTTGGTAGGCTACAGTCACTCTTTTCTTTTTGTTCCCTCAGTCCTTTGTGGGGGTGGTTACAATATGTTAGTACACTTACCATGTCATTTCTTTTTGTCCTGCTCAAAATCAGCCTGGGCAATTCCTCTAGACTCAGAGTTCTAATATATCATGGACGAATTAGCTAAACCTTCTCCTTAAAGCTACAATTTTAATTCTCCTTCTATGTCTGCAGAGACAGACACTGCTCACCTTTAGGGTCTGCTAGAGCTAGAGACTCACCTCACCTGAAGTTACACACTTCTCACTGAATGTGTAGTCACATTCAATGACTAAGTGAGATGAGAGTATAAAGGCCAGGCTACCTCAGCTCAGGCAGGACAGTTCTGATGGGCAACTGTCATCCAGAACTCCCTGCCAGGTTGGCCAAGGCTCTGTCAGGCCTGCATCACAATTTGACTTCTCCCTCCACCCACTTCTGCTTCTTCCTGTCCTACTTTTTGCACATATTAATCCCTAATAAATCTTATTACAGTATCTGCTTCCAGAGCGCTCAATATGTGTGTGGGCAACCTCTGCATCTCAAACCACCTCACTCCTGCTAAGAGTTTAGTGTGTGACAATGGCCTCACCACACATTCAGAAGTGTTTTATCCCTGAGCTCTTTCCTTCATCTTAGCCTGCTAAAGCCAGTGCAATATGGAGGGGCTTCTCTATCAGTCCACTCTCTACAAATTAGAGAAAATTAATATTTCCCAGAATTTGATCAATTTACCATCTTTCCTCAGTTTACCTAAATTGGGGCAGAGGGAACAGAGCCACGTGTGCTGTCAGTCCACCCAGAATTTTTGTCTCTTTCTTTGGCATACTTTCCAAAATTGGAGGCATATTGACTCTTCCTCTTTCCTTGTCTACTTCCTAGAAGGTTCTTTTTTTTTTTTTTTTAAGACTGTTTTTGTTTGCATAATTAATTTTGAGGGAAAGGGAAAATCTCAATATAGAAGTTTTCTTGTATTATCTTTTTTTTTTTAAGAGAAGAGAAGAGAGAGAGAATTTTTTTAATATTTATTTTTCAGTTTTTGGTGGACACAACATCTTTATTTTATTTTTATGTGGTGCTGAGGATCAAACCCAGCGCCCCGCACATGCCAGGCAAGTGCGTTACCACTTGAGCCACATCCCCAGCCCTTCTTGTATTATCTTTAGAAAAATAATAAACATTTACAGTTATAAATCTTTTACTTTTTCACTACTAAGATTTTATTTGGAAAATAAAAAGGTATTGTTTAGTCAAGAGCTCTAAAGATGTTCATTTCCAGAAATTTATGCTAAAAAAGTAAAATGAGCGAAAGAAAAAGGGTATACATGAAGTGTTCCCCACAGTATGACCTATAAATAGAAAGAAATATTGCAGTGTTCCTAACTCAGCAGGGGGAAGAGCTCAGGAGAGCATGCACTTGGAATCAGTATTATGAAAACAAGACAATAAAATGGTGGCTGGGTTGTAACTCAGTGGTTGAGCTCTCACCTCACATGCATGAGACATTGGGTTTGATCCTCAGCACCACATTAAAACAATAAATAAATAAATAAATAAAACAAAGATTTTTTAAAAATGGGAATAGCTTTACAAAACAAAGTCTGAAAGCCCTTTGTAGTCTGCTCTCCCTCACATACAACCCACACACTCCAGGCCTCCTGAGTCACTGCCCACTGTGGCTCCACCTCCCTAGCATCTTCTGCTCTGGATTTTTCTATCAGTTTTCAGCTTCACCTCCCAGCCCACCTCAGGCAGCCTCAGGCACCTCACTAATCTCACTGGCCTAATACACAATCAGAAAGCTCACCTCTCTCCCCTTATCACAAACCTGTCAAGGCCAGTGGAGTCTAATTCAGAGCTGTAATGAGCAGCTGAGAAATATCTGAGGAGTACACAAAATTATAGAGACAAGGGTAGAAGGAGATAAATTAATTAAGGAGACATGTTAATTCTAGTTTTCTCTGTTCAGGTGAAAAAGTGATGAGTTTCTTTCCTCTCCACATTTCTTATTTTATAAATAACTAAGGAAAAACTTCCCAGTAAACTTAATTTTAAGTTAGTTAAATAAATATATAAATGTGTATTATATATACTAACAAATAGATGTATATAAGCCAAGGCTGGACAGCAAACTGAAGAAAAGAAAAAAATGAAAAAAAAAAGCAGGATTACAGCAATGATTGCTTTAGGTGTCAACTAGGTGTTGTGATATAGTTCCTTTAATTCAGCACATTTTCTACCCATATTGACCATAGTTCAAGTGCCATCTCCATCACTGGTCCTAGCTTGTCTTCTTCAGGTTCTCAATTCATGACTATTTACTACTCAGCACCTATGACACTCTAGTTTCTAATTTGCTATGGTGCTTCATGGTTTTATTTCAGTCTGTTCCTGGAACAAACCTCTGAGGTAGCTGCCATTATTCCCAGTATAAATAAGGGAAAATAGAAGCTGAGGTTATATGAACTGCCAAAGGTCACATCACACAGCCAAGAAAGGACAGCTAGAATGTGGAACCTTTGCTTGCCCCACATTGTTTTTGGCTTCCCATTCTGGGGCTACTATGGGATTAAAGGAGCTAGCAGTATGAGACACTTCAAGGCACTCCTTAAAGCACTGGCCTTGCTGTCATTCCCTCCATGCTGCCACATGCACCAGACATGCAACACATCATACATTCATGCTTCCCATATTTACTGCACAGTGAGCTTTCTGAGGGAAGAAACAGGGAAGTTTCTGTCTCCAAGTGCCGTGAGAAATCCTGTCACACTGAAACCCAAGCCAACTCGGAGTACCTGGGTAGGGCCTTGAGACCCTAACATAGAGGTCGGGGCAAGGACACCATGGGGCAAGGCCCAGCCCCATCAAACCTGTTGCCAGTGCACCTTCCTCTACTGGGTTCTGAAGCTGCTGCTGGTGGCACAGGGAACGGAAGGTATCCTCTTCCTGCCAGATGATCCTGTGCAGGATGATCCAGGGTAGCACTGAGGAGACATGGGGCTCCTTGGGCTCTTCCTGCACAGCCATGCTACAGTCGATGACCTGGCAGGCGGCACCAGGGGTATCAGAATGTGGCCAGTTCTATTCCCCACCCACCTGAAATAAGTCTCCATTGCAGTGCCCACTAGGAGATCTGGGGCATGAGGCCTTCCCACCCTCACAACTCTGGTGTGAGAACACTGACCTAGTAGCACTCCAGTAACGCATCAAAGTCTCAGAGTACCCAATGATCAAGTCACAGCATTCTTCATCATGCCATGTGCAATTACTGAATGTGGCATGATGAGCTAATGGCCTGGGGGAAGAGACCTATGGATAAGCTACCTGAATGCTAATGAGAGCAAATGCAGCAACAGGGAGTTGCAAAGGAGGGGGTAGGGCAGGCAGAGGTGAGCCCTTTAAAGGAAGTTTCCAGGTGAATGGCTATGCCCAATACCTAGAGAGGGCAGGCATATAGATGGGGCCCTAGGGGTGGCCCAGAATGGCTGCTGCCAAGGAAATAGAAGAGGAGAGAGAGAGACAGTATCAATGCATCCTGAGCAGCACACCACCCAGAGGGAAATGTGAAGGGTTTTAAGCAAGGGGAGAAACACATTCATATTTCAGTTTTGGAAAAAGGCCTCTATGGTAGGATGGTAGTTGGGCTGGAAGGGTAGAAAGACAAGAAGCACCATAGGGTTGTGCTGTCACAGTTCATGTAACAAGTGACAGTGCCTAGACTATGACAGAACAAGGAAGATGAAAGGAGAAACAAAAGAAAGAGATGCAAAGGATGTGGGGTTGGCAGGATTTGCAGATGGCCTGAGTGGAAGTTAAGGAGAAAGCTGAGCTAATGGCCTGGGGGAAGAGACCTATGGATAAGGTCAGAGGAAGATTCTCTGCCTGGATGATATGGGGTGCTGTGGTTACTTTTTAGGTAGAAGCACCACAGCAACATGGGTGGTAGAGAGTCCTGACAGGAAGTCAGGAGGCTTAGACTTTCATCTCCATTCTGCCTCTGGCTCACTGCAAGCAGACTAGGCCCTGTTCTGAGCCTGTTTTCTCCTCTCTAGGACTGGTGGTCTGGGAGAATCCCATCCTGCCAAATATTACATTGACTCTAATTCCCAGACCCAGGGAGATTTGCACACAATCTCAGATCCCCAAATTGTCTGCCAGTGAGGGCAATTCATCCTATTTGAGGTCCCTAGTTCACAGTGAAGGAGGCATTAAATTGACACACTTGCTGAGCCAGGGAAGAGAATGAAGGAAATAGGGGTTACCTGAATGAGGTTATTGGTGAGCCGGACAAGGCCAGTGGTGGAGGACGATTCCTTCAGGATGTTGCCATTGCTGTCGGCAGAGAGTGCCTGCTCAATGCCCAGTAGCAGCTGGGTCACTGTGGCTACCCACTCCTCCTTGGCTGCAGCCTCACTTGAATTCACCATCTGTTGGACAGCTTCGTTCAGAGCCACATCAGAGCATTCAAAACACTGTTGGTGATCCTTCAGCTGGAGCAAGGAGTCCTGAGCACAGGGAAAAGGGAGATGAAAGGTGCACTGTAAGTTCAGCACACCTTGGTCTCAAACCTGAGACGGGAAGAGCCGAGATAAAGAGATGAGGGACAGTACAAAAGAGAAAAAGGTCCCCAGTGCCTACACAGGTCTACATAGCCTTCAGGCATCTAAGAGGGAAGACAGTGACCTATGTACAATGCCAGCATAGTTGTCACAAGCCAGGGGACTTTCAAAAAGGCACTTTGCCTCTCTGACTCATTTTCCCCATTTATAAAAGTGGGATCCTAGAAATGAGACCACACAGTTGGCAACTGGTCAACATGAAACTGAGGGACTCAAACAGCTCCATCAGCTCTCCCCTAAGGCATCATGTCCCTTTAGTGCCAGAGCTCTGGAGGGGACTCAGCAGATGAGGGGTGGGCTGCTGGAGAGGAACTGTTTCAGCAGAGGAGGACCTGAGCTAAAGCCATAGCAGGGAAACTGGTCAGACAGTCCTGAAGTCATTGTTCTATGAGGCCCCTCGTCCCCAATGGCAGGCAGGGCCAAGGTGCTGAGTCCTTCTCAGCCTCAGCCCTGCATCACCCCCTTGGAGGTACCATGAGTATTCAGTGAATGCGTTTATGTGCCCATGAAAGAGCTCTCAGGACATCACACAGAAATGTTATTTCTATTTTAAAAATCTCTCTGGGAGCCATCACTTTTTGTAAAGCTCCCCCCTGCCCAGGGCCCTAGAATACAACCTATTTAAACTCCTGGGAATTTTAGGTTCTTTTATCACTGGCTGGTACATGGGGAAATATAGTCTGTCTGTGAATTAACAGATCTGGCGGACTACTTGTTAGACCAGCAGGAAGCGCTTGTACCTGGTGCCCCATTGGGATCTGACATCCCCACAGCCCAGGCCCAGCAGTAGCTCCTTCCTGCCTTGACATGGGTAGCCACCACTCTCTGAAGTGACATTGACAGGAGCAGAAATACCCAAACTGCATTTGAAATGTGCTGCAATGTTTGAACAAACATCAAAACCTCCCAAACTTAGCCCTAACTGCTAGGAAAATGGAATCTGTGTTTCTTTAGAGAAAACTGGCTAAGCCAGAGGCCACTGAGGCAAGAAGCACCTTTGAAGTGCAGCTATGGGGTCTAAAACCAGAGTTGATTCCTCCTGGTCAAATCACTGAGCATAAAAGGGCAGATAAAGACTCTGGCCTTAAACTGTAGTCAGATTGTGGTGAAAGTTAGGGACAAGACAAAAATCCATTAGGAGTGCCTTAATATGATACAATCCCCAGGGCTCAAGGCAAGAAAGAATTTAAGTGTCAACAAATGTGGAACACAAACTATTACTGACTGTGAGCAAAACAACTGTCTATCCAAATAAAATGAGTAAAAAAAACAATCAGAAATAATGGTAATTCAGTAATCAGTTGGATTCAAAAAAACAGGCAAAAGTTAGTAGGGTTCCTATAAACCAGCAATGTACAGTTAGGAAGTATAATACCCAATAAAAAGATACTTCTCAAAATAGCAACCAAAAATACTCAGATCTAGCAATCAACTCATCAAGAAAAAAAATTATACTGAGGGATGTAAAAGCAGCTTGCCTAAATTGGGAGACAACCCTCCCACCCTTATGGCCAAGGGTTCTAAATTCAACTCCCAACTCCAGAGAAATCAAAGGAAGTAAGTAAACTTACAAAACAAAAGATGAACATTGCTAGAAGAAAACAAGGACAAATAAATTTTTTATCTTTGGTGGTATATCCCTTGCCTGCCTCCCCTCTAGAACATAGGCTCCCTCAAAACTGCCTGCTTCTTGTCCAGTACCAGGCACCCTGTAGGAAGGAAATCAAGCCATGTGTGTTAAACAAGTAGATAAGTATATTTTTTTTTTCCCCCAGTCTGGAAAAGCCTGTTTAAGCAAAATGAACAAAAAACACAATTAAGAAAATCACAAAGATTTGAAAACATTGAAAGATCTGACCACATAAAAATCCAAAACTTTTATGTGTAGAAACAAACAAAAAACAATAAAAATCACAATTTACAAGCAAACAACATACTAGCAAAAAATATTTGCAAGATATGATAGAAAAAAATTAATATCAGATTAGGTAGATAAGCACTCTAGGGTTGGGAGTGTAGCTCAGTGATAGAGCCCTTGCATAGCATGTGGGTTTAATCCTAATACTGCAAAAAAAAACAACCAAAATGCCTGTTGAGCTAGTTTATGTACTGTTCAGGTGTTTTGTTTTGTTTTTGTTCTTCCTGACTACTTTATGTACTTATCTTATTCTATAGGGCCACATTCCTAACTACTGTTAGCATCCAACTTAGAGGACAGATATGCAATCCATATATTTTTCATTCCATATTTTCTTCAAAAGATTCCCTCTACATTGAAATTGCTTAGACAACATTCTTCAATTATTTGTAAAAGTTAGTTGATAATAGTCTTTGTCTTCTGAATAACTGAAATTAAAAAAAAACAAAACCAAAAACCTAACCAAACAAAAAAGCACTCCCATCAGAAAAAAAAAAAAAAAAAAAAAACACTCTCTCAACATGAAATAGCAATGATCAGCAATCACTTATTCACAAAATTCAGGAGCTTCTATAGCATGTGGCACAGTCCTAAGGTATAGTCCTTAACACTATTCAGTGTCCATTCAAACAGTGACTCACCCATCCACATCAATTCTTCCTAAAGAATGTGGAGCTTCCTACCACATTCAGTAGGTGATTACAATGACCACAAGAGTAAGACATCCAAACAGTGGGGACATCCGACAGGGACACAGACAGAGCTGGCCTCTTCCCCCCACAGCCATCCTGGGGTAACACTCCTCTGTCCCTCCCACACACTGCCATGCTGGGCCACCCAATAGCCTGCTATGATAACTTAGGTCAGATACATCTCATTTCCTAATCTCAGCTTGGTTCTGCCTGACCTCCTCAGCCAGGATCTACAGTCTGCCTCCCCATTCCCTGTTCTCCCTCCCTAAGCCGACTCTTTCCTCCCTTTTCACCAGGGCTTTGTTGCCTGATTTTTGCCCATAGTTGCACCTTCCTAGTTCAAGAAAGTTAATGACTGAAATGCCACATGTAATCTGAACAAAAAGCTGGGATAAGACTGTTGTCTCTTTCCAAATTAAGAGGTAAGAATCCAATAATATAATATATACAATGTGATTAGTGGTACAAACCATAAAGGACCAGGATTCCAGACCAGTCAATGCCACCAAATACATTACTATTGTCCATGTTTGTCCCTCTGTCCAATTAGGCATAGAGTTTGGTGGCAGTGATGACACAGGCACCTCCATGGTACCTGCTATGTGCCAGGCCCTGTTCTAACACACATTAGCTTGCATAATCCTCAGGGCAGGCCTGAGGTAAGAAAACTTGCCATCCCCATCCTAGTAATGAGGAACTGAGGCTCAGAGAGTTGAGCAATTAACTCTCCAAGGCAACTGCTGGCTCCCTGGCGGGTTCCAAAATGATTTTCTTCCTAAAGAACAGAGGTATGAAGGGAGTTACCAGAGGGCATGTGCAGCTTCAAACAAGATGTTGCTGTTCTTTTTCTTCAACTATGCAGTTGTACACAGATCTTTATCTTGATTCTTTACACTGTACAGGTATTTTATCAATTTTATATCTATTCAACAGTTAAAAAGCACAAAAGCAAAGATGGATGAATAAACAGGTGGATGGATGGATGACATTCTGACATTTCTTTCTTCCTCTGCCATACAAAAGTTCAGAGTCTCTAAATGGCAATCATCAAGAATACAGGCAACAATAAATATTGATGAGGATATGGGGAGAAACGTAAACTCATACATTGCAAATTGGTACAACCACTGTGGAAAGCAGTATGAGATTCCTCAGAAAACTGGTAATGGAACCACCATTTGACACAACTATCCCCCTCCTCGATTTATACCCAAAGGACTTAAAATCAGCATACTGAAGTAATGAAGTCACATCAATGTTTATAGAAGCTCAATTTACAATAGCTAAACTATGGAACCAACCTAGGTGTCCTTCAACAGATGAATGGATAAAGAAAATGTGATATATATATGTGTGTATGTGTGTGTGTGTGTGTATATATATATATATATATATATATATATATATATATTTTCAATGGAATATTACTCAGCTTTAAAAAAGAATGAAATTATGGCATTTGCCAGTAATGGATGGAGTTGGAGAGTAGCATGCTGAGCAAAATAAGCCAATCCCAAAAAAATAAAGGCCAAATGTTTTCTCTAATATGCAGATGCTAATTCACAATAAGGTAGGGGGGACACTAGAGAAGAACAGAGTTACCTTAGATTAGGTAGAGGGAAGTGAAGGGAGGGAAGGGAGGGGACGTAGGGATAAAAAGGATACAACAAAACAGACATTATTACTTTATGTATATATGTGACTGCATGACCAATGTGATTCTACAACATGTACACTCAGAAAAATGAGAAATTATGTCCCATCTATGTATGATATATTAAAGTACATAAATGCATTATACGGCTATGTATAACTAATTAAAACAAATAAAAAAAGTTAAATTAAAAACAAAAGTTTTTGAGCCACAAAGAACTCTAGAACCTGCATTCCTAGATTCTAATATTCCCCCAGTTTTGAACATCTTCTAACATTTTCATAGAGCCAGGTTTAATAGTTTCGACTCCCACTTTTCTAAGTATGTGTTCTCAAGGGCTACCTCAGAGCCTCCAGAGAACACACACATGCACAAGCAAAGGTGAGAAATACAGACAGGGAGCACAAACCTGTAGCAGAAGCAACTGGGCTGGCCTCTCAGGAATAGAAGTCATAAATTCTAGATGTTTAGCCCGGTCAAACCCACTGGTGCACAAAGTGGGGCGGAGCAGATGCACAACAGCTTTGTAGTCACCTGCCTCATAAAGCCGCTGAATCTCCTCCAGGGACTGGCACCGTTCTAGTGACTTCAGGTTCTTATCAATCTGAAAAAGGTCCAAAGATGTTGTCTGATGGTAAACCCTTCACACCCTCCCAGAATCTAGTCAGTGTTTCCATTTATCCCATCCAGATGAGGATAAATTAGATGTTGTCCCCTACCCTCAACTCAAGCCAAAAAATAATATGAGTGTTCACATAAATATATGTGCTTTTTAAAGTATTTATATTAAGGTCAAGTCATTTAGTTCTTTAATAAAAAAATATACCCAAACCCCAAAACCACCACAGAAGCAGAGGGGTTCCAGAACAGCATCTACCGTAATAGTTAAGACAGCCTTGTGGGCTGGCACAATGGTAAATGCCAGCAGCTTAGGAGGCTGAGGCAGGAGGATCGTGACTTCAAAGCCTCCAGCAACTTAGTGAGGCCCTAAGCAATTCAGCAAGATCCTGTCTCTAAATAAATTATTAAAAAGGGTCTGGGAATGTGGCTCAGTGGTTAAATGTCCTTGGGTTCAATCCCCCAATACAAAAAAAAAAAAAGACAACCTTGTGGTCACAGTTCAGCAAACCAGATTTTCAGAACTACAGTGTCAGGTTGCCAGACCTAGAGAGATTAGGCACTTATAACTAACCCATAGAACTGTTTCCTTATATGGCCTGATGCAGTTTCAGCACATAGGAAGAAGGGCACTGTCATAGTTCTCCAGAGCCTGTTCCATGTCTCCCTAGTTAGAAGGAAAACCAAATCAAGAAACAGGGGCAAAAGTCAGGGAACTGGACTTGCCCTGAAAACAACCTTGAAGAGTCTACAGGCTACTTTCAGAAAAGGTGGACATTACAGATGTGGAACTGCAACAGGACTAAGGTTGCACAAAAAAAAAGAGTGCCATCTAAGTGGAGTCTATCTAGCATGTGTGCTAGGCACCACTATTCCACCCTCATGGGCATATCGACAATTGTCTTCATCAGCTGACATTTCCCTCTAGCTCTGCTAGAATTGCCACCACACACAGTCAGGGGAACTGAACATAATTTAACTAAATTATGCTAGCAGAAACTTCCATATCTGCCACTGGGCAAGCCAGAACTACCTCTCCTAGGCCTCTCCTGCTCTCTCTTCAAGAGCCCTACTTAGCATGCAGGAGGTTCTCTTCTTCTTCAGGGACAGGTCAGTCTGGTCTAACTCGGTCAACTCAGAATAAATCTTTGACTAAGAAAACAATATTAAAAACTCCTACTCACCTCCTCCAGGGAAACGATGGAGTCATTGTGGAGGTTGGGCAGCCGGATAACAATGTCCCTTTGCTCAGCCCCTGCCTCTGCTTGGATGGCAATGGAACTCTGGAGCATTTCTGTGCAGATGTCATAGTTCTCCAGAGCCTGCTCCATGTCTCCCTAGTTAGAAGGAAAACCAAATCAAGAAACAGGGGCAAAAGTCAGGGAACTGTCATGATGTGCCAGGTTCTTCACATTCCTGATCTCAATGGACAATGGGTGCCCTCAGAGCAGAGTTTTAATCCAATTACAGCTCTACTCCCCTAAAAGGGTCTGGCACACAGCTGGGGCTCAACAAATATTTGCTAAATGCTTGAAAAAATGAATGATCCATACCACAATTCTAAGAGGAGAAGTATCATTAACCCTTCATTATAAGTGAATAATACTTAGGCAAGGCTAGGTATATTGCAGAGCCAGGATTCGAACCTAGGCCTGCCCTAATTCTAGAAGTGACATTCTTCATATTAAACAATGATACTTCCCTCAAACTGAACTGCTGCTGCTGCAACCTTAGTAATCTATGGCTTGTTCTACCACAGTGCACCATGTACCACCCAGCACTGGGTAGTAGGTAACAGCCAATCCACCCTGGCCTTCCTAGAATTCTCACAAAATAGGTGGAGAGTTCCCTTCTAGAAAATACTGCTTCTATTCATGTACTTGCTAAAGCTTTGTCAGGAAAACATAAAGATCAACCAAGGCAATCTTGAGTAGGGCTCAATGAGGCACAGGAAAAAATAATAATAATAAAAATGAGGCACAGTAGATCCCTTGTAGAGTTCTGTGGGTATGCTGAGGTATTTTACAAACTGGTGGCCATGCTTGGATTTCTGACAAGCTTAAAATTCCCAACCATTCCCATTTCTTCATGTCAAGCCCAGTGCCTAGATAGGTACTATGCATATATGCATGCACTCACATAGCAGCTGACTAGAGAACCAACCTGCAGTGCCAAGAAACGAGCCTTCAGCCAATAAACACGGACCACAAACTCTAGCCAGCCGTCCTCAAACAGGTCACGCTGGGATGAGGCAAATGACAACTGCAGGAGGTCACCCAGGCAGTGGGTTCCTGGGAAGTCAGGCCCAAATCTGCCATTCACCATACCAGCAGGGCAGTTACGAGGAGACACTGAAAACCATCAGGCCAGAAAGTCACATTCATATGCAGGATCCAAATGCCCTTCTGCTCCCAGAGGTCACCCTCAGCCTTTACCACATCTGCTCTTAGTCTTTTTGGGTACTCTAAGCCCCTCTGCATTCTACAGGTGGAAATTTGTTATTTATTTATGTATTTCTGTAGTACTGGAGACTGAACCCTGGGCCTCACACATTCTGATCAAGTGCTCTACTACTGAGCTATATCTCCAGCCCTTTTAATTTTTTAATTTTGAGAAAGAATCTTGCTAAGTTGTCCAGGCTGGCCTCAAACTTGTAAGCCTCCTGCCTCATCCTGTAAAGTAGCTGGAATTGTATGCATGCTCCATTGTGCCCAGTTTAAGTGGTAGTTTAAAAGTCAGAATAATCCATATCACCTGGGAAATAGAGCATTGAGCAGTCACTCCAAAACTGAGATCCTGCTTCCTTTAATCCCGAGGAATACCTAAGGCAGGCAGATGGCTCGCTCTGAAGGCTGAGCTGCTGCTAACTACTCCTTGAAGTCAGGGAGATTTCTCTGGGATTTTGGAACTTGTCTGCGACCTTAATGAGCCAACCCAGAAAATGTGCCCACTGTGAATATAAGTATGAATTCCATGACTCAGCCTCTCCATTTCAGCTTCCTCCAGCCTGCTGAGAGTTCAGAAAATCACCCCACCACAGAACATAGATGTCTCCTACCTGCAGAGCTTCTGCCTTTGGTCAACAGCCACTGGTCCAATTGGAGCTCCATGCAGGAAAGAGACATAAGCATCATATCCTGCAGGAAAGGCACAGGAAAGGCAGGAACAAAGTCGTAAAGATTCACCTAAGTATGGGGAGTAGGGAGGAAACTAAACTAAAATTTACTTTTTGGGTAAAAAAATAATTCTTCTACCTACTTTCCATTTCCTAAATGTTAATCAGTGGCTACTTGCTATGACATAAAAAAGGCACATGGATCTACACTGAGATAAGACTTGGGAAGGACAAAAGACCTGCCATCAGAGTCCTGAGGGACTATCCTGAAGAAGAGGATGTCATTCACCTGCCACATGCCAGGCCAGACACTGTATCCACTGAAGCCTTTAAAGTTCCTTGGGAGGTCAATGCATCATTCCCAGAGCACTCAGGGAAGCTGAAACTCAGTGACAAGGAGGTACCTGCCAGTATGCACTGTTAGAAATTAACTTGGTTTGCCTGGAGATCAAAGCCTTGGCTCTTGCTGCTCCACACTATTCCTAGCAGAAAGCCTGATGCACAAAAGCTACCAGGAGGGAGTCCCTGAGGTATTGCAGTGAGGTTTGCCCAGCAAGGGAGTGATGATCCACATGTTCCTCAAACTTGACCCTCAGCCAGAAAGATTACATGGGCAGGCCCTAATAGCTCCCCATGCTCCCACCTTGATACTTGCATAACACCTCCAATGGGAGGAGGCCTGAGTATCCTGTGCTCCCTTGAGCTCTGGGAGGCAACTAATGGAGGAGCCTGGGGTACAGAGTGCAGTTAGTAGACAAGGCTGAACAAGACTCCGTACAACTGCTGGAGGCTCCACCACTTCCCTAAGCTACCTACTTAGCCTCTGTACTTCTGTTTTCCTACAAGTTAAAAAAAAATTAGTGAGTCCCTCACACCTTGAACAGTCAAATTTGTGTGTTCAAGGTCCTCAAGCTTCACCCAGCTAACTTGCTTATCTCAGTAAATGACACTAGAAGCCCTTGCTATGACTCACATTCTCTCACATCCATACTCAATTTATCCTGTCAGTTCTGTCTTCAGAATCCTGATTCTGTCAGGTATGGTGACAAACGCCTGTGATCCCAGCAGCTCAGAAGGCTGAGGTAGGAGGATCTGGAGTTCAAAGGCAGCCTCACCAACAGTGAGGCACTAAGCAACTCAGTGAGACCCTGTCTCTAATAAAATACAAAGAAGGGCTGGGAATGCAACTCAGTGGTTGAGTGCCCCTGAGTTTAATCCCTGGTACAAAAAATAAAAAAAGAATCCTGATTCCACTGTCACCACTGATATCAGCCACCAACATTGCTCAGCTGGCAGCAATCTCCTGCTGGCTCCCTGAACCTACTCTTATCCCAGTTTATCCACTACTCAGTCACTAGAGGTCTTTCTGGACACAAGCCAGGTTAGTCCTATGATTTCCTACTTCAAACTCCTTAGGGGTCTAGGTTTTAGGCACATAAGTAGATGCAACAAGTGGACTAAACATATCAGCCATATACCCACAGAAGATCTCTGTCTCTGTCCCCTGGTCCCACTATGATGCTGGCCATAGAGAGGCCCCTGACCTTGATGTGCTTGTTGCTGCAGTCTCTTAGCAGTGGGTTGGGCAGGCTGGTGCTGTGCCTCCTCCAGCTGTGGTAGACGCTGAGCACAACCTCTGCCAGGCCTGGTGGCCACCTCAGCAGGAACTTGTGGCCCATGCCCTTCAGGTAGCGCATCATCAACTCCAGAATGCCCCCATTGGTCAGGTTCTCCAGTAGGAACTCATGTACATCCTGCTTCTCTGCCCAGAGAAAGAGAACAACCTGACCTGGATGAAGGGGACTTCCTATGTCCAGTCTCCTATTCTCTTTAAAAGAGGAGAACCTGTGCCCTCCTCCACCACTCAATTCAGGTGAACATGGTATCAAGTTGCAGTGCTGAGGTCAGGTTGTTGGGGTTCAGTGTCTAGCTCCAGCCCTCATCAGTTGTGAGCAAGCCTCTCATAATCACCATGTCTAGGGCTGGGGATGTGGCTCAAGCGGTAGCGCGCTCGCCTGGCATGCGTGCGGCCCGGGTTCGATCCTCAGCACCACATACAAACAAAGATGTTGTGTCTGCTGAAAACTAAAAATAAATATTAAAAAATTCTCTCTCTCTTAAAAAAAAAATAATAATCACCATGTCTAAGGTGGGCATCAAAAGGGCTGACTTCCAAATGCTGCTTTGTATGCTTAATGAGATAATGCACATACAATATTGCACAGTGTCTGGCACATAATACGTATTCAACAGCTGTGATCATATAGATTCAAGTTGTAAAGCCAAGTCTCTGAATTCAGCCTTCAGGGAGCACACAGCTTTCAAGGAGCACAGCAAGTATAAGCCTGAACATTTCATTAGACCTACCAGTTAGCCACAGATCTCAGGCCCGAGCAAATTCAGGTAGCTCTTTGATCAAAGCTTAAAAAACCTCCCCAAACCATCCTCCCAGAATAAAACATAGGCAGGTTATAGGATAATTTGAGGAAGAATTTCCAGCAGTGATTAACCATATTGCTAATTCCTACCAGATTCCATGAACGTGGCCGAGTCAAAGGACAGTCGATGAGGCCCCATGCTTGAGAAGTTTTCCAGTTTGGCTTCTGATTGGACTTCATAGTTATTAAAGGGATCATCTTCCTCCTCAGGGTCCAGCTTTCTTAACCTGCATGGAATGTGTCAAAGTTACTAAAGTCATATCACTCATTCTGATATAAGCATCTGAATTTTTCCTATTAAGAAAAACTAAATCAGAGACAGGGTGAAGTAGACTAAAATAAGTGAGTGGCAAGGTCCCAAGCCTCCAGGTGGTTCTGCCTCTCTCCAGGATTTTGTGAGCTGGTGTCTGGTCTCACTCATTCATTTATCCATCAACAGATAATTGCTCTGTATCAGCCATGGGCCCAGCATGGTACTAGGTGCCAGAATATAGCCTGCCTGCAGGAAGTTTATCTTCTAATAGGAGAAACAGCCAAAAAGCACAAATATAATCAACTTAGATAGGGACCAACCACAACAGAGTGCTTGAAACAGAGAACAAAATCATTCAGGCTGACAACAGAGAAGGGCTAGCAAAAAAGCAGGCACAAAGCCACAGGCTGGATGAAATTAGATATGCTCTACACCCTGCAGGGAGGGAGATGTCTGGCAAACAAGAAAAAAGTGTGTGGGTGAGAACGTGGCGGGTACATCAGGCCCATCTGAGCTTGGTTCTGGGCCTCTGGGCCTGGCCCAATCTTGGGATTAGAGAGACCTCTCCCAAGAGAAATCATTCTTTCAAACTGCTCTCAGGTATCATGCCTTGGCTATCTTTGTGGCTTTATCTCAAGCCAGCATCTCTACAGCATAAATACTCAGTACACTTGTAAATGTGTTCACTCACTTATTGCACACTCCCAGAGAGAATCTATTGAGCAAGCTTCCATACTGTTGCCTGAAAATTCAAGGAAGCGAACACTAAAACCTTACAGGAGATCAACAACTGAAATAAAGTAGAAACCATTCCACATAAAGGGGGCTGGGAAGCAAGTTCTCAAGGTAGAACAGCATGGTTAAGGGGAAGTTGGGGGTCACTCTACCAAAGTTTAAATCCTGCAGCTCTTCCAAGGAGAAATCTTTTGGTATCAAACCTCAGGAGAAATTTATCAGAACAAACTATATCCTCACCTTGGTCCACATTAACTGCATGCTGAGATTAACCTTTATTTGAAGCATTTCACCTTCACCACAGAAAGGCAACAAGTTAGTAAAATTAGGAATCCTGCTGTAAAACAGATTTATAATTCTCCTAAAGCTTCTGGCTATTCCTTCTGGACTTTGATGAAATTGCCACTGAAATTGTTGCAAGACAAAATGACAGCTGAAAAATCCTGGTCAGATGGCATACTATACATAAATAGTTACCTCCCAAACTCCATTCCAGTAACCATGAAGGAATAAGAAAGGTTAAGAACCCAAAAAGATACAGGAGATATGAAAGGAAGCCCTACAGAAAAAAGATGTGCCAAACAGATGTTAGAAGGCAGAAAGATAGACTAAAGTGACTAAATGCTTTCTCCACTCAGCTAAAGGTAGAGGAAAGGAGTTATCAAGAAGCCTACTTACTGGCACAATAAACCCTGGGAAGGCTCAGAAATGCAGGGCCTTGAAGCCTCTGAAGGTGATCGAGTAAGAACAAAAAAAAAAAAGTAGGACTGGTGAGATATCTATTATATAGGGAGCAGTGGGGCCCAGGTCCCTCCCAGCTCTAGAGAACTTGGCACTTTCTCCTCCCCTAGGTTTCTCTGAGGAACACTAAGAACCAGTGAAACCAAGGAACACCTTACAAGCTCTTCTTCTACCTTCTCAGAAAACAAGGGAATATTGCTGAACCTGGAGAAAATCAAGTAAGCACCCACTCCCTGAAAGAAGTCCTTTCAAATGGGGTTTGACAAGCATTTACATCTAAGTAAGGCACTGTGGCCCCAGGCTCTCAGCAATAAGCGGATATCTGTGGGTGCACAGGACATGTGTTATGTTTTGGACCTTAAATGTCCCCCCAAAACTTGTGTATTGAAGGCTCCCTCCATGGCTGATTGGAGCTATTGGGAGTTGGTGAACACTTTAGGGATAGGGACCAGTTGGATGCAGTAAGTCTCATATGCTTCCAATATGACATGCCTCACCACAGGCCCAAAGATAAAAGGTCCAAGCAACCACAGACTAAAACCTCTGAAATCATGAGCCAATAATAAACCTCTTAAGCTGATTTTTTAAAAACATTGTTTTAGTTATAGATGTAGGTATTTATTTTAATGTGGTGCTGAGGATTGAACCCAGTGCCTTACATGTGCTAGGCAAGCGCTCTACCACTGAGCTATAATCCCAACCCCTTAAGCTTAGGCACTCTGTCATAGTGACAGAAAGCTGATTAACAAAATTATGTGTTGTCTTTAGCTCCCTAGAAGTACCCAGTCCTCAAAAGATTAACAAGTCACACCTTCTACCTTAGGAAGTTCAGAGGCAGGAAGAGGCAAGAAAATCCAAGATCTTGGTCCAGTATGATGTATACTATGGATATTTGCACAGATGTTAAAGGAAAACAAAGGAGGTACCCAGAAGAAAGGATGGTGATTCAATAAGAAATATTACTGAGGGTATAGGTTGGCAGTTTGTGCATATACTGTTTTGTCAAACAGAAAAATTGTGCACAATACCTGGATGGCAAGAATTTCACCAGAAGCTCCTGGAAGTCCACTTTCTCTTCTTTTTTACACTTGGTGTTTCGGACACGGGCAGATCTCCGCTTTGCAGTCTCTCCACTCTCTTCTGAAATCTTCTTCCGCTTTACCCCTTTCTTGGATTTATCTCCCCCAGAAACATCGCCTTCACAAAGAACACAAATTAAAACCTTATAAGGTAGCAGAGGTGAAAAAAATGTACTATACAGATGCGATTAGTTTCCCTGTTTTATAACTATCAGCATTGAATTTTTCTTTGACATTCAAGAAATCTTTCTTTTTCAACAACAGAGTCTTCAGTAAAATAAATTTAAAACCCCTTAACTCTCACACTTTTCTTGAGTTGACAAGATCCACAAGCCAGGTCTCAGAGCACCTTTATCCCTCTGGGGCCTTATGAGAATAAGGCTTTACTATTCCCTCGCTGGGAGTAGATGAAGTGAGTGATACTGACCCTATCCAGGACCCTCTGAACACAGGATGATACGAAAATACCAAAAAAACTGTGTGAATTACCCAGAGAGCAGAGGAAAGCCATGTATAATTAAGAAAGAAAGTTAGAAACAACTAGGCATGTGTTCATTCAAAAATTTCTATTATTCTTTCTTGCAGTGACAGAGAAATTAAGGAAAATTGTGGGAGCTTTTGTCAAAAATTTTTTATAACTCCAGAGATAATAAAAACCACTAAAATAAGTGAGGCACAGTGGTGCATGTCTATAATCCCAGCTACTCAAAGGCTGAGGCAGAAGGATCACAAGTTCAAAATCAGCCTCAGCAACTTAGCTGAGATCCTGTCTCAAAAAGAAAAACAAAACAAAAATACTAAAAAGGGTTGGGGATGTAGCTCAGTTGATAGAATGTACCTGGGTTCAATGCCCAGTATGGCAAAGAAATTTAAAACAATTTTTTTTGAAAAAAAAAAAAAAAACCACAAAAATATACTACCACTTGGTGGTGATTTTACTGACTTGATTTTCTAAGGTCAAAGGACTCAGAATGCATGTAGCAAGCTAGAGGGGATCTGGCAGTGTCCATTTCACAAAGTGTGACTCAGCAACTGGGGTGGGGAGACCGGTTGCTGTCAATGAGCAAGGAACTCTATCCCAGGGCCTCACAACCTCCCTGCAGGGGCTTTAGTACTGAAGTGCTGGCCCTGGGGACAGGCGGATAGGCTCCTCTACAGGGCGATGGGCTCTCACTTCCACTTATGCCATGAGGATCAGCATATCTCATCTCCCTGGAGAGGCCAGGGAACACCAATGCTCTCATTCCTGCTGAGGTCAGCAAATAGGGTCTCTCCAGAAGCGGACTCCAAGAGGCCTGCTCACCCACAGCAGTGCCTGTATCCAGCAAGCTGGGACTGTGCAGTGGGAAGCTAGCTGTTGCCACAGAGGTATAGGAGAGCACAGGCTCAGCCACAGTTATGGCTGGGTTGGTGTTGACAGGGCTCTGCTGGATCACACTGACAGGCGTCACCACCATGGAAGATGCTAGCAGCAGGCTGGGGTCCTGGTAGTCAGACAGGTCAATTCTCTTGCCAAGGCTGGGTCGTGGGGGCTCACAGGTGGTGAGGTGGTTGTACATAGCCAGCAAGCTCTCTCCAAGGCACTTCCACCTGCAAAGAAAGAGCCACCACACCTGGTCAGCACCTTGTTACAAGAGTCAACTGGCCTACAGAAAGACAACAGAGATGCTTTTGGAACTATAACTTCCATGGGAGTGAAGGGAGATAGTTAACATTTTGTCATTGTTGTAAGTGACAAAATCTTGAGCATAATACATCTGAAGGTGGAGTAGCTTGAGACAGTAGAAGCAGGGGCTGGCACCTTCCTGCTCCTCACCCAGCAGAAGCTCCTAATGTTCTTTTACTAAAGGGATGTTGCTTTCCTGATTTTTAAGGAATAGCAATTAGTGTCCCAATGGTCACCAGCTAATAACAGCAGGAGTGCCAGAACCGGATCCCGGTGTGTCTGATCCAGGAAAGGAACTCCTGGACAATGTCTCTGAGGAAGGTGTACATATGTCGGGGAGGAGGTGCAGGATATAGAACATTGATGCCAAGGCATACTAAATTTAAAGGTTTAAGATTCAATGTCAGAATTTTTTAAAACAGAAATTGAATGCCAGAGTTCACAAATGGGCTAAACTACCCCAATACCAGTGTGCCCTTCTTGATGGGGGAGGGCCTCTCACATATCATAGGGCTCACAAGGGTGACCTTCAGAGTTCCATCTTGCAGGAAGGAAAGCACAAACTTGACAGCCAGGGAACTCCAAACCTGGGATCAACTCAAGATTTTCCAGTTTCCTTCTGGCAAGTGCTTTAGTTTTCTTTTCATCTCTGGATAGGGCCTTACAGAAACATGGCAGATGGCTGGGGTCAACAATGGTGAGAGCCAAGAGGAACTAAGACTGGGCATACTTGAAAAAGAGCTGAGCTGCTACTTAGTAGTCAAGAGTAGGTACATGTCTCCAGCCTTCTGGCATTGGTTCCCAGCCTCTACCCATGACATCAGCTCAAGGTCAAGCTTGGCACTTCTCTCTCCTGTGCAACGTGGTGTCCCACAGAGGGTCCACTAGCCAACCCAGCGTTCCTAGAGACACAAGATAACCTACGTGAAGAAGGGGATTGGCTGCACCAGTTTCAGGTCTGGCTCCTTCTCCCGCACAATCAATGCTTGCCTCTTTTTCCGAAGTCCCAGGGCCTCATCTACGATGGCCTTTGTCTCAGCAGCACTCACTGACACATCATGAATTGACATGTCACTAAAAACATGTAAAACAGGGAGAAATTACAATGTTACAATCTAGAGCCAAGGCTGAAATTTTATAGAGAGGGGTGTGTTTAAGTTAACATCCTTTAGCCTGTATCCATTCTTCTCACATATAAAATAACCGCTTGAATTTGGCCTCAAATGGACAGTAACTAGCATTCTTAATACCCCCATAACTAGAAACGACTAACAACCTTTGTTCCTTCCAAAACCCACAAATGAGAAGAGAAAGGGATTTTTTAAACTTTATTTTATTTATTTATTTATTTTTATGTGGTGCTGAGGATCGAACCCAGTGCCTTGCACGTGCTAGGCTCTACTACTGAGCCACAACCTCAGCCAGAGAAAGGGTTTTTGTATGTATTAATATTATCATAATGCCTTGAAAAGCCACAGCAAATAAAATCATGCTCTTGATTATTTATAGAAAAATTTAAAAGCATTTAACTATCCTATACTGCACAACCCAACAAAAAAACCATTAGACAAACCAACTCACCAAAGTCAATGGTATCCCCCAAATACAATAAGGGTAGGGCGCTGAGGCCTCAGATGCCCTTCCAAAGTCACACTCTGCTTGAAGTGGCCCAACAAAAACTGCCCTCCTGTACAGACTGTCCTGATCCCAACAGGGCTACCCAACACAGCCACTCAGGGACTTGGTTCCCTCATAACAGATGTGAACACAGGCATAAGCTCATGGAGGACAGATTAAAACAAAACAAAACACCCCAGTATCCCTAAATAGTTGAGTTCTAATACAAAAGGGCAAGAGGAGCTGGCTCATCTGGAGGTTTGGGGGAGGTTCACCTAGCACACAGAAAGTGGCAGAAACACCACTGGGAATTGAAATGTGAAGGAGGAGCAACCGCAGGACAAGCAGAGGGGTGGGAAGATGACAAGGCTATTCCTCGAAGATCTTCTCCTTGAGAACCAGGTTAGTACACAGTGGGAACCAGAGAGAGGAGACAGAATGGTTCACAACAGGGCCAAGCCTGGAATCTATCAGGTACCTGAAGCAACTCTAACAAAAGAAGCTTGAGAGGAAAAACAGGAGGTGAGAGTGAAAAACCAGAGGACCAGGCTAGAACCTCCTGGATGATGCAGCTGGGTTCTATCCTGGAGGCAAGGCAGAAACAGCACAAGATCAGAGGTATGCTTGGAACACTGAACTTGAGCAGTACTGGAGACAGAACCTTGAAAGGAGAAAGGAGATAAGGTGGGAAGCAGGCTGTCATAAGCATCCAGAAGACAACTAAAAAACACTGAAAACTTTCAGGGCAGTAGGAAAGGAGAGCAGCAACTATGTTTACCTCAGCCTGAGAAGGCAGAGCCAAGCTCAGGTACAAGCTGAGAGATAAATAAGGCAGGTTGAGTAACCTCATTAGTTAAGGGGCCACTATAGGAGATGAAGCCCTGGAATTCAGGGCTCCACCTACTAGGAGTTCAGGACCTGAGAGAATGAGGTGCACTCCTGCTATTTATCAGCTGTACAGGGAGGGATGCAACCATATGGGATGACACAGACTTACCATTTGAGGAACATTCTGAGAGAGTCCTTCCGGAGACAAGGCTGTTCCTCGAAGATCTTCTCCTTGAGAACCAGCCCTTTGCTGTACCTGCAATCCTTCTCCAGTGCTTTGCAAATAAAGTATAGACACGCTGGCAGGGAAAGAAATAGGACTTTTGAGACTACACTTGGAAACTCTGGTCTTGCCAGTTAACAGAAGGAAAATGTTCCCACTCTGGAATCAAAGAAATGTTTGATAATAATTGCAAGACAGTACTTTATCCAATTCCATTAAGAAAGATTTCTAAGATTATAATATCATATATTAGTATATTATAATATTGTAATATAGATGGGGCACTCCAACATGAACAGACCCAAACACTGCCAGCAGAGGATAAACTATATGAACTTTCTAAAGGACCTTGACTCTGCAATCCCACTTCTAGGAATTGCTACAGGAAAAAAAAACCCATGGGGCTCACAGTGATAAGATATTGGCCAAGTGGAAAACCTCCTTCAAAAAATCTGGTAACTACTCTGCCCCACCATAGGGACCTGGTTAAGTGATGTTCAGCTGATCCACACACTAGGTTGCCAAGCAGCCATTGTACAAATGCTCAAAGAATGAGCTAAAATGACCAGAAAGAAGGCCATAATATAGCATTGCGAAAAGAGAAAGGAAAAAACAAGTTACATAGTGGGATTCCATTTGTACATATAAAACTATTTTTTTCTTTTAAATTTTATTTACCTCTATTTTCCAACATTTCTTCTTTTCCTTTTAAAAACTATTCTTAAAGTTATTGTCTACAATTTAAGATGTGTACTTCCTTCATGTAATCAAAGTACCTTTCTCAAGTCATTGATCTGGAAAGCCTATGCCAATTCTGGCTCCTCCAGGCCTGGAGACAGTAATAGATGAACTAATGCTTAGAGACAAATAGGATGACAGATTCATGAAGCAGAACTACAATGTGAGTTATAAAAGTCTTTATCCCTTATAAGTGGGACTAGCCCCTGGCAAACAGTACCACTGAGTTCCCAGCTACTCTGTGTTGCCAGGTCTCACCAGTGAGCACTCAAGGATGCAGTAAAGTACCAACTCCACTCTGCCTGGGCACTGGGACTACCATCATGCCCTGCTATGCTTCTCAATTTGAATGTGGTTAAGCTGCAGTTCACTCCTATCAAGAATAACCAGAAAAAGAAGGAACTGGAGCAAAAGAAGGAGGAAAGCCAGAGCAGAAGTGATCTGAGCATGGAGGTCTTGGGAGAGAAGGAAATAATATGCTTCTGGTGTACCAATTCAGGAGACACAAGAGCCTACTCATGACACTAGTCAGGGGCCATGCCTTTGAAGGCATACAAAGGGTCTGCACCCAGCATGCTATATACTAAACTGGTCCAAAGATGCCTACCTCAGGTAAACAAGGAACATGGTTCCTCTGGGAGCACAGTGGGACCTGAGGGTAGCCATCAGAAACTTCCAGAGAGAAAACCAGGGAGGAACTGGGAATCTGGATGGTGCTTGTTCTTAGCAGGCATATCAGCTGCAGTGAGGTAAGCTTGCTATCTGTATTATGCTTACCATTCTACAGAGGGAAGACCTAAGAAATCTCAAGGAAACAAGAGGAGGTTAATAGGCCTTAACCCAACACCCTGCCTTCTTATCTCATTAAGCATGAATTCAACATGCTGCTTTTACTTTTTGTATTAAATGAATGGAAAATTTATGGGGCTCTCATATGAATCAGTTCAATCCCTGTGATGATTAACTTTATGTGTCAATTTGACTGAACCACCAAGATGTCCAGACCTCGGTCAAACAATATTTTGTGTATTTCTGTGATGAAATTAAATTTTAAATCAGTGGATGGAATAAAATAGGTTGCATTCCCAAATGTGAGTGGGCCTCATCTAATCAAGTAATGGCCTTAGTAGAACAAAAAGGCTGACCTTTCCAAATAAAAGAGAATTTTTCCTGCATGCCTGACTTCAAACTTGAACACTGATTTTTTCTTGTCTTCTCAATGGATCAAAATATCAGCTCTTCCTGGGCCTGCTAGCCTACAGACAGGAACTACACCATCAATTCTCTGGGGCTGAAGGCCATTGGGCTTGCTCACCTGGGTCTCCAGCTCGCCACCTCATCCTATAGATCTTGGAACTTGTCAACTTCCGTGATTGCATGTGCCAATTCCTTATAATAAATCTTTTTCTATATATGTATATGCATATCTAATTGGCTTTATTTCTGGAGAACCTGTGTACAGGCCCCCAATTATGGTTTTTCCCACAAGGACTAAGCTTACCAAGCATAATTTCTACCATAAAAGAGGGGTACAAAAACTAAACTTGTTGGCTTGAGAGAGGAAGGCTGAAAATTGAAGATGGTACCCAAACTGTAGGAGGAACCACAAAAAGAAACTAAAAGCCTCTGAAAGACAAAACCGCTAGTCAAAATGTTATACTATAGAACTGTCATATTCTGTTGGTGATAAAAATTGGAGGAAACTTCAGAACAAGTGCATATGTCTACTGAAGGATATATATATAAGAAATGTTTATAACAGCATTATGCATAAGAGCCCAGAGGTGGAAAAGAAACCCCAAATGTCCACAAATAGAATTGTTAAATAGTACAGACTACACAGCAATGAAAAAGACCTAGTGGCTGCTATGTCCTACATGGGTGTACTCACAGACAGGATGACAAGCAGAGAAAGCCAGGATGAGAAGACTTCGGACTCTACTGCAAAGAAGTTCAATTATTGGCAAAGTTAATCTCTTGTAACAAAAGGGAGAGAACAAAGTTGCTTTATGGGGTGGTAATGAGTGGAAAGGACCTAAGTAGCCTGCCTTCTGGGTTGTAGCAAATGTTTCATATATTGAAGTATTTTCACATACACAAAATGATGGGCCTCATTATGTACTTTATTTTTATTTTATTTATTTATTTATGTGTGTGTGTGTGTGTGTGTGTGTGTGTTGCCTCAATTAAAAAGATTTTAAAAAATGGTTCTGGAGAACAAGAACTAGAGGTAGAAGAGTGAGCAAGGCCTTGCACTTCTCAACATATTCCATTCTGTTGCCATTTGGCTCTTAAAACGAAAGGGGAGAAAAGACTTCCCAGCTTCCAGAACTGTGAGAAATAAATGTTTATTGTCTAAGCCACCCAATCTATCATTTTGTTATAATAGTTTGAACTAAGACAGAAGTGGGCACTGAGGAATGGGTTGTTATTATAACAAATACCTAACAAATGTATAAGCAGCTTTAAACTAGGTAATGGGTAGAAAATCGAAGAGTTCTGAGGTGCATGCCAGTAAAAGTCATATTACCATGAAGGGATTGTTAAAGGTGACTCTAGTAAGGGCTCAAAGAAAAAAAGGCCAGAAGCTGTTGAGAAAGTGTTCATAATTACATCCAAAATGTCAGTAGAAATATGGATATTAAGGGCAATTCTGCTGAGGTCTCAGGCAGAAATGAAGAACACAACAAAGAAAAAGTGATTCATGTTATAAAGATGCAAAGCACTTAGCTGAATTGTTCTAGTGTTTCATGAAAGGGAGAATTAGTGAGCAATGAAATTGAATATTTACCTAAGTAGATTCCTAAGCAAAGTGTTAAAGTATAGCACAGTTCTTCTTGACAGCTTAGTTAACCCTCCATATCCACAGGTTCTGTATTGGCAGATTCAACCAACTACAGACCAAAAATATTTGAAAAAAAAACAACTGTGTCTGACTTTTGTCATTATTCCCTAAATAATACCATATAACACTATTCATTTACATTGTATTATGTATTAGAAGCAATCTAGAGATGATTTAAAGTATACAGGAGGATGTTCCTAGGTTATATGCAATACTATGCTATTTTGTATAAGGGACTTGAGCATCCACAGATTTTGCTACCCAGGAAGGTACTAGAACCAATCACCCACAGACACCAAAGGACAACTGTATAGTAAAATACAAGAAGAGAGAAATGAATCCAAACTAATACAATGAATTAAAAGGGGAATTACTTAGCAAAAAGAAATGAGGACTTAAAGATTTGGATTATTCTCAGCCTATATATATTGCAAAAATTGCAAAAGCTTGTTCTGAAGAAAATACTTGTATGTGGCAATCAACCATTTGATAACAAGATTTATGTATGAACCACAACTTAATCACTTATCTCAGCAGAAGCTAGGAACAGAAATGGAATTATACTAGCAGAAACACCACCAGTTGGGAATAAAGGGAATAGAAAAAAACAGGAGGGAATAAAGAAAGGCTATGAATGTGTGCTATCCTTTAAAAAAAAAGGAAAGGAAATGAGAGGGGCTGGGGACATGACCCAGTAGTAGAGCACTGGCTTGGCATATATGTGGCACTGCAAAAATATGGATAGATACATGAATGAATGAATGAATGAATGAATACAAAAATATATAAATAAGTGGAAGAAGGATCCCGAATATAATTTCAGGGTCATTAGGCTGCCACTCCTCCACTCCTACCATAGGAGGTAGGGCTTGTTCCTTAAACGGTGGGCTATCTCTCCAGTTGGCATGAGCCAGGATATCCCAGATCAAGGTCTCAGGGATAAGGCCCTACAAAGTAAGAAACATAGGGTCAAACCACTGAGTTGTGGGAGTGACACTCTCCCCAAAGGGCCTAAAGGGCAGAGCATAAAACCAAAGAGAATTATTCCTGAGCCTTTTGACCTAACGAAATTTGCCTTGATACGTTTTGGACCTATCACCACCCTTCTTTCCTATTTCTCCCTTTTGGAAGGAAATGTCTAGTTTATGTCTGTCCTATCATTATATTTTGGAAGTACTTGACTTAATCTTGCTTAACAGGTTCACAAATGGAGAAGAAGTTTGCTCCAGGATGAACTGTATATTCCATCTCACCTATATATGATTTAGATGAGAATTTCTGAAATTGATGCTAAGACAAGTTTGAGGGTTGCTGGAATAAAATATGTATTTCTTGCATGTAAGAAGGACATGAATTTTGGGGGTCCAGGGAAAAATACTGTAGACTGAATGGTTGTGTCTCTCCAAAATTCATTTGTTGAAGCTCTAATCCCCATGTGATGGTATTTGGAGGTGAGGCCTTTGTAATATAGGTTTAGATGAGGTTATGCATGTGGATCCCCCATGATGGGAGTGGAATGGTGTTCTGGTTGGTTTTTGTTTTTCTTTGGTACTGGGGATTGAACCAAGGGGCACTTAATCACTGAGGCACAGCCTTTTTTTGTATTTTATTTAAGAGAGGGTCTCACTGAGTTGCTTAGAGCCTCACTAAGTTCCTGAGGCTGGCTTTGAAGTCGAGATCCTCCTGCCCCAGCCTCCCAAGCCACTGGGATTACAGGCATATGCCACCATACCCAGTGGTGTTCTTAGAGAAGAGAAAGAGACTGGAGTTCCCTCAAGCTCTCTCTTTTTTGCCATGTGGGGATATACCAAGAAGATGGCCTTCTGCAAACCAAGGAAAAAGCTAAGATCAGATACCAAGTTTGCTGGCACGCTGATCTTCAAACTTTCCAGGCTCCAGAACTGTGAGAGATAAATCTCTATTTTTCAAGCCACTTCATCTAGAGTATTTATTTTTACAGCAACCCAAACTGATTAAGACACAAAAGATGGGACAATGCACAGATGAAATAAGATAGCCAAATGGAAAAAAATCACTCAGAGAAAATATGACTTATTTTTATAAAGCATCTGATAAATCAAGAAAGACAAGAAGGCTGTGGCATACTATGATCCAGTAACTTGGAGGGCTGAAGCAGAAGGATCCCAAGTTTGAGGCCAGCCTGAGCAAATTAGCAAGATCCTGTCTAAAAATAAAACATAAAAAGGACAGCTCAGTGGTAGAGCATCCCTGAATTCAATCCCCAGTACCATTAAAAAAAAAAGGGTGGGGGGGAGGCTAGGATTGTGGCTCAGCGGTAGGGCACTCGCCTAGCATGCGCGGAGACCTGGGTTCGATCCTCAACACCCCATAAAAATAAATGAATGGAATAAAGGTATTGTGTCCAACTACAACTAAAATAAATAAATAAATATTTTTTAAAAAGACAAAATAATAAGTTAGGGGTATTAAGATAATAACATTTCATTCTCTTTGACAGTCTGGCAGAAAGCCTGTCAGTGTTAACTTTGGCTACCAGCTTATACCCAAGCCACCCTCCCTCCTCTGATGCAAAAAATATAAGCACATGGAGAAAGCACCAAAGCCTGACTCACTTGTGTAATCACTGAGGGTGTACAGGACAGTGATGAGGTTGTCCAAGCAAGGCCAGTGGTCAGGATTGCACCGCAGCCCTTCCTCAAAAGCATGACGAGCCAGGGGGAGCCGGATGAGTCTCAGGGCCACATGTCCAATTTTATACCAGAGGTTGACATCTGTTGAGTCCAACATTACTGCCTGGAAGAAGCATATGCACATTTGGTTGCTGAGATCCCAAGAAGTACTAGCCTTGCCATTGAACTACCCTCTTAAATGGCAAAAGTGGCATGATTGCCTTATAATTGATTAGCAAAGCCAGTCCCCAGAGTCACACTTTTTAAGAGCCAGAGAAATGACACATAATAAGTTATTTAACTCAGGACATTTTTTTATCTATTTTGTTAATTTAACAGGTAAAAGAAGGGGAAGGAGTAGAATGAAAAGAAAATATGGCAGTCTTCTGGGACTCTAGAATGATTATATGCTTTGGAGAGACTTTAGTTCACATCCCTGCTCCATTACTGATTAACAGAATGATCCTGAGCCTGTTTCCTTATCACTGAAATGAGGATAAAGACACCTTCCTTGCAAGACAATAATTAGAAAGCAATTAGAATGGTGTCCAATTATCACATTAGAGATGCACCCAGATACAGCAATGGTAATATAGAAATAATGGCAATGCTACTATGACAGTATATTGTCAGCTCTGTTCTTCATACTTGTATGCATATCAACAAGTTTGATCTTCACAACCGTCCTCTTTTTTCATTATTTCCACTACACAGGTATAGACCAAGAGGGTCAAACAATTCACTCACAGTCTCATGTGTACTGGGTAGCAGAGGAAGAATTCACATGCAGATCTTTGCATCCAAGCATGCCCTTGCCCCACCACTGCTCTCCAGGCCTGTATGTAGTTACTATTAACACCCATTGACTAGGGCTTTCTAGTTAATGGGTGTTAATAGTAACTACATACAACGGCTTTTGATGCACTGCTACAAATTCTTTTTGGCCAACAAGACCACAACCACATCCCTTCAGCAAGAGCTTTTAAAACAGAGAAAACTAAGAGCTGTCAAAACTGCACCTCCAGGGCTAGGGTTATGGCTCAACGGCAGAGCACTAGGCTAGCATGTGTGAAGCCCTGGGTTCAATCCTCAGCACCACATAAAAATAAAATAAAGATATTAAAAAACAAACAAACAAACTGCACCTCCAAGTAGAACTCCATGGCTGTCTCCAGATCCTCTCGCTGGGCTGCCAACTGAGCCAGGTTCTTATATGTGGAATATTTCAGTATCAGCCCAGGGTGTTTCAATCCCTCTTTCTCATCACCAGATGAAACTGCCTGTGAACAAAAGAAACAGGGGCAAAGAAATGACGCCTAGGCCTTGAATCTTGTTATAGTTTAGATATGAGATTCTCCCCAAAAGCTCGTGTGTGAGACAATGCAACCATTTTCAGAAGTGAACTGAGATCATGAGGTGTAACCTAAGTGGTGAATTAAATTCACTGATATGGACAGTAACCTTAGGCAGGTTGGATGTGGCTGGAGAAGGTATGTCACTGGGGGCTGTGCTTTTAGAAAACATATTTTGTCCCTGGTAAGCAGTTAAGCAATATTTCTCTTTCTTTCTCCCCCTCCCTCCCTCTCTCCCACCTTTTCCTCTAGTTCCCTGTTGCCATGTCCTAAGCTGCCTTCCTCCTCCACACCCTTCCACCACAATGTTCTGCCTTACCTTGGGCCCAGAGCAACAGAGTTGGCCATCTATGGACTAAGACCTCTGAAACTGTGAGAAACCTCTGAAACTTTTCCTCCTCTACATTTTTCTTCTCAGGTCTCTTGGTCACAGTGATAAAAAGTTGACTAAAACAAAGTTTCAGCAAATAGTTTGCAGGATACCTGGCTTCCAGTCTAGCCTCTTCTATGGGCTCTTGAGTCAATTCAGTGTCAGCCTCCACTAGAAAATGAAGGTGCTAGAATAGGTGTTCCTAGAAGATCCCAGCAACTCCAACTTCACTGAGAGAAAGACCACCATAAGGCAGTTTGTAAAAGTATGGGCACCAACAGAGACAGAGGGAACCCTCCCAACCAGTATCACTACACCTGAGGGCTCAAAGTTTGAATGATAACATTTACCAGCATTCGTAAGCCAGCCCAGTCCTACCCACTGTAGGACTGAAGACGGAGGACAAAGTATAAGGAGACTTTCTGGGACAGCAGGTAGGACCTAGAACTTCAACCCAAGGAACCCTGGATTAGGAGTTAGGAAACAGAGCTCCCAACCTTGTAAATTGTCATGAGACCATAAACAAGTTACTTTAACTAAATAGTGTCTTATAACCTCTGTAACAAAAGGACAATCATTCCTAGCCTGAATAACAAAGGTAAACACGAGCTTAAAAATAAATATTGTAAACATCTTTATGAAAAATCTTAGAAAACATATCTTCTAAGAAATTACTGATTAGAAAACTATTACTCTACCCATAGGACAAAGGCAAAAACATTTTCTAACAGAAAACTCACTGGCACAAAGAAGCAATTTCCAGGAACTAGTCCATATTACAGTTTTGTGTCCTGAAACCAGTGGCTTCCACACACTATTCTTTTTTTTTTTTTAAATGTCTTTGTTTATTTTTATTTTTATATGGTGCTAAGGATCGAACCCAGTGCCTCACACATGCTAGGCAAGCGCTCTGCCACTGAGCTACAGCCCCAGCCCCTCAACACACTACTCTTTTTTTTTTTTAAAGAGAGAGAGAGAGAATTTTTTTTTTTAATATTTATTTTTTAGTTTTCAGCGGACACAACATCTTTTGTTTGTATGTGGTGCTGAGGATCGAACCCGGGCAGCACGCATGCCAGGCGAGCGCGCTACCGCTTGAGCCACATCCCCAGCCCAACACACTACTCTTCATGTTCAGAATAAGCAAGACCTGAGGACATACCATCCTCAGGAAGCAACCCTTGACTAATCCAAGAAACCTAACTTGGAGTTCTTAAGGAATTCCATCAAGACTGAAAACTCAAAGCAAAACCCATACATTCATATTCTACCGTTGTCTGGCTTAGACTGTAAGAAGGTCCCCAAGAACCAGCTGACCAGGGCTAGGTCTCAAGTATCTTTTACTCCTCAAAATATAGAACTCTTCAAAAAAATTAGTATGAACAAAAATAGTGTGAGTCTACTTCACAGACTAAATAGCAACAGCAGACGCACTCTTAACTGACTTCCACCCAGTGACCACCTATATCCAGCACCACTCTCTATATTCCTTAAAAGGGTCACCCTAAGAAGCCTCTCTGTGATGCCACCAGCTAGGCTATATACTTCTTAGGAATCAGCTGTGGTCCAGGGCCTAATCATGTCAATGATTTGTGAATTATAATTACCCAATTTAGTTTAATATTAAGTATACCAATGCATATAAGTATAAAAAAACTTTTTTGTATATCTTTTATACTTTTCAATTGTTTACAATGATCATGTTTTACTTTTATAAGCAAAGGGGAAAGGTGCTAAAATGATATACACATGTATGACTACAAGGTTAACACAGAGCCAGTGCCCTTAAGTTAAAGCCTTCCTACCTTATACCTATCTGGCATTAGCTCTGTACTTAGAATGCCTGCTCAGTCTTACCTGTTTCCTTCTGAGATCTACTCAACCAAGGGCTGAGAAGGAAGACCCACTCTTGAAATGAGCCCAGTGTCTGACCCATACTAAAGTTTAGTAATATGGATTAAATTATTTTCCCTCCCTGGGCCCTCTCTTACTTCCTACTAATGAGAGAAGGGCAGGCCACATTTCCCATACCTTTAATTCTAAAACAACATAACAAACAACCAAAGAATCCTGACAACCCTTAAAACAAGGGTTTTAAGACATAAGCATCTGCCTTCCTGGAGGTGTAAGGGACTCTGCTTAACTGAAAGAAAAAAAAAAAAAAATGTGTGGTCCTGAATATGCCTGTAGAGTCTGTTTGCTTCCTGAATGCAAGCTATGGAGCTACAGCCCCAGCCCCTCAACACACTATGGGCTCTTGAGTCAGTTTAGGTACCTGAAAGCAAAAACTTTTATTCCTAATGAAATACAAACCTATCTAAGTCGATTTCAGGTTGAAACCAATTTCCAAACCTCATGTGACATCTTCATGACTCAGTAAACTTGAGGTGTAACTGACAGCATGGTCCCTACACTAGCACCAGTTCTTCCTACCTACCCTTTTCTGGCATTCCAGAAGGCAGGGGCAAAGAGATAACTTGAACCCAGGAGTCTTTCCTGAACAACATAGTGAAACTCCATCTAAAAAAAAAGTACATAATGTTCTCACACAGACTCATGGTCTATCACCCAAATGGCATCTGCCAATATATGCTTCCCAAAGGATCATTATGTATCAGAAAAGCTGGGATCGAATCCTACCCTAATACTTCATTTACATGAGTGGCTCTGAGCCATTGATACCTCACTAAGCCACAAGTTTTCACATTTGTAAATGGGAACAATACCCCCACCTACTGGGCAGAGTGGCTGTGAAATAATAATGGGCACTTGAACTGGAATCACTCAACCCTCTCAACAATCCAATGAAGTAGGTACTCTACAGGTGGAGAAAACGGGGGGCTCATAGGTGCAATACTGTTTTCAAGGACAAGAAATGAGAACACAAAGGTAACATCCAGCTTCACAGTCCAAGTGCTACCCACCATAGCTCACTGCCTAGCCTGCAAGTTCCTTACCTCCCGCAGCAGGCGTGCCTCCAGAAGCTCATGGTAGGCTTTGGCAGACTCCTCAAATCGGTCATGTTTCTGCAGATCCAGAGCTTTGTGATACAAGGCAAAAGCCTCTGCTTCCTACAAACCAAGACAGGAGATGTTGTCATAAAACACAAAGGTTTGTCTTTCTTAAACCAAAAATGTGTATAAAGGAAGTTATAATCATGTCCATGTTCATTGTCAGCAGCTGCACTCTCTAGTGTTAAAACAAACAAACAAACAAACAGCAACAACAACAAAAACAGTAGAACTACAATCTCCCAGGCACTAATCACTGGATAAAAACTCCTTATGAGCACCCCTTCCCAACAAGGAGACATGAGTAATGGAAACATTACCAAGTCTAAGCAATGGCAAAGACAACATAGAAAGCTGGGACACGGAATCAGACATGCCAAGATATAGGCCCAGTGGCCCTTTCTGGGTAAAACTGGAAAAGTGGACACAGGGCCCTGAGTAACCCAGAGAATTAAAGAGACTATGTATCGGTCCCGGAACCGCCCTGGCTCAGGGCTGCGGAGCCTGCGGAGGCTGCTTCTTGGACCCTGCTACTATCAGAGCATACACCAAGGACTAAGCAGCCGAATTCCGGCTCCCGGAACTGAGCCCGCTGGGACTGCTTCTTGGAGCTTACACTTATAGGAGCTTACACCGAGCACGGAGCGGCCGAGTTCCGGCTCCCGGAACTGTCCCAGAACCGCCCTGGCTCAGGGCTGCGGAGCCTGCGGAGGCTGCTTCTTGGACCCTGCTACTATCAGAGCATACACCAAGCACTAAGCAGCCGAATTCCGGCTCCCGGAACTGAGCCCGCGGGGACTGCTTCTTGGAGCTTACACTTATAGGAGCTTACACCGAGCATGGAGCGGCCGAGTTCCGGCTCCCGGAACTTCCCTGGACCGGGGCTAGGAGCCCGCGGAAACTGCGTCTCGGTCCGAGTCCTGCTGAGGGCCAGCCAGGACTCACCCGTTGCTTTGGTTGCCTGGCAAGGGGAACGAAATGCTGCCATTCGCATAGGATACCAACATGGCAGAGATCTGATGTCAGCAGAAAGCGGCGGAGGAGAGATCTTCATCAATACCAGCGGTGATATAAGCAGTTGGTCTCCTGGTAGGGGGGGTGAGGCACAGTCACTCGAGTCTCCTCAATTTGTGCTCGAGCCAGAGGGGAGGAGCCAGGCCGCCGCCAGCGCCCGGAGCAGGCCCAGCGGCTCGCCAGCGTGGTGACCGCGTGACCCCAATTGGAGAGGGGGCGGAGCAGAGCCGCCACCCACACCCGCCAGGTGGGCAGACCCGCGACCCAGTGGTACATGGGCGTGGTAGGAGGGGCAGGGCAGAGCCGCCCTTCGCGCTTGCAAGGTAAACAGACCTGTGACAGCCTGGTGGGTCAGGCCCAGTGGCCTGCCAGTGTGGTACACATGTCACCCCAACTGGAGTAGGGGCAGAGCAGATCCTTCTCCCACGCCCGGATCAGGCCCTGCCGGTGTGGTGGTCACGTGACCCCAATTGGAGTGGGGGCGGAGCGGAACCGCCACCCGTGCCCGCAGGGTGAGCAGACCAGTGATCAACCTGTAGATCAGGCCCAGGGGTCCGCAGGCGTGGTAGGAGGGGCAGGGCAGATCCGCCGCCCGCGCCTCCAAGGTAGGCAGACCTACAACAGACCGGCGGATCAGGCCCAGGAGCCTGCCGGCGTGGTACAAACACCACCCTAATTGGAGTAGTGACAGAGCAGAGTCGCCTCCCGTGCCAGGAACAGGCCCAGCGTCCTGCAGGCGGGGTAGTCACGACACCCCAATTGGAGTAGGGGCAGAGCAGAGCCTCCACCCGTGCCCGAAAGGTGGGCAGATCTGCGACCGACCAGCGGGACAGGCCCAGTGGCCTGCCGGTACGACAGACACGTCACCCCATTTGGAGTAGGGGCAGAGTAGAGCTGCCGCCCGCGCCTGCAGGGTAGGCAAACCTGCAACCGACCGGCGGATCAGGCCCGGTGGCCTGCTGGCGTGGTACACTCGTCACCCCAATTGGAGTAGGGGCAGAACAGAGCCGCCGCCAGCTCCCAGAACAGGCCCAGTGACCTGCCGGCGTGGTAGCCACGACACCCCAATTGGAATAAGGAGAGAGCAGAGCCGCCGCCCGCACCTGCAGGAAAGATACGCAAGCAGTATGAAAAGACAAGGAAAGAAAGGACCACAACCAATGCAGGTCAACGCAACTTTAGAAGAGGTAACAGCTGCAGCAGATGGAATGTCAGATAAAGAATTCAGGATATACATGCTTCAGATGATCTGGAGTATCAAGGAAGACACTAAACAGCAAAATCAGACAATGAAAGATCACTTCGACAACGAATTACGCAAACAAATCCAGGAAGCAAAGGATCAACTATACAGGGAGATAGAGGTTATAAAAAACAAGCAATCAGAAATCCTAGAAATGCAGGAAGCAATAAACCAACTTAAAAACTCAATGGAGAATACTACCAGCAGAGTAGAACACTTAGAAGATAGAACATCAGACAATGAAGACAAAGTATTTCAACTGGAAAAGAACATAGACAGCTCAGCAAGACTGTTAAGAAACCATGAGCAGAACATCCAAGAAATATGGGATAACATTAAGAGACCAAACTTAAGAGTCATTGGGATTCAGGAAGGTACAGAGCTCCAAACCAAAGGAATGAGCAGTCTATTCTATGAAATAATACAAGAAAACTTCCCAGACTTGAAGAATGAGACAGAATCCCAAATCCTAGAAGCCTACAGGATGCCGAATGTGCAAAATCATAAGAGATCCACACCTAGACACATTATAATGAAGATGCCCAACATACAGAATAAGGAGAGAATTTTAAAAGCTACAAGAGAAAGGAAGCAGATTACATTTAGGGGTAAGCCAATCAGGATAACAGCTGATCTTTCAACACAGACTCTGAAAGCTAGAAGATCCTGGAATAACATATTTCAAACACTGAAAGAAAATGGGTTCCAACCAAGAATTGTGTATCCAGCGAAATTAAGCTTCAGGATGGAGGATGAAATTAAAACCTTCCACGATAAACAAAAGTTTAAAGAATTCGCAGCTAGAAAACCATCTCTTCAAAACATCCTTGCCAAAGCATTACAGGAAGAGAAAATGGAAAATAACAATGAAAACCAATAGTGGGAGGTAGGACAGTAAAGGGGGGGGAAATAATCAAAGAGGAAAACAAACAATGTTTAGTAACAGAAATAAACAAATATGGCTGGAAGAACAACCCATATCTCAATAATAACCCTAAATGTTAATGGCTTAAACTCACCAATTAAGAGACACAGGCTAGTAGAATGGATCACAAAACAAGACCCAACAATATGCTGCCTACAGGAGACGCATTTGATAGGAAAAGACATACATAGGCTGAAGGTGAAAGGTTGGGAAAAATCATATCACTCATATGGACTTCGGAAACAAGCAGGCGTGTCCATACTCATATCAAATAAAATAGATTTCAAGCCAAAGTTAATCAAAAGAGATAAAGAGGGACACTACATACTGCTTAAGGGAACCATACACCAACAAGACATAACAATTATAAATATTTATGCCCCAAACAATGGTGCAGCTATGTTCGTCAAACAAACTCTTCTCAAGTTCAAGAGTCTAATAGACCACCACACCATAATCATGGGAGACTTCAACACACCTCTCTCGCCACTGGACAGATCTTCCAAACAAAAGTTGAATAAGGAAACTATAGAACTCAATAACACTATTAATAACCTAGACCTAATTGACATATATAGAGTATACCACCCAACATCAAGCAGTTACACTTTTTTCTCAGCAGCACATGGATCCTTCTCAAAAATAGATCATATATTATGTCACAGGGCAACTCTTAGACAGTATAAAGGAGTAGAGATAATATCATGCATTTTATCTGATCATAATGGAATGGAACTGAAAATCAACGATAAAAGAAGGAAGGAAAAAGCATACATCACTTGGAGAATGAACAATAGGTTACTGAATGATCAATGGGTTATAGAAGACATCAAGAAGGAAATTAAAAAATTCTTAGAGATAAATGAAAACACAGACACAACATATCGGAATCTATGGGACACTTTGAAAGCAGTTCTAAGAGGAAAATTCATTGCTTGGAGTTCATTCCTTAAAAAAAGAAAAAACCAACAAATAAATGATCTCATACTTCATCTCAAAATCCTTGAAAAAGAAGAGCAAAACAACAGCAAAAGAAGTAGAAGGCAAGAAATAATTAAAATCAGAGCTGAAATTAATGAAATCGAAACAAAAGAAACAATTGAAAAAATTGACAAAACTAAAAGTTGGTTCTTTGAAAAAATAAACAAAATCGACAGACCCTTAGCCATGCTAGCAAAGAGAAGAAGAGAGAGAACTCAAATTACTAGCATACGGGATGAAAAAGGCAATATCACAACAGACACTTCAGAAATACAGAAGATAATCAAAAACTATTTTGAATCCTTATACTCCAATAAATTAGAAGATAGTGAAGGCATAGATAAATTTCTTAAGTCATATAATCTGCCCAGATTGAGTCAGGAGGATATAGAAAACCTAAACAGACCAATATCAATTGAGGAAATAGAAGAAACCATAAAAAGACTACCAACTAAGAAAAGCCCAGGTCCGGATGGGTATACAGCAGAATTTTACAAAACCTTTAAAGAAGAACTAATACCAATACTTTTCAAGCTACTTCAGGAAATAGAAAAGGAGGGAGAACTTCCAAATTCATTCTATGAGGCCAACATCACCCTGATACCTAAACCAGACAAAGACACTTCAAAGAAAGAAAACTACAGACCAATATCTCTAATGAACCTAGATGCAAAAATCCTCAATAAAATTCTGGCGAATCGGATACAAAAACATATCAAAAAAATTGTACACCATGATCAAGTAGGATTCATCCCTGGGATGCAAGGCTGGTTCAATATACGGAAATCAATAAATGTTATTCACCACATCAATAGACTTAAAAATAAGAACCATATGATCATCTCGATAGATGCGGAAAAAGCATTCGACAAAGTACAGCATCCCTTTATGTTCAAAACTCTAGAAAAACTAGGGATAACAGGAACATACCTCAATATTGTAAAAGCAATCTATGCTAAGCCTCAGGCTAGCATCATTCTGAATGGAGAAAAACTGAAGGCATTCCCTCTAAAATCTGGAACAAGACAGGGATGCCCTCTCTCTCCACTTCTCTTCAACATAGTTCTCGAAACACTGGCCAGAGCAATTAGACAGACGAAAGAAATTAAAGGCATAAAAATAGGAAAAGAAGAAATTAAATTATCACTATTTGCAGATGATATGATTCTATATCTAGCAGACCCAAAAGGCTCTACAAAGAAACTATTAGAGCTAATAAATGAATTCAGCAAAGTGGCAGGATATAAAATCAACACGCATAAATCAAAGGCATTCCTGTATATCAGCGACAAATCCTCTGAAATGGAAATGAGGACAACCACTCCATTCAAAATATCTTCAAAAAAAATAAAATACTTGGGAATCAACCTAACAAAAGAGGTGAAAGACTTATACAATGAAAACTACAGAACCCTAAAGAGAGAAATAGAAGAAGATCTTAGAAGATGGAAAAATATACCCTGTTCATGGATAGGCAGAACTAACATCATCAAAATGGCGATATTACCAAAAGTTCTCTATAGGTTTAATGCAATGCCAATCAAAATCCCAACGGCATTTCTTGTAGAAATAGAGAAAGCAATCATGAAATTCATATGGAAAAATAAAAGACCCAGAATAGCAAAAACAATGCTAAGCAAGAAGTGTGAATCAGGCGGTATAGCGATACCAGACTTCAAACTATACTACAGAGCAATAGTAACAAAAACAGCATGGTACTGGTACCAAAACAGGCGGGTGGACCAATGGTACAGAATAGAGGACACAGAAACCAATCCACAAAACTACAACTATCTTATATTTGATAAAGGGGCTAAAAGCATGCAATGGAGGAAGGATAGCATCTTCAACAAATGGTGCTGGGAAAACTGGAAATCCATATGCAACAAAATGAAACTGAATCCCTTTCTCTCGCCATGCACAAAAGTTAATTCAAAATGGATCAAGGAGCTTGATATCAAATCAGAGACGCGCCGTCTGATAGAAGAAAAAGTTGGCTACGATCTACAGTCGGTGGGGTCGGGCTCCAAATTCCTCAATAGGACACCCATAGCACAAAAGTTAATAACTAGAATCAACAAATGGGACTTACTCAAACTAAAAAGTTTTTTCTCAGCAAATGAAACAATAAGAGAGGTAAATAGGGAGCCTACATCCTGGGAACAAATCTTTACTCCTCACACTTCAGATAGAGCCCTAATATCCAGAGTATACAAAGAACTCAAAAAATTAGACAATAAGAGAACAAACAACCCAATCAACAAATGGGCCAAGGACCTGAACAGACACTTCTCAGAGGAGGACATACAGTCAATCAACAAGTACATGAAAAAATGCTCAACATCTCTAGCTGTCAGAGAAATGCAAATCAAAACCACCCTAAGATACCATCTCACTCCAGTAAGATTGGCAGCCATTAGGAAGTCAAACAACAACAAGTGCTGGCGAGGATGTGGGGAAAAGGGTACACTTGTACATTGCTGGTGGGACTGCAGATTGGTGCAGCCAATTTGGAAAGCAGTATGGAGATTTCTTGGAAAGCTGGGAATGGAGCCACCATTTGACCCAGCTATTCCCCTTCTTGGTCTATTCCCTAAAGACCTAAAAAGAGCATGCTACAGGGACACTGCTACATCGATGTTCATAGCAGCACAGTTCACAATAGCAAGACTGTGGAACCAACCTAGATGCCCTTCAATAGATGAATGGATAAAAAAATGTGTCATTTATACACAATGGAGTATTACTCTGCATTAAAAAATGACAAAATCATAGAATTTACAGGGAAATGGATGGCATTAGAGCAGATTATGCTAAGTGAAGCTAGCCAATCCCTAAAAAACAAATGCCAAATGTCTTCTTTGATATAAGGAGAGTAACTAAGAACAGAGTAGGGACGAAGAGCAGGAGAAGAAGATTAACATTTAACAGGGATGAGAGGTGGGAGGGAAAGGGAGAGAGAAGGGAAATTGCATGGTAATGGAAGGAGACCCTCAGGGTTATACAGTGGAGGGGGTAGAGAGAGAGGAGGGGAGGGGAGAGGAGAGGTGGGGAGGGGGGAGGGGGGAGGATGGGAAAGGCAGCGGAGCACAACAGACACTAGTATGGCAATTTGTAAATCAATGGATGTGTAACTGATGTGATTCTGCAATCTGTGTATGGGGTGAAGGTGGGAGTTCATAACCCACTTGAATCAAAGTGTGGAATATGATATGTCAAGAAATTTGTAATGTTTTGAACAACCCACAATAAAAAATTAAAAAAAAAAAAAGAGACTATGTATCACACTAAAAGAAATACATATTTAGTCTTTGTCCCTGATTTTTGAACTGAAACTTCTGAAATCCTTGGAAGTGCAAGAGTGTGTGCTTGCCTAGTATGGCAAGAGTCCTTGGGTTCATTCCTTAGCACTACAAAATAAATCCATAAATAAAGTCTTCTCTGAACCATCATCAAAAATAAATAAATAAATAAAAATAAAAACAAATAAATAGGGTTGGGGTTGTGGCTTGGTGACAGAGTGCTTGCCTAGTATGTGTGAGGCACTGGGTTTGATCCTTAGCACTGCATGCATATATATATATATATAAAAATAAAGGTTCATTGACAGCTAAAAAAAAATATTTAAAAAAAACAAATAAACAAAACCCTTGGTATTTCCTGGGTGACAAGGATAATATGAGTACCTTTTATTATTCATAACAAGACCCTTTCAATCATATTTGAGTTTATGTTCATGAGGTTATAGGTTGTTGGGGTTCACTAGATAGCTGCAGGACTAGGCTGGTGGCCAGAGGAACCAATCATGATTAGAGAGTTGAAACTTTCAGTTTCCCCACCTCACCTCTAAGAGAGTCTTGACATTGAGTTGATTACCAGTGTTTTAACCTATCACACTTATGTAATGGATGGGGCTTGGAGAATTTCTGAGTTGGTGCTAGAAGGGTGGCACACCAGAGAGGGTATGGAAGCTCTGTGTACCCACCACCCCCTATGTCTATGCTCATCTCTTCCATCTGGCTCTTCCTGAATTATATCATTTCTAATAAACTGATAAATGTAATTAAAGTGCTTTCTTGAGTTCTGTAAGCCACACTAGCAAATTACTGAACCTAAAACAGGCAGGGGATAAGAATTTCTGACTTTATAGCCAAGACACCTGAAATATACCTATACTGTCACTCAGTACTTGCAACTGGCATCTGAAGTGAGGGAAGTCTAGCAGGACTGAGCCATTAAACTTGTGAAGTCTCACCCTAATTCAGAGTAGTTAGCATTAGAATTGACTAAATTGTGGGATACCTAGTTGGTATCCGGAGAATTGGATGGTGTAGACAAAAAACAGTCCAGTCCAGACATCTGAGGTCAGATAATTGTTGTGTGAAAAAATAATTTGGCATAAATAGTTTCCTTCACTGCTTAACTGCTTTGTGTGTGTGTGTGTGTGTGTGTGTATGTGTGTGTGTTGGGGATTGAACCCAGGGCCTCACACATACTAGCATATACTCTACCACTAAGCCACACCCCTAGCCCTCCACTGCTTTCTACCAAACAATCTGTACTAGCCTGATCGATGCCTAAAAGAGTGAGAGTCTCCTCCAACACTCCCAATCTACCCACTGACATCCCTTGCCAACCAGAGATAGCTGACTAGTAGATTTCTGAGAGGGCTCTGGAACTGTCCTGGTTTTTCCCATAAAAGAAGGCAGGGGACACATGTCCTAAGGAAAACAAAGACAAAACCAAACCTTGTTAAATTAGGGTAGAGCACAGGTGGATAGATAGAGGGATGGAGGAAAAAAGGAGGGAGAAAATGGATAAGAAAAGAAGGAAGGCCAGCTAAAATGGGAGAGTTACCAGTAGAGAAGAGTAACCAATATACAGAAAATCAAAGTTGGACCTGGCTGTCCAACTAACCTACAGTGAGATCCCCATCAAGGCAGCTTCCCTCAAGGGTTTCATTACATTATAAAGTAAGAGCAACACACTAGGGAATCTTGTAGTACCACTTACCAAAAATATTCTACCATTCTCTGGGTATGCCAACTATGAGGGCTACATAGAGAGCTGGCCCCAACTGGAAAAGTGGCCCTGGTGCTGAATGGGACTTCATATACACTCACAGAATACTCAAGTAAAACAGATTTAACAAGAGATAGAGAACTAGCCATGTTCAACAATGGAATTTCCTCCTAAAATCTCATTAAGGAGATGTCTGAATGCATTTAAAATGAGGTTCCATTTATACAAACAAGAAGCAGAGGAAGATGATCTTGGATTACGTACCTGAGCCTCCTTCGTCTGGGTTTTGTGACTTTTAAAATTTCCTTCATGATCATCCTCAACTGTGGAGCTAGCATTTAAGGCTGCAATTCGAATCTAGAAACAAGTTTAGAGGAAGAGAAGTGTTGCTTTCAGATGAATACAATTCCGCACCAACATATAATATATTCTACCTTGAAAAACTACAGAGGTAATAAATTATAAACAACGGACCATCTAGGAAGAAAATAAGGATTGGAACATGCCAGTCTACATGGGAAGCCCAGCCTGGGTTCTGTGTATTGCAAAAGGAACAGAGGATAGGCACCCCAGCATCAGCTCAACATAGTGGAAGACCCAGGTATCAGAATAACAATTCCAACAAAACATATTCACTGTGATTTTCCAACAACAGTGATTCTGCAAGCAACTTCAATAACCAGTCAAGCACCCACACCCTCAAATGTACCAAGGCCCTCCTGGGAGGAGTCTTCCCCGCAGTCTGAGCCTTCAGAGTCTACCAGGAAAATGGATCTCACCCCCAAGAGTTATTAAACACTGGTGCCAGCAACACAGGCCTTATTCCTTACCATATTCAGGGAGATTCAGCACCAACACAAGGTATAACTTCCCATCAGTGGCAGAGGCTATGACTATCCACAAATCTAGAGAGAAAATACAACAAACTGTGAGAGGGCCCAGGAAGAGCCCAAAATTTTATAGTTCTAGGGGTTCATCTATGTTTTAGAAACATAGGAGGGGGATAATTAGAAGTAGGCAGACCAGTATGAAACTGATTGGCAAGGATGTGGAGAAATTAGAACCACACACATTGTTGCTGGGCATGTAAAATAATGCATCTCCTGGGCTGGGGTTGTGGCTTAGTGGTAGAGTGCTTACCTAGCATGCTTGGGGCACTGGGTATGATCCTCAGCACCACATAAATGTGAAATAAAGATGTTGTGTCCACTTAAAACTAAAGGATAAATATTTTTTAAAATATTTGAAAAGAAAAATAAATAAATAAAGTAGTGCATATCCTGTAGAAAAGACAAAGACACTGGCAGTTCCCAAAATGTTAAACAGAGTTAGCATACAATCTATAAATGCCACTCCTATGTATCTAATCAAGAGAAATAAAAACAGGTTCACAACAAAACTTGCTCGTGAATGTTCATAGAAGTATTATTCATAACAGCTAAAAGGTTAATAACCCAATGTCCACCAACTGATGAGTGAACAAATAAAATGTCATTTCCACACAAGGGAGTTGTTATGATAGGGATATCAGGTGTCCCCCAAAAGTTTCTCTGTTGATACAAGAAGTAAAATGATCAGATCATGAGAACCATAACCTAATTATGAATTCATCCATTTGATGAATTAATAATTTGAATGGACTAACTAAATGGTAATGTAGGCAGTTAGGGTGTGGCTGGAGGAAGGGGGCATGTCTTTGGGGTTTGAATTTTGTCCCTTTGCTCTCTCGGCTTCCAGGTTGCTATGTCCTTCCACCATGATGTTCTGCCTCACCTCAGGCCCAGAGCAATGGAGTTAGATGACCAAAAACTGAACCTCCTAACCATGAGCCAAATAAACCTTTCCTCTTCTAAGTTGTTCTTGACAGTTACTTTGGTCACAAAACACAAAGCTATTATTCAGTCATAAGAATAAAATTCTGATATATGTCACAACATGAAATGCCCAGAATAGGTAAAGTAATTAGTTGGCTAAGGGAAAGGACAACTGGGGAGTGCTATAGTTTGAATATTATTTATTCCCTCCATAATTCATGTTGAAATTTGGTCCCTAATTTAACAGTTTAAGAGGAGATAGGGCCTTTAAGAGGTGATTAAGTCCTTAAGAAAAATTAACACCTTTCTAGCAGGAGTAGGGAGTGAGTTCCCTTTTCTGCTTCTGGTTTAGTTAGAAGTGAGGTGTTAGAAAGTGTGGCTGCCCTCTTTGTTTTGTCTCTTTGACACAATTGCTTGCCCTTTCACTCTCCAAATGTGTTGAAGCAGGATAAGGCCCTCACCATATGTAGCTGCCCAATCTTAGACTTCTCAGTCTCCAGAACTGTAGCCAAAATAAAACTCTTTCTTTTATTAATTACCCAGTTTCAGACTAAGATGAACTGCCTACTAATGGGTTCAGGATTATTTTTCTGGGGTGATGAAAATATTCTAAAATTGATTTATGGTGATGATTACAATTCTGTTAATACACTAAAAAGCACACTGAAAGGCTGGGGTTATAGCTCAGTGGTAGAGCACTTGCCTAACGTGTGGGGTACTGGGTTTGATCTTCAGCACCACATATAAATAACTGAATAAAATAAAAGTCCATCAACATCTAAAAAAATATTTTTTAAAAAAGCACATTGAATTGTATACTTTAAATAGAAGAACCATATAATTGGTGAATTACACCTTGAAAAAAGCTCTTAATGTACTCCACTTTTTTTTAATTTAAATATTTATTTTTTAGTTGTAGATGGACACAATACCTTTATTTTATTTCTTATGTGGTGCTGAGGATCGAACCCAGGGCCTCACATGTGCTAGGGGAGCGCTCTACCGCTGAGCCACAACTCCAGCCCTCCACTTTTATAAAAGAAAACCACCACCACCAACAGTGCTTACAGCAATAACTTCTAGTACTGGCTTGTGCCACAGCTATGACTTCTCCAAGGGTTCTTGCACGGAAGGAAGTATGTCTTTTTTGCAGACAAAGGACACTAACCTTTCAAAGGCTAATAGCTAGGTTAGTTCTACATTAAGAATTAAGAATGCTGCTGATTAAAACTGCTGCATTACCATAAGCTATGCCATGATGATCATCGCGACTACCATGGGGAAAAAAAAATAGAAAACACAGCATTACAAGGCTATATCCAGACTATTATCAAAACAAAACCAGAAAATGACAAGTATTTGAAAAAATACAGAGAAATTGGAGCCCAGGTGCACTGCTGGTGTATGTGATATGGAAAAGAGTATGGTAACTCCTCAAAAAATTAAACATAGAATTAACGTGTAATGCAGCAATCCCACTTCTGGGTATATACCCAAAAGAACTGAAAGCAGGGACTTGAGTTATTTGCACATAGTACCACAGCCAAAATGTGGAAGTAAACCAAGTGTTCATCAACATATGAATGGCTAAACAAAATATGATATATACTAACAATGGAATATTATTTATTCTTAAAAAGGAATGGAATTCTGACACCTACTACAAGAAGAATGAACCTTGAAAATATTATTATTTAGAGATGTGGCTCAGTGGTACAGCACTTGCCTAGCATGCACAAGGCCCTAGGTTTTTAACTCCCAACATTACAATCAATCAATATCAGACATAAAAGAAAAAATAGTGTCTGATTCTAGAATAGACAAATTCACAGAGACAGAAAGAAGAATGGTGTTTGCCAACCCTAGGGGAATGGCAATAGAGTTAGTATTTAATGTGGACAGAATTTCAGTTTTGCAAAATGAAGAGAGTTCTGGAAATAGATGGTGGTAATGATTGCACACAATATGAATATATTTAATGCCACGAACTGTACATGTGAAAAATGGTTAAAAATGGTAAATTTTGTTATATTTTTTACCACAACTGGGGGGAAAAAAGCCTGAACTAGCAATTATGGAATAGAAAATTTCCAATTAGGATGAAATGTGAACATATTTCAAAGACACTACTCCCCATAAAGTATCTACTAGATTCTGATCATCCTCAAAGAGGGGCACAGCCCAAGGTGCAGACCAGCCGCACAAGCCTCCTTGATGACTCCCAGCAGGCAGAGTCCAGGCACTGCTGGATCCCACATGGCCGTTCTCTCACACTCATCCATTGGGCTCTGTGTACTGAATCCCAGAAAACCTTTATTGTTATTGAGCAACACACAGCCTCCTACCTAATAGTTGCTCTCACTTTCAAACAGGTACTCAATAACTATCCATTGGTTAATTTTTTTCTACCACTACCATGTTATAAAAATTGACTGTCCTGCCTAAACCTAAAATTTTAAGAAGAAAATTTGAAAGGGCACTGGATTAGGAATGGGAAGATTTTAAAGCATAACTAGGTTCTATCTCAAGATGTTTGAGACCCTGATCCTTCACCAGTCTTTGTGTGCACAGTCTTGTGCATAAAATGGGGACAATGGCCTGACTACACTGGTAAGGAGCTCACCTGGGATTCACTGTGTCATGCCATGTTCTTGGAAACTCTCAACTTTTAGCCAAATGAAACTAGTCAACCAGCCTGTCTCTGTTCCCCTGTCAACAAATGACATTCACATCTAGTCACAGGCCTTTCAAACCAGTCTCAAAAGGTCAGATGTACCTTTTGAGTGGTTTGAAAGTGACAGCAACTATTAGGTAGGAGGCTGTGTGTTGCTCAATAACAATAAAGGTTTTCTGGGACTCAGAAAGTCTCTCTAGATGCCAAATGAATCCTCATGGGGAAAAATAAGAGCCCAGAGATGGATGCAGGATCATGTCTCTATGCGGCACTGGCAGGACCTGTGTACATGGAGGCAGAGCATTACATTAATAGAGCCATCATGTAGGGGCCCAACCTACTCCCAAAGAATAACAGCTCACCTACTTCCTGCCTCAGCACCCAACAACTACCAGGATTGTGCTAAGTGAGCCTATGCCTTCCCGGGTCAATCTCACTCTCTCTTCTTAGGACCACATGGGTATAAAGGTTGATTCTCAGAATTGACAGAAGATGGCCCTCCCAGGACAGACAAAACAACTGAATAATTGGGCAATGATGTAAATCAAAACCACCACAATGAAACACCACTTCATATCCATTAGGGTAGCTAAAAATCAAACAAATAGATAAAACAAAAAATAACAATAGTAAGGATGTAAAAAAACTGGAACCATCCTGCACCACTAGTAAGAATATAAACTGCTACAGCTGCTGTGAAAAACAGGATGGTAGTTCCTTAAAAAGTTAAGTATAGGGGTTGGGGTCGTGGCTCAGTGGTAGAGTGCTTGCCTAGCACATGCGAGGCACTGAGTTTGATCCTCAGCACCACATTAAAAAAACAACCACATAAAATAAAGTTTGAAAAAAAGGTTAAGTATAGAATTACCACAAAATACAGTGAGTCCACTCATGGTATATACCTGAAAAAAAACAACATGGATCAAGCAGATATTTGTATATTCATGTTCATTGCAGCATTTTTAACAATTGCCAAAAGGTAGAAACAATCAAATATCCAACAACAGACGAATGCCCAAACAGAATGTGGTGTACATATACAAGGAAATATTAATTCATTAAAAAATGAAATTCTGACATATGCTGCAATATGTATTAACTCTTAAAACATTTTGCTAAGGAAAATAAGCTGGATACAAAAGGAGAAATGTATGAGTCCCCTTATACAACATACTTAGAATAAGTAAATTTGTACAGGCTAAAAATAAAATAGAGGTTATCAGTGGCTATGTAGAGGTAGAAATCAGGAGCTACTGCCTAATGGGTTCTATTTGGAGTGATGAAATTTTTCTGGAAACAGTGGTGGTGGGTACACAACATCATATCTACACTTACTGTTACTAAACTGTTTAAAAATGATTAAAATGAGACTAGGAATGAAACCAACATATGACCCAGCTATATCACTCCTCAGTATTTATCCAGAGAATTAAAGTCAGCATACTATAGCAATAAATACATACTCATATTTATAGCAATGTAATTCACATTAGCCAAATCATGGAACAAGCCTAGGTATCCACTGACAGATGAATTAAGAAAATACGGCATATAGAGATGGACATCATTGTCCTCAGTACATGTATGCAGACACAAATGGTGTGAATCTACATTGTGTACAACCAGAGATATGAAAATTGTGCTCTATATATGAAATATGAATTGAAATGCATTCTGCATATGACAAATTAAAATAAATTTTAAAAACAAAGAAAATGGGGCTTTCCCCTGGATCTGCTATAAAAAAAAATATGGCATATGTATACACAATGGAGTTTTATTCAGACATGAAGAGTGAAATTATGTCATTTGCAGGAAAATGAATGAAACTTGGAGCATTGTGTTAAGCAAAATAAGACAGACTTAGAAAGTCAAGCATTGTATGTTTTCTCTCACATGTGGGAGCTAGAGGGAAAAATAAAAGTCAGGAAGGATCTTGTGAAAATAGAAGGGAGACTAGTAGAGAAGTGGAAAGGAACCAGGGGAAGGGAAGAGGAGAAATCTGCAACCTGGGCTAGGGATATAGGTGAGTTGGTAGAGTATTTGCCTCGAGTGCACAAGGCCCTGGGTTCAATCCCCAGAAAGAAAGAAAAAAAGAAAAGAAAAGAAATTAATGAATAAATAAATCTGCAACCTATGTAAGGAAAATTTTTAAACACTACTGAAGAATGCTTAGAGTGAGCTTGAACAAATGGAATTACTCCTTGTGCTTGGGTAGGACTCAACAATATAAAGATGTCAGCTCTCCCCAAGTTAATGTATAAACTCAATATAACCCCCCCAAAAATACCAGTAAGATAACAGGCAAGTTGATAATGAAATTCATAGGGAAAAAAACAAAAATTTGAGACTACCTAGGAAAACAGTGGAAAGTAAAAAATTCTAAGAGGGGATTAAACTTCCCAGATATTAAAATATATTATATAAAACCTTAATAATTTGACCCATCGTACTGCTGCATGCATAGACAGAGACTAGGTTAAGAATTAAAACTCAAGCACTCGTTTGTTATGACTTGGATTTGGTTCAAGTGTGTCTCCCAAAGGTTCATGTGCTGAAGAATTGGTTCTCAGTACAGCAACACTGAGAGACGGTAGAACCTTGTGGTAGGTATATCCTCAGAAGAGGTTAATGTAATTCTTGTAAGACACTGGTTAGTTTCTGAGAAAGCAGGTTATTAAAAAAAAAAAAAGCAAGACCCATCCGTGAGTCTCTACTGTACGTAAGAATAAGTTACAAATGAATTAGGGATCTAATGGTGTGTGTGTGTGGGGGGGAGGGGGGATTGAAACCTTACTAATACTAAAGGAAACATGGGCAAACTTCTTTTTAATATTAGTATAAGAAAAGCCTTTCTCAGTATGATTTGAAATTCAAATATACTAAAATATTAATAAATTAGATTGTATAAACCAGGTGCTGTGGCACACACCTATAATCCCAGTGACTCTAGAAGAGGAAATAGGAGGATGGCAAGTTTGAGGCCAGCCTCAGCTACTCAGTGAGGCCCTAAGCAACTTAGTGAGACCCTGTCTCAAAATAAAAAGGGCAGGGGATGTAGCTCAGTGTGAAAGTGTCACTGGGTTCAATCCCCAGCACCAAAAAGAAAGTTTAGCTACATAAACAATTTTTAAATTTGTATGTAACAAAAATCAGGAAAAAGACAATTGACAAACTGGCAGAAAATACTCACTACATGTACTGTAGACAAGGGACTAATATCCATAACATTATAAATGGTTCTTAAAAATTGAGGGACATAAGCTGGGGTTGTGACTCAGAGGCAGACACTTGCCTAGCATGCATGAGGCACTGGGTTCGATCCTCAGCACCACATTAAAAACAATAATAATAAAATAAAGATTGTATCCACCTATAAATAAAAAAATAAATATTAAAAAAAATTGAGGGACATAGTATTATTTACAATAGCCAAAAGAAGCAATCCAGTGTCTATCAGCAGACTAACAGCTAAAAGAAATGTGGTATATACACAAAATGAAATATTATTCATCCCAAAAAATGAAAGTAATTCTGACATATGTTATAACATGGGGGAACTCTGGAGACATTACATAAAGTGAAACAAGTCAATTCCAGAAAGACAAAAACTATATAATTCCACCTGTATGAAGTAGCCAGAGTACAGTCAAAATCATAGAAACAAAGTAGAATGGTGGTTGACAGCAAGTGGGGGCAATAAAGCTGTTTTTAAAAATTACTAAGGAAGAGCTGGAGTTCAGTCATACAGCACATACCTAGCATTCATGAGGCTCCAAGATCAATCCTCAGCACTGCCAAAAAGAAAAAGAAAAAATAGCACTGAGGAAGGCTTCCATGAATAAATATAGGATGATTTTCAAAACACACTGTTAAGTGGGAAAAAAACAAAACTGTATAGCATGCTGCCCTTCATAGAAGAAAGAAGATATAAGAAAATACACAACTATGTGTGCAAATTGAAACTCAGAATAATTTATATACTAAAGTGTGCTATACAGGTAGGTAGAAAAGAGGTTGAAAAAAAAGAAGAAGAAAAAGAGGACAGTGAGCACAGTGTGGTAAGACGAGGAGAAAGACACTTTTGTGCATAGCTCAAACTTTCAGAACCATTCGTGGTTCAGACCCCAAAAATAAGTAATTAAAATCAACTATGATGTAGGGGAAACCTAATAAGGAATATAAACATTAACAATGAACCCAACTGTACTCTAATTAACTTAACAAAACAGAAGAGAGTAAGAAAGAAAATAACTAATCTAAGTAACTGGAAAACAGTATCTTGACTGGATACTGTTAGACTAAAGACAAAAAAGATTTCATGGTTATGGCTGAGGAAAAAAACAAAACAAAATGAGGCTAGAACACCTTTTGGTGACTTTATAAAATGAGAGCTCAAAAAAACAACAACAAACTAGGAGTGGTGGCGCATACCTGTAATCCCAGTGGCTTGGGAGGCCGAGGCAGGAGGATCAAGAGTCCCAAGCCCGGGACTGGGTCTGTGGCTCAGCAGTAGAGCATTCTCCTAGCATGTTCGAGGCCCTGGGTTCGATCCTCAGGACCACATAAAAATAAAGAAAATAAAGATATTGTGTCCAACTACAATTAAAAAATAAATATTAAAAAAATAGAGTTCAAAGATACTCAGTAAGATTCTGACTCTTAATAAAATACAAAATAGGGCCCAGGATGTGGCTCAGTGGTTGAGTGCCCCTGTGTTCAATACCCAGTACCCCCCACCAAAAAAAAAAACAATAATGAAGGCCCATTGATAGGAGACAGAAGTTTTAAGATCTACTTCAGATCTTAAATAGCCAAGGCAGAAGCAGTAAGCAATAAAATAATAATAATGGATCATAACTCAGAGAATAAAATTAATATCTATGGTACATTATGATAAAAGTAAATAATCAAATAAATTTTTAAAAGAGAATAGACAGCTCTTCCATTATAGATTTTCAATTCATAAATGTAGCAGGAAAAAAAGAATGGCTAATTAATCACATTTAGACAAACACCAAAAGATTCACAAATGAATGCTAAAGTCAGTGGGCTCGAATTTGAGGAAAATCAAAATTTGTATCTTCTCAAATTATCTTCCTCAAGATAATTATTAATTAGAAAAGGAATAACTTTAGCATAGAAACATGGCAGACACCAACTAAACCAAGTGATCAAGGTAAATATCACATATAATAAGATATATCAATATCTTGGACTCCTTTATTGAGATTCACATAAGACACAAAAACAATGTTTCTGATATTTTAGCCAAAAATGCATATCCTGACTCCAATTCTGAAAAACACAGAACAAACCTAAATTGAGCGACATTAGACAAAATAACTGAATCAGTTCAATCCCAGCACTCCTCAAAGTAAATATCTGATCAGTATTCTTTAAAAATATCAAGGCCAAGGGACCAAGGATGTGGCTCAGTGGTAGAGTGCTTGCCTAGCATGGCATGAGGTCCTGGGTTCAGTCCCAGCAAAAAACAAACAAATGTATCAAGGCCAAGAAAGGACAGAGGAAATGTTATGGACTATAGGATACTTAGGAGAAATAACTAAATGCAACACAGGATCTTGGTCAGAATCTCGAATGAAAACAAAGCCTGGCAGAAAAACTGGTGAAACTTGAATCATATCTGTAGTCTAGTTAACATTATATCAAAGTTGGTTTCTTGTTCTTGATAATTGCACTATAAACATAAACATCAGGAACTGAGGTTGTGGTTCAGTGGTAGAGGGCTTTATATGAGGCACTGGTTCAATTCTCAGCACCACATATAAATAAATGAATAAAATAAAAGTTCATTAACAACCAAAAAAATTTTTTTTTAAAAACATAAGCATCAGGGGAAATTGGGATGAGAGACATAAGGGTGTTCTGATTATTGCTCTAAATTTAAAATACAAAAACTTAAAAGAAATAACCATTTGAGATTACACATTTATCATCCTGAGGATGATGATGTATTTATTATTCACCATGAACCCCCAGAGGAGCTTTAAAAAAAAAAATCCAGTTGCAGTAGTGCATACCTGTAATCCCAGTACTCAGGAGACCAAGAGGATTGCAAGTTTGCAAGTTTGAGGCCAGCCTCGGACACTTAGTGAGACCTTCTCAGAATAAAAAATAAAAAGGGCTGAGGGTGTAGCTCAGTGGTAAAGCACCCCTGACTCAATACCTAGTACCAAAACCAAATAAACAAAACCCAGCTATAATAGAAGATGAGGAAGAAAATTCAAGTTACCAGAACTGTTTTGGATTTCAGATTTCCTTTGATTTTGGAATATTTGCATATACATGAGATATCTTGGGCATGAGATGTAAGTCTAAACACAAAATTCATTTTTTTCATATACATCTCATACACATAGCCTAAAGATCATTTTATACAATATGTTTAATAATTAGATACATGAAACAAAGTTCTATGGTGTGGAATTTTCCACTTGTGGAGTCATGACTGCACTCGGTTTCAGATTTTAGAGTATTTCAGATTTTTAAGATTAGTGGTGTTCAACCTGTAGTAATTTCTCAGATTCTCAGCCCAGCAGTTGCATTTTTCCCAGATCAGCATTTTAAGCTCACAAGTATTCAAACTCTTTATAGTTTCCATGAGTATAGTTTAGGGAATAGATTCCATGGCCTAATAACACATAATAACAAACAACACTTTGAGCAACTCAGCATCCTGATCCAGAGCCATAAGCAGTAGCATTTCCTGGTCTGTTCTGGCCCAGATGTCTGGAAGCTTAAGTCTTAAGCTCAGTTGTGGCAAGACCTACCTGTGTGACTGGCTTGGCATAGATGCCCCTAAGTCTCCTCTACTGTGGACTAGATAAGGATTCTGCAAGCTATTCAGTCCGCTGCTTTCTTTGCACATGAAAATTACATAAAAAGTCTACAAAATTCAAATCCAGTATTCATAAATAAAATTTCTGTAAAAACACAGCCACTCTTATGTATTGTCTTTGACTGTATCCAAACTACAACAGAGTTGGAGTATGGCCCCCAAAGCCTAAAATACTATTAAAAGTAGAGTTATGATATTTACAACATATAATAACACAATCTTATTTATAAAACGTTTGCTAACCTCTGGATAAGACAGTTCTAAGGCCATTCATTCACAGTAATGAATCACACAGAAGGAATCTTAGCCGCACGCAATCCGAATATCCCACTTATGAACCGTAATAACCCAGGAACTTAAGAATGATGGTGGCCCCAGAAGTCAACTGTGCTGACATCTGGGACTGTTGGGTGAGGTCTGTCTAATCCGGATCTGACTCCTCCGAGGGGCAGTGCAGCGGGATGGTCAAAATTCTCAGTTGGAGACATGCTGACCAATTAGGTGACTTTAAGCACATCATTTCACCTTCCCTCGGCCTCAATGTCCACCCTTGTAAATAGCACTAACAAGAGCACTCACCTCGCAGAGCTATTGTGAAGGTGAGTGAAAGGACGAGAGGAAAGGGTTAGCTCCCGGCTTTGCACCCAGCAGACGCAGAATCAATGGTGGCTCCTACTGTTGTCACTGTGACTCCCGAGGCCAGAAGCCATCACCTCAGAGAACTGGCGAGGGCTGTGAGGAGGCCCGCGGGGCAGACAGTGAACCCTGTCTCTTTCTTTCAGCTTCCCGGCCTCGGTTTCCCCAACTGTGGCTCGGGGAATGCCAGAGAAGACCCCAGAGTCTTCAAGTGACTCCACCTCGCGCCAGCAGCCTCTGTGGCCAGGCCTGTGGCTCACGAGAGCGGCACCCCTACACCGGGACCGCCCCGCCCAACCTGCTGCCCAGAAACTCACCATATGTCTCCAGGCAACAGCTCCTCCGCCGACCCCCGTGCCGGCCGGCAGCGCGCCTAACAACAAGACGAACTCCCATTGGCTCGGTTGCCGGCCCTGCCAACCAATCAACGTTGGCGCACGCGCCGCTCGCCCTCCGGGCTCACTGAGGCCCAGTAGAAGGCGCCCCTCCAATCCGCGGGTTCAGCGTCTAGGACCGGGGGAGAGGAGCTGGTTGGTTTTGGAGCGTATCTCTTAGTCCTTGAACTTCAGGAGGTCAGAGCTCCAGCTCGCGGTCGGACTCCTTCACTTGTAGTAATTGTAGTACTTGTAGCACTTGTAAGATTGTGTGATTATGTGTTGTAAATATTATAACTACTTTTAATAGTATTTTAGTATTCACTTGTAGTACTGGTCCTGAGCAGTGGCTAAATAAGGGACTGCGTATTCTTGTTTTGAGCCGGGATAGGCGCTCTTAAGGCAGTGGAAACTTAGGGAACACTTAGACCGAAATAAGGGTGGCAAAGCATTCCCATTTTTTCCGAAAATTAAAAAAAAAAAAAAAGACGCTCCAAAGGCACAAATTATTGAAACATGGGGCGGAGTTGGGGAGGGAATAACAAGACCCGTGAAATGAACGGGGTTGGGGGTGAGAGCGAACAGGAAAGGACACTGTCCGAATTGGAGCTGATAAAACGGTCCAGAGTTGAAGAGTTTCTAACGGGGGCCTCAGATTAGGAGACGTTACACTCTTGGATATAAATAATAAAGCGTTTTAGGGAAGTGCTTCACACTGTGGTCAAATTCATAGGGTCTGGCAAGGATGATTTAAATAAGAATGAATGTTATGGGTTTCTTTTTGACCTTATTTAAAGACAAAAAAATAATATATAACTTTTAAAACCAAGGACAATAAAACCGTGCTGAATAACTCAGAGTCAGTTCAATATACAAAAGCTCGACTGATATTCTAGGAGGATCGAAAATTATTGAGTCATCAATCTTTGACTTTAAGAAAAGTGTAGCCTGCCACACAGCAGGTGGAGGTGTGAGGGGAGTGGGGAGAGCTGAAACGGGTGGTTTCAAAGTTGTATGGGTAATATGCATCTTTGATCCACCTCTCAACCGAAAGTTGTATTTTGAAAGATGCGTTCCCACCCTTAGATAAAGGGTGGGAAGGGCAGTTACAGCAGCAGGGAGCTGCATGACCAGGGTCCAAAGATAAAAAAAAAAAAAAAAAAAAAAAACACTACAGGGCAGCACAGTATTACTAGGAGGCAAAGGTCAGGGCCAATGTGGGGCAGGACCAGTCCATAAAAGCCAGCAGATGATATCACTCTTACACAGTGGTGTTAATGTTTAATATTGGAGACTGATATGGCCATGTTATGATCCTGCTGAGAGTTAGACCCCAATTCCATCTTCAGGCACTGCAACTATTCATTCACATTCAGCCCACAAAAAAATCCTTGAGCCACTCTGGGAAAAGGTACACCATGAAACACCTTGGCAGAAGAAAGGTATGCAGAAACAACTGGGACAAGCCAGGGGAAGGAACTGCAAGATGTAGTTTTAAATGAGAGGCCTCAGCAGTGTTTAGGTACAAATACAGCAAGGGCAGTCATATTCCGTTGGAAACTCACCTTATTAACATGTAGACTGCATAGAATGAGTTTCAATTTGATATTTCACAAAAGGATCACCAAACATTTAACTGTGCAGGGAAATAGCATCCACCAGTGCATAGAACATCTGGAAAGCTACTTAGATGGAGGCTTCCTTTGGGTTTCTATACTTGCTTGTACACACTCTGAAATGCAAAGGGCATAATATGGTATGTTGATGGGGGAAAGGGACATTCATTCAGTTTCCAGTGGCAGATATTGAATTTCCAGTTGGCATGTTGGGACATGATTCACAAAGTGCATACCTTCAGCGAATTCTTAGCAAGACCCTAACAGAGAGTGTCACCTTTTTAGAATAACTAGAGAAGCTTTCGGAAGTCTAGCCAGCCCTGTCCCCCAACTGAACAGGGTTTTTGTGGACAGGGAACAGCCCAGGCTACCCCAAACAGAGAACAAGAGCCTCAGGATATCAGCAGAGTATACTGGAAGTTTCAGGACAGATTAGCTGCATCCATGTCTCCACTTATTTGCACATGGGTATAGAGAAGAGAACCTGGAGGCTGAGCCACCCACCCAAAGAATTCAGCACTGTAAATATATTAAACAGCAGCCCTGAAGACGGAAACATCCTACCTCCATGTTCCCTGGTACCCCTCCTTATAAAACAAATCACCTGCCTAGGGAAGCCAAGGGTTGCCAGGGAGGGAAGTAGGGAGGTAAAGAACTCATGTTTGAATGATCTCTTCATTTATTTGACATGACATGGAGAAGAGAAGGATTGTGAGGTCAGTAGTGATTTTGTATGAAGGGTTTCCGAAGCTGGTATCCACTAGGCCTTGACTGCCAGGATGATTCCATGGAAGGGACAGCAAGCTTGCAGGTGCTCTAGATCCTTAGTACCAATCATAAAAATGTCACAACTGTCCCATCCTTGCCAATTTGCCAGGGCTCCAAGGGGTAAAAGCGGATAATTATCCTTTGTGAAACAGAGAAAAGGATGTCAGCTTCTTGGCAAAAAAAAAAAAATCACTTTGCAAGACACCTACCAGGCGCTCCTTCGTCAGCCCATGAAGTATTTACCAGCCTGCTCATCCAAGTTAATGATCTTCTCCTGGTCCCAAACAGGATAATGGGACTATCAAGTACAAGATGATGGCTGCATATCAGCATTGCCCACCCAAGACAGACACAATACCATGGCCTCAGTGGGTATGCTATGTGCTCATTTGAGTCTGCCAGTTTGTGGGCTCAGAGGGACAGTCTTCCCTCCTAAATGCAGGCTGCATGGGGTATGCTCAAGGCATCAGGCACTTCTCTTTTCTCAAAGTCTGACTCAGGGTTAGGCACAGGGTGACCATAAAGTCCGTGGAATAACTGAATGTGCCCTTTTCACAGAGATGACAGGAAATTCTTGGTGAAGAGCACCAGGGATGGAGACAGGTTGGCAGGGGATGGGTGGTTGGCAGCAGGTGACAGCCTCAGTTTCCCCATCTGCCAAGTCAGCAAAATGCTGTCATCTGTCTCATGGGATGGCAGGTCGTCACCAGGGGGTCAGGGCTTGTACAGATCAAATGGGATCATGTGTGTTGAGTTCCTGGCACACTGTAGGCATCTAATTTATTGTTAGAGTTATTCTGTCTCCCCAGTCTGAGAATCTGAACACCCACCAGGAGCAGCTGTTCCTCACCAGCCTCCCTGAGTCAACAAGGGCTTCATTTTGGAAGGTCCTTTCAAGTTTCTCATGCCCTTAGTTCCTCACAGACATAGACTTGGCTTGGGAATATTTTTCACTCAGCAGGAAATCTTAACCTTATCACAGTGTTCCAGGTTTGGGTGGTAGGGCCTTCTTGTGGGGAAGAGAGGTCATTTAACCTTCCCCTTTCTGCTCACAGAAGAGGAAGCTGGAAAGTGGAGATGGTTCATTTCCAGTTTTGTCTTAGATTCCCCCACCTTTGAGGGACCCAAAACTGGGTGTCTAGACATCTAGATCAGTGCTCTTTTCACTACTCTATCACACCTCCCCCAATTTCACTTGGGACCTGGTGGGGCTGATGTTTCATAGTCTGAGGACATACCCAGATTTTCTTCTGATCAGCCTAGAAAAGATTTTTTTTTCTAAGAGAATTAGACTCCCTGACTTCTTCAAAGTAATAATGTCCTCCTACTTTGCCTGGTGCCAAGGCAGATGCAGGGTATAGGCCATCTCAATGACTCTTGCAATGCCTCCTGGGGAGTGGTTAAAAGAGAGACTTCCAAGTGGACAGATGGAAACACTGTTCTAGCATCCATGCCTTCTGAGGTCTCACAGTGTGAAAATAAAGCACAATGAAAACAACAACAAGAGAGCTTTCCAAAATGGGTTCAGTAGTTCATTAAAGGAAGCAGGACTTGTGTACTTTTGAAATCATTATCAAAAATTGGAAGTTAGGTTGCCTCCACCCTTTGATTGTGGATATCTGAAATGATCTGAACTCTGAACCACAGGAAAATTCCATTATGTCCAGAGATTTAAAATGCATATTAAGAGATTATTGGGGGGCTGGGGTTGTGGCTCAGCAAGGCCCTGGGTTCGATCCTCAGCACCACATAAAAATAAATAAATAAAGGTATTGTGTTCCACTACAACTGAAAAATAAATTTTAAAAAAGAGATTATTGGATTCATTTTATGAAATTTTTTTTTACTAAATATGCATTTTCTTTCTTTATCTTCTAACTGCTCAGACATGCCTGTTCTTTCTCAAAGAAGATTCCTACCAAGGAATTTTTACTGCTCTGTAAATATGGAACATAGCTTGCCCATATAAAATTCAACTTTCCCTGCCTGCCTCAGAAAACTGGTTCAAAGCTGTCTCCCCAGCTGCAATTCTTAGGATTACAAATAATGTTTTTTTTTTACAATTTCTGAGTTTGATTGGTCAACAGCAAGAACCACTGCATACCCAAAACTAATCCCATTTTACCATCACGGTTAACACAGACCCATCAACAGGAAGGAGGGGTGAAGAGGCTCAGGACTCCTGGGCAAGGCAAGGAATGTAATTTCCCCCCTCTTTATGTAGGGCCCCTATCACTGCCTCAGGTTGGAAGCAGTTCTAAATGGGTTCTTTCATTACCACAACGCACCTGTCCTGGCCTAGGGCCAGCTCCTTGGTAAGGAACTCGAAGAAACTGGCGCTGTGGCCGCGGTTCTCCTCTGCAGTGCCCACCACGCCAATGGAGGAGACAATCAGCTGAGCACAGGGCTCTGTAGATCCACACAGCGCCATGGTAAGACCGGCCCGCACCGTCACATTCACACGCTACAGGGGACACGGAAGTTTCACCTGAATCTGAGGCAACTGGACTAGAGCTGGGGACCTGGGCGTTCGAAAGCCGAGATGCGGAGAGTGTATGGGGTCAGTTACTCTAGGCAAGGGCCTGGATTCGTGTCGGGGTAAGGAACGAAGGAGAAAAGCGACTATGAGAAGCGGGACCCGCGGGTTCATGGGCATAGAAGGTCAGAGTTGGCGGGCAATGAAGGGTCCCTGAGGAGAAGAGTTCTAATCACTGTGAGGAGGCGAAGAGTGGACAGACCCTGGCCCCTAGTCTGCCAACCTTCCCTCGAACCTGCTCCAACCCTCGCTCACGTTCTCAGGTTTGCCCAGAATGGTGGCAGCGGTCGCGCAGAGCCGCTTCTCCAGCCCCGCAGGCACGCGATTGAACGGCAAGTTGGTGTCCAGCTCAATCGTGGGCATGTTCCTCAGGAGAAGGAGATCAAGAGGCGGAAAGATGCGCTGAGTGGAGTTCGAACTTCTCCAGGGTAAGTAAAATAGAGAGCAGGGACGAGGCGTCACAGCAACTAGGCTCATCGTTGGCTGGCCAGAGATTCATCGGTCCCGGATTGGCTGCCCATTCTACTTAAATTCCGGTCTCAGCCGACACCTACAGGTGCGCAGGTTGATTCCTGTAAGTCAGGTAGCCAGCACGCTGCAAGAACTCCAGCTACGTCAAGGACCCGCCCACCTGCTGCAACAGGCTGATGGTGGTTTTCTCTTTCCTGGGACTTTACAGTTCAGGTGCATGGGACCAGGGTTCCTAACCCTGTACTTAGAGAGGGGTCTCAACACACACACACACACACACACACACAGGGCGGGGTTATGGCTCAGCGGTAGAGCGCTCCCCTAGCACATGCGAGGCCCTGGATTCCATCCCCAGCACCACATAAAAATAAAGATATTGTGTTCAACTACAACTAAAAAACTAACACACACACACACACACACACCCCTACCTGTAGAGATCTATCACAAGTTTGACCATAATCTCCAGTGTCAGGGAGGTTTGACATTTTTTTAAAACGAGTTATTACCATTTCAAAGTCACATATCTTCACATTCAGTATGGAAATCTGAGACAAGGTGACACAAGCAGGTGCGATGGGGCTGGGAAAGAAACTAGGTTATACCATCCCTGCCTGGTCCCCACAGACATCTGCCTTTTATAGACTCTTACTCCTAATGCTGAGCCACTTTCCACTAGGGGGTAGCAAAGGATAGATATTATAACTCAAATCAGTGGGTTGATTCAAAATGATTATCAGTGTTGGAAAGTAATTTTAATAGGAAATTTCAAATATAATTAAAATTATGTGGGTATATAGTTGCAATTTCAATTATGCATATAAATTACTATATAAGTGTGCATAATAAAGTATTCTCCATGGAAAGTCCGGGGATGGGGTGGGGCTCTGTCTTGACCTTTCCTGTCCCTTCAACAGTTTATTTATTAGACACCAGATTATCAGAGGGTCTGGGACATAAGACAGTTAGGTCTGTGAGAGTCCAGAGGAAATGGCAAGAACAGGTGACAAACCTTGGATCCAGAGTTGAAAACAGAGAAGACAATGGTTAGGATTAGGAATAGGCAAGAGAAAGCAAGTCTGCTTAGCAGTACCTTCAGGGCCATGAACAGGACTTCCAAAACTAGGGACTTCCCTCCCTGCAAGGAAGTTCATGAAACAGCCTTGCAACCTACCTATGGAAAACAGATAATGACTCCTCAGAAAGCCAGAGACCTAAGAGATCAAGGCCATCCCTGATCAGACATCTCTATGCAGGGTCAACCAATACTTGTGGCATGTGCTCAGCCCAGGGGGCAAGGAGCTTGCTCCCTGCCAGGACTGAAGGAGGGAAACATTGAGCTGAAGACCTCAGAGAGTTAGCTGTCCTTGCCTGGGGATGGGGAGGTAAGGGATGTCTCTCTGGAGAAGCAACATGGTGCCAAATGCCAAAAGAACAGGATGATATCTGACAGAGAAGGTGGGGAGGAAACAGCATGAGACAGGCCAGCAGGAGAGGGGTCTGAAATTAATACAGTTATGAGGCAGGGAGGCTTGTAGGAATAGGGGAAGATTTTCAGTGCTAAGTGCAATGACTTATATTTTAGGGGCAGTGAGGAAATCTACTTAATGTCAAATGGTCCTCCAAAAAGGTGGTATCCTATCTGCAACAGGGTATGAGCATGCTTGTGTCATGTTCCCTCATACACACAGGGCCCACAATGTGCCATGAACTAAGGAAATGCTAAAAATATGGATTTCAAAAATATATGCACATGGTAAAAATGGTATGTGCATCTTGGACTCATGGGTACTTACTTGCTGGTGACTGTTTGCATCTATTTATGGCCAATTTCCTCTTCAAGCAAACCCTTACTATATTCCTTGGCCTATGTTTCTCCAATTTTTTGTTGTCCCTTTTTAAATTTTAATGCATGTATTTTCTTTTTTATTATTTTTTTAGTTATACATGATAGAATTAATTTTGACATAATTATAAAAACATGGAATATATTTTGTTCTAATTCAGTCAGTCCCCAGTACCTTTCCTTTCCCTTCCCTCCTCTACCCCTACTCCCTTTCCCTCATTGATTTTTCTATTATTTACCCATAATAATTTTTTTAAAATTAATTTCTTGTGGATGTACACGATGGTGAGAGTCACTGTGGTATATTCATATATGTACATAGGAAAGTTATGTCAGATGCATTCTACTGTCTTTCCTTTACACATTCCCCTCCGTTCTATTCACTCCTCTTGTCTACTCCACTGAACTTCTTTTCTCCACCCGCCCCCAACTTATTGTGGGTTAGCTTCCACATATCAGAGAAAATGTTTGACTTTTGGTTTGGGGGGGATTGGTCTATTTCACTTAGCATGATAGTCTCCTGGTCCACCCATTTACCACCAAATGTCATAAAGTTATTCTTTTTTTTTTAATATTTATTTTTCAGTTTTCGGCGGACACAACATCTTTGTATGTGGTGCTGAGAATTGAACCCTGGCCGCACACATACCAGGCGAGCACGCTACCGCTTGAGCCACATCCCCAGCCCCATAAAGTTATTCTTTATGGTCAAATAATACCTAATTGTGTATATATACCACATTTTCTTTATCCGTTCATCTGTTGAAAGTCACCAAGTTTGGCTCCATAGCTTAGCTCTTGAGAATTGTGCTGCTGTAAACATTAATATGTTTGTGTCCCTGCAGCATGCTGATTTAAAATCATTTGGCTATATACTGAGAAATGGGATAACTGGGTGAAATGGTGGTTCCACTATGAGATTTTTGAGGCATCTCTAGCCTCCAAGTCTCCATACTGCTTTCCAGAGTGGCTGCACCAATTTTCAGTCCCATCAACAATGGACGACTGTGCCCTTTTCCTCACATCCTCACCAACATTTATTGTTATTATATTCTTGATAATTGCTATTCTAACTAGAGTTAGATGAAATATCATTGTAGTTTTAATTTGCATTTATCTAGTTGCTAGAGATATTGAACATTTTTTCATATACTTGTTGAACTTTCATAGTTCTTCTTTTGAAAAAGTGTCTGTTTAGTTCCTTTGCCCATTTATTGATTGTTCGTTTTTTGTTTGGTTTGGTTTGGTGTTAAGTTTTTTGAGTTTTTTGTATATCCTGGATATTAACGCTCTATCTGAGGAGCAGGTGGCAAAGATTTTCTCCCATTCTGTAGGCTCTCTCTTCATGCTCTTTAAAGGGCTCAAAAAATAACATTAAAGATCTTCCCTATGTGTGCTTGCCATGACCTTTGCACCCCTTGATGGAATATCTAAAGAAGACTATCTTCTGGATGGGTTTGGTTTACCTGGAAAATTCAGCAGCAGCACACATATGTAATGCTTTAATGTTACACTCTTGTTTCCTTTGCTGTGAAGAAGCTTTTTAGTTTGAATTTATTAATTCTTCATTTTACTTCTTGTGCTTTAAAAGTCTTGTTAAGGAAGTCAGGTCCTAAGCTGACATGGTGAATATTTGGGCCTACTCTTTCTTCAATTAGGCACAGGGTCTCTGTTCTAGTGCCTAAGTCTTTGATACACTTTGAGTTGTTTTTTATACAGGGTGAGAGATAGAGGTTTAATTTCATTTTGCTATGGATTTCCAGTTTTCCCAGCACCATTTGTTGAGCAGGCTATCGTTTCTCCAATGTGTGTTTTTGGCACTTTTTGTCTAATATAACTGTTTTTATGTGGGTTTGTCTCTGTGTCTTCTATTCTGTACCATTGGTCTTCATGTCTATTTTGATGCCAAAACCATGCCATTTTTGTTACTACGGCCTGTAGCACAGTTTAAGATCTGGTATTGTGATGGCTCCTGTTCACTCTTCTTGCTAAGGATTGCTTTGGCTATTCTGAGCCCCTTATTTTTCCAAATTTCATATTTTTTGTGATGAGTTTCTAAGAGCATGTTAAAGATTACTTATTTCTAACATAACTTTAACAACATTAGTAGTAGTGTTTTCCATTTAACCTTTTTTTCTTACATACAATTTCATTGACTATAAAGTCTATCAGAATTTTATTTGTTCTTAAATTGTGCCTAGGGTTAGAAAGTCCTTCCATACCCTAAAAATCTAACAAACATTAATCGAATGTCTCCTCATGTCCTCCTAGTTTGATTCTTTTTATTTAGTATTTCCCCATTGGGGAATTATGTGTGTAGCTTGTATTTTTTTTTTTTTCCTAGCCTCAAAAGGCAATATTTCCAGGCAGCATGTGAAAGGGAATAGGACTAACTATTGGTAGCTCAGGAATTAAGGCACATTGCAGGAATCTCTACTTGATTTGCTCTGTGCCTTGGTTTCCCCTCTGGGCCACAAGTTGGGTTAGATTTGGCAGTCTTTGGCATTCCCGAATATGGTGTTTTTAAGGTCTCATATCTGAATGGAAGTTTTGTTTTATTTTAAATTTTTTATACTGGAGATTGAACCAAATCTCCAGTCCTTTTTATTTCTTATTTTGAGACAGGGTCTCACTAAGTTGCTTAGAGCCTCACTAAGTTGCTGAGGCTGGCCCTGAACATGCAATCCTCCTGCCTGCCTCCTGAGTCACTGGGATTACAGGTGTATACCACCACACCCAGTCTTGAATGGAAGTTTTTGAATAGAAAGCACTATCACTTAAACATCTTGTGAGGTGTCCTCATCCCTCATGACTCACCTGCCACATGGCTTGGCCTTAGTGAGTGGCTCAGCTTAGCCACCAAGCTCACTGGGTTCTTCCCAGGGAACCAGCCCTTCCTCTCGGGATTTGTGGGAGAAGTGGTCACTTGTAGATGTCTGATGCAGTTGTGCTGCTTCACACTTAGCATTCTACTTCCTTCTGAGGCCTGGGTTGGTAGGAAAGGGGCCTGCAAGCAAGGTGGGTCCTAAACCTTGTGCAAGTTCCTCCCTTCTGCCTGCTTCACTTTCCTCATAAGCACAATTGAGGATGGTATAGGAGATGCCATAACTTAAATAGCCTCTCCCAACTCTGACATCTTTGCCTCTTCAGTCAATTTTCCACCCTGGGGCTGGCACAGGTACTTGGGACACATAAGCCATGATTCAAACTGTCAAGAGCAACAAAGATGGATGATTATCCTCACAAGGTTTGGCTGCAGGCCAGGGTTCCATTATCTCATGGCCAATGTGAAGTTCCATCCTTCAAGGCTTCATCTGGGCAAAGGAATCAGTGTAGTGCTAGCCAGCAGGAGAGACCAGTAAGGTGGTGGGGAGGAGAACTCTGAGCCTTTTAAGTTCTCTGTCCCCATCCCTAAATTCAAGTACCACCTTTCTGGGGTGGAGGGAAGGATCAGGGAAGAGGAGGGTACTGTGCTGGTGCCTGGATCATAGACACTGACCCCATCTGCCTTGTGCCTATTCCCTTGAGCCTGGGCCAAGCAGAATTTCAACTTGGACCTGGGGAGAGGTGATTCCCTGGAGTTTTAATCTACCTATCATCTAAGTCAGCTCCATCCAGTCTTCTGGATGGCACTCTAGTTTTCTCCCTGAGCTCTACTCTTGCTGTTCTGATTTATCTTTGCAGCCCACATTGAGAATCAGATCTTTTTGATAAGGCTGAGGGAATCATCTGCAACTCAGAGCTCCAACATGTGAAACTACTGGGCAGAAGGAAGGTGTACAAAAATAATTGATACAAGCCAAGCAAAGGAACTCCAAGGTCTAGCTTTTTTAATATATTTTTTAAAGTTGTCAATGGACCTTTTTTTTTTTTTTTTTAATTTATTGATATGTGATACTAGAATTGAACCCAGGGCCTCACACATGCTAGGCAAGTGCTCTACCACTGAGCCACAACCCCAGCCCGCAAGGTCTAGCTTTTAGTGAGAAGCCTCAGAAGTGGTCAAGTACAAACATAGCAGGAAGAGGCATATGCATTAGAAACTAATTTTATTAACTATGTAGACTGCACAGAAAATGAATTTTTTTGAGAGAGAGAGAAAGAGAGAGAATATTTCAATATTTATTTTTCAGTTTTCAGCGGACACATCTTTGTTTGTATGTGGTGCTGAGGATCGAACACCTGGGCCGCACGCATGCCAGGCGAGCACGCTACAGCTTGAGCCACATCCCCAGCCCCAGAAAATGAAAATCTGAATTTGCTATTTCATTGATGCACTAAAAATAAATCATCGCACCTCCAACTGTGCTAATTAGTATCTAAGGGTCATGAACTGTAAACTCTGCATGGAACACTGGAAAGCTAGAGATGGAGACTTCCTTTGTACTCCTCTCACTCAACCTGTATACACTTTGAAACATAAAGTCATGATCTGGTATTTAGATGGGGAGCAGGGATGACATTCATCCAGTTTATACTTGCAGACACAGCATTTATACAGCTGGCATGCTGGTGGACGTTGTATGTCCCATGTTTGGCATAGGTTATATGAAGTGAACCGCTCCAGAGAATTCTCAGCAAGAATCAAGGTGCAGATTGAGGTCCAAGAAAGTTCCCTGAAATGAAGCTAACCCTATTCTTTTGGTTAGCACAGCAAACTAAAGACAAGTAAGGGTCCAGGTCAACCCAGACTGAGGTCATGATTCTCAGGATATCAGCAGAGTACAGAAAGTTCCAGGCCAGAACAGCTTCCCCCATGTTCCCACCCTTTGCACATGGGTGTAGAGAGCAGAACCTCCAGGCTGGGTGACCCACCCACATATTTTAGCACTATAAATATATCAAACAGCAGCCCTGAAGATAGGAAACATCCCACATCCATGTTTCCTAGGGTCCCCTCTTTATAAACCTACACTCTGTCCATAATGGACCAGGATGCTGGGGAGTGGAGTAGGGAAGTAAAGAACTCATGTTTGAATGCTGAAGAGCTCCTTGTTTATTTGGCAAGAGGATATGGGAGAAAAAAACTATGAGGTCATAGACAAATCTGCACAAGGGTTCCCAAAGGTGACATCCACTAGGCCTTGACTCTGCCAAGAGTATACTCCAGAAGGGGCAGCCAACTCACAGATGCCCTGGATCCTTTGTGCCAATCATAAAAATGTCATGACGGTCCCTTTCTTTCCAATCTGCCAGGGTTCCAAGGGGCAAAAGCGGATAATTATCCTTTGGGAAACAGAGAAAGGATGTCAGCTCCTTCAAAAAAATTCACTTTGCAAGACACCTACCAGGTGCTCCCTCATCAGCCCATGAATTATTTACCAGCCTGCTCATCCAAGTTAATGATCTTCTCCTGGTCCCAAACAGGATAATGGGACTATCAAGTACAAGATGATGGCTGCACATCAGCATGGCCCACCCAAGAGAGACACAAACCATGGCCTCAGTGGGTATGCTATGTGCTCATTTGAGTCTACCAGTTTGTGGGCTCAGAGGGACAGTCTTCCCTCCTAGATGCAGGCTGCATGGGGTATGCTCAAGGCATCAGGCACTTCTCTTTTCTCAAAGTCTGACTCAGGGTCAGGCACAGGGTGACCATAAAGTCTGTAGAATAACTGAATGTGCCCTTTTCACAGAGATAACAGAAAATTCTTGGTGAAGAGCACCAGGGATGGAGACAGGTTGGCAGGGGATGGGTGGTTGGCAGCAGATGACAGCCTCAGTTTCCCCATCTGCCAAGTCAGCAAAATGCAGTCATCTGTCTCATGGGATGGCAGGTCTTCACTAAGGGGTCAGGGCTTGAACAGATCAAATGGGATCATGTGTGCTGAGTTCCTGGCACTCTGTAGGCATTAATGCATAATTTATTGTTAGAGTTATTCTCTCTCCCCAGTCTAAGAATCTGAACACCCACTAGGAGAAACTGTTCCTCACCAGCCTCCCTGAGTCAACAAGGGCTTCATTTGGAAGGTCCTTTTAAGTTTCTCATGCCCTTAGTTCCTCACAGACATAGGCTTGGCTCGGGAATATTTTTCACTCAGCAGGAAATCTTAACCTTAACACAGTGTTCCAGGTTTGGGGGAAGAGAGGTCGTTTAACCTTCCTCTCTCTGCTCACAGAAGAGGAGGCTAGAAAGTAGAGATGGTTCATTTCTAGTTTTCTCTTGGGTCCCCCACCTGTGAGGGACCCAGAATTGGGCCTAGACATCTAGGCCAAAGTTCTTTCCCTCAATCTCAGGATCCTGAAACAAGATCACTATTTCTGGTTGCACATCAGTACCAAAGGGATCCTCACTACTGCTACGCACCGGTCCTGGTCCAAGGCCAGCTCCTTAGTGAGGAACTCAAAGAACTGGGCGCTGTGGCCACGGTTATCCTCTGCAGTCCCCACGACGCCAATAGAGGAGACCACCAGCTGGACACAGGGCTCTGTGGTTCCGCCCAGTGCCATGGTCAGACCCGGTCGCACAGTAACGCTCACACGCTGCGAGGGATACAAAAGTTTCACCTGAGTGTAGGGCCGGTGGGGCTGGCATTAGGCATGGAACCGCGTGAGAGCCAGGACGCAAAGGGTCTGAGGTCAAGACACCGGGATGGGCCCTCGAAGGTCAGGCAGGGAACATGCGACAAGGGCAGACCGGGGAAAGAGGGCTGCGGGTTCGTCAGGGGCACGAAAGGTCAAAGGTTGGCCGGCCTATGAAAGTCCCAGGGGAGAAGATTGGTGTATGGGGGGGAGGTCCCTGTGGAGAGGCAGAAAATGGACTGGGCCCGACCCCTAGCTCCCAAGCTCCCAGGGAAACCCGACCCTTGCTCACGTCTTCGGGTTTGCCCAGGATAGCGGCGGTGGCCGCGCAGAGCCTCTTCTCCAGCCCAGCAGGCACGCGGTTGGCAGGCAAGTTGGTGTCCAGCTCAATGAACGGCATATCGGTGGACAGCGAGAGGGACTACAGCGAAGAACGCAGAGTCCAGCTCCGGTTTCCAGTAGCTGAATACGGAGAGAGGGCGGAGCGCCGCAGTAACCAAGCTCCTCATTGGCTGGGCAGAGCCAGTGCTCTCCGATTGGCTTCCAGAGTTCCACCCCATCCCTTCAGTCACATTAGCTGGGCACCAAATTTCCTGTAGTTCTACCTCCCAGTAAATTAGGTGTAATCCCACCTTGAACTGGAGGCTGGCCACTCTCGGCCTGCCCACTCCTGGGGGGCTGGGCGCGGCGGCCTGTCGTGATTTTCTCTTTCCTGACTTTGAGTTGTTGCGCTAAACTATTCCTAATCCATGCTTACGATGATACTGCTGGTTATCAGTGACAGGTTCTGCTTCCTCACAGTAGCATATAGAGCAGGGTTTATTTTAAGAAGGGGTAACATAGACTTTTTCAGGGAGGGAAAAGTGGGGCCATAGCTGGTATCCTAATAGGTGAGGTGTTCTGCCCTTTTTATGTCTTAGGCTTCCTCTGTTCTCCTGCCCTCTTCCCCTTCTCCTTCCTGCGTGGGTGACTAGGCCCGGGAATGCTGGTGGGAGGGCCAAAAAGTGGGAAACAGTTGGGCTGAAGGGAGAAGGGCAGGATGAAGCAGCCAAGGACACATTAATTAATAACCTGTGGCTCCCTATAGGGAGGGGCAATTCCTGGGACAGGTTACACTGGCAACAGGCTGGAGGCAGGGGCAAGTTCTTGATAAGGGCAGAGGGAGAGCTCTGAAGGAATTAACATTCAGTCCTTCAGGGGACTGTGAGTCCAACTTCCCGGACTCACTCAAAATTGGCCTCCTTGATCTGGCGTGACTTGATTTACCTATCTATGCTGACTGCATGTCTAATTCTGGCTTCACTAATGTGCAGGTCTGAATACTCCCAATACAAACAGGTCTGTAGGGGCCTTTAGAGGTTCACTCGACCCTAATAACCATTGCCACACACAGGTTTAACTTTTGTTTTTATTTTTAAACGATTTGCCACCATTTCATAGTCAAAGAATTCACCTTCAATATGGGAATTTGCCCTTCTCTCAGTTTGGAATCCCGGTAACTGAAAGGAAAGTGAGCAAGCAAGAGGCAGGAGAGCGAGAAATGAAGGACAGAGACGAGGTAGATATCCACACAAAGGTTTATTTGTCAAGGCTGACAAATAAAGGCCATCCCTCTATAGAGTGGAGAGAGGCACCCGAGATAGTTGGGTGTTCAGCTTTTGTGGGGTAGGGGTTTGGATTGTAGTTATGGCCCTAAGGGATAGACTCAGGTGCCTGCATCAGAGCTAGGTGGGTGGGGAATAGCATGGCTTAGGTCAATGGCACCAAGAGCAGTTCCAGAGTCAAGGGATGGTGTCCTTCTGGGATTGGCTTAGAGTTATGGTATAACGTGGTAGGTCAATAATGGGGGTAGGGGGAGTTTGGGTAAGAGGAAATACAGGAAAGCGAAACTTATTAGATGGTGGTTAATATTTAAGATGGCTGCTCAGATGTTAAATCAAGACCCTGTAGTGGCAAGTGCAGGTGCATTTGAGACTGTGAAAGACCCTTGGGCAAGGGCATCTCCTCCTTTGTTGCCTCTTGTGCGAGTGGTGGCAAAAGTTGTTTAAAACAAGACAATCTGTTCAATCACACATAAGAAATTCTAAGAGTGCATATCAAAGTGGTCTTCGTAGGAAGACATGTGGGCTAAGAGATTGTCATTACCCTGCTAATTCTGTTAGCAGTTTATTTATACAATGACTCAGCTATCAGAGGGTCTGTGTTATAAGAACAAGCAGGCTGTGATGCAGACTTAAACCATGGTAAGTTTGGGAGCTAGAGTTGGGCATAGAGAAGATAGTGGTTGGGATCAGGAATAGGTATGGGGAACAAGGCTATTGGGGCCAGAAACAGGGCTTTCCTAACGAGGGACTGCCCTCTCTGCAAAGAGGTTCATGAAACAGCCTTGTACCCTGCCTGTCTCCTACAGAGGGAGAGAGACTTAGTAGACCAAGGCCATTCCAGATCAGACTTCTGCACAGGGTCACCCGACATCTATGACATGTGCTAAGCCCAGGGGCCATGGAGCTTGCTCTCTGCCAGGACTGAAGGAGGGAAACATTGGAGCTGAGGATCCCATAAAGTCAGCTGTTCTTCCCTGGGGATGGAGAGGTGAGGGATGTCTCCCTGGAGAAGCAACATGGTGCCAAATGCCAAAGAACAAGAGTAGTATCTGGCAGAGAAGGTGAGGAGGGAACAGCATGAGCCAAAGATAGGAGGCCAAGGTAGGACTAGGACAGGGGTCTGAAATGAATGCAGTTAGGAGGCAGGGAGGCTTATAGGGGTAGGAGAGCAAGATCTTTAATGCCACATGCAATGACTTATACTTTAACTTCAAGGAAGTGGGGATACATGGAAAGTTTCCAAAGAAGAGGGATAAGGCCATTTATGTGTTTACTAAAGCTCTCTCCAAAGGTCAGGTAGAAGCCGAATAAAAGTGGCATGGAGACACAAAAGGAATACAAATCTGATACTTGGACAGAACTGTGAACAGACTGTGTGGACATGTCCTGCTTACAGCAAAGGAAACAAGCAGCTTCATCTCTTTATTCTGACAACCCAGCATTTCCCTTGGTAATTTTACTGGCCAGGGCCACTCACTCACTGCAACAAACCCTGCAGTGACTGCCTCAGTTTCTCCTTCAAGGCGGGGTCTGCTGGAGGAATGTCCTTGGCCTTCAGGATAACTGCATGGGCTTCCTGGAAGAGGTCCTCTCCTACTGCAGACTCCACACGCTGGCGCCATGCAGCCAACTTGGGTCGGCATTCAAAGACTTGGCAGCCAGCACTGACAGGCTATGGGGAGGAGAAAGTGGGTAGGGGGCTGTGTATAACCAAGCACAAGGCAGCATGACTGCTTTAGGGCTCTCAGATTGAATTTTCCCTCCTCCACTGTGTGTGAGAAATTGGGGGTCCCCCTCCCAGGGCACACTGGGAAGTCCCCCAACATCCCTGCAGTGAGGGCTTATGAAGATTCATTTTACAAATGAGGAGATTGATGCTTAGAGGGTGAAGTGATTCCTCCAGGGTAGGAAATATAAGTGGAGACATTAGCTCCCCACAGGAATTCTCACTATTCACCCTACCCCATGGAACTCACATGCATCAGCTCTGTGATGGCCACCAAGTCAGCCACAGAGATATGGGACCCAGTAAGGAAGGCCTGGTTTTGCAGGAACTTGTCCTCAAGCAGCTGCAGGCATCTATCCAGCTCAGCCAAAGTGGCTGCCAGTGTCTCAGGAGGCACTGGCTGGCCCAGGAACATAGGGAACAACATCTGGGTGGGCCCGCAGACAGAGAGAAGGTCAGGCTTCACTTAATGCCCATCCTTTTTCCTGCCCTTATCCCATTCAATACCAGTCCCACAGTTTATTTTTTTTCCTCCCCAAGATGTTCCTCCATAAAGCTTTACATGGCTCCTCAACACAGAGCCCTCCCCAGTGCAACAGTCATCTGACCAAATCCCCCCCACCTCTAACTCCAGAATTCTCAAGTAATACGTATGAACACCCTGGGACGTAGTTAGTCCATGTTCATCAACACTGTGACTGGCAGTCTCTGGTATTCCAAAATTTGGTGTTCTAAGGTCTTGTATGTGAATGAAAGTTTTTATTTATTTTCACATTTTTATTGATGCATTATAAATATACATAATTGTGGAATTCATTGTTACATGTTCATTCATACACAAGATATAATAATTTGTCCGATATCTTTCCCCATTATTTCCCCTTTCCCCCCTCTTCTTGCTCCCTGATCCTTTTCGTTTACTCTGCTGATCTCTCTTCAATTGTGAGTGGAGATTCTAAATAGCACCATCACCTAAACATTCTGAGAGGTGTCCTTGTCTCCCATGACTCACCTTCTGCCACATGGCCCTGGTGCAGCAACTCCGCAGGGTGGTGTGTTGCCAGGACAGGTACTCATCCACCCGGGCTCTGGCCTGCAGGTCTTGGGGGTACCAGTGATCGGGGGCCTTGTACTTGCGACTCAGATACAAGAGGATGGCCACACTATGGGAATATGGCAGGGGTAGAGGACATGCCTTGGTCACTCTTCAGCCATTTGGTGGGGCATTTTCACTATCCACATTATGCAGAGCAGGAACGAGAGGCTTAGAGAGGTCAAGTGACTGCCCAGGGTCACACAGCTCTACACTGGGCCATCTCATCATCTGAACAAAGGATGCCAAATGAGAAATAAAATGCCATGGATTTCGGAAGGAGCCAGGGACTCAGAGAAGACTTCCAGGAGGAAAGGGTACCCAGTGAGTCTTGAGGGATTAGAGCAACTTGAATACTATTCCCCACCATATCCAAAGGATGGACAGAGCCACCAAGGGTACCGCCCCTCCCGATTCTCCTGAGACTGGGAGAATTCTCCTAAGTGACATGAGGACATTACTTGCCACCCGGTCTCACCCTTTCCCTACCTGCTCAAAGTTTTTAGCCCCTTCATCCAGGAAACTCTTCCTCACCTCCTCTCATCGGTTTCCCTACTGGGTCTGGTGTGTGCAACCTGACCCCCAGAGCTCATTGTGCCTCCCTGGGTGTTGGACTGTGCCTGAACCCCAGGCTCTGCAGCCAAGTGGCTGTGAGCATGAATCTGGCTTCAACAAGAAGATACTCTGTGACCTTGGTAAAGGATACCACCACCATTCAGTCACCAACCCTTTGGGCTGACCTTGGCTTCCCATCTTTCCCACTCATGTCCAGCCTTTCTAGAGATCATGCAGTTATTTGACTCTGAAGAGAACTTAGAGTCAATCATTCCCCATGGTGTACCACCACCATGTTGACCTGGGGCCTAGCACCTTATTCCTGTATTTCCTTGGTAGACTTCTCACCCCAGGCAGGGAGATCATTTCACATATAAGAGGAAACATAGCTCTCCTCTGTAGGGAGTGGTGATGTGAATTAAGATGTCAGATTACCTCATGGTTGTGGTGCACTTGCACTGGGATTCCCCTGTACAGGGTTAACATTCCTCTGTGCAAAAGTACAGAGTTACCACCTGTAAGCCCAGTGGCTCAGGAGGCTTAGGCAGGAGGAAGCAAGTTCAAATCTAGCCTCAGCAAAAGCGAGATACTAAGCAACTCAGTGAGACCTTGTCTCTAAATAAAATATGAAATAGGGCTGGGGATGTGGCTCAGTGGTCAAATGCCCCTGAGTTCAATCCCCAGTACCGAAAAAAAAAAAAGTGAAGCCAGCTCTAGGTCACTGTTCTCAGTCAGAGTTCAGAGTTCAGTTTTCCACCTGATCCCGCTTTTCTGTCTAAATGTTGTGTGTTTTTCTTAATCTCTCAACCAAAGTCCCTCACCAGTTTCTAAATAAACAGAGCAGGTCGTGGCACACCCCTGCTCAAACCCTCCAATGGTCCCATTCACCTATGGGAAAAGCCCAGGTTTTCCCTCCCCTTCCCTCCCCTTTCCTGCTCTGCCCTTCTCAACACAGCCATATCAAATCCCTGCTGTTTAGCCTGCACCCCAAGCAAGGTCCCACCTAATGACTTTCTCCCTTGCTCTTCCCTCCAACCAGAACACTCTCTATACCTTGCATCTGAGGCAACAAGTTCCTGCTCAAATGCCACCCCCTCAGCAGTTCTTCCCTTGACCACCCACTCAAAACTGCACCTTCACCTATTTCCTCCACAGAACCCCCACTTGTTTATGTCATGATTGTCAGTTTCCTCTAGAATGTGAGCACCACAGGGCTTAGACATGTCCTCTGTACAAGGCCAGGGCCTGGATGGTGCCTGATGCTGATGGATGCTTGGTAAATAGCCACTGAGCTCATTGGGTGTTTCCTTAATCTCCCAGGGAAACATCACTCACCCTGAGGATATATGGAAGCAGTGATTGCTTTGAGATACCCAGTGCTGCCACTGTTCCACATTTAGCATTCTCCTTCTTTCTGAGGCATGGATTAGCAGGGAAGAGGCCTGAAAGCAGTCTTGACCTACAATCTTGTGGAAATCCCTGCCCTCTCCCATCTGTTTTCTTATCTGTATTATACAGGGGCAAACAGGTGTTCCATAAGTTCAACAGCCCCTCCTAGCCCTGGACACCTCTGTCTGCTTCTGCCCACACTATACCCTGCAGCTCCATGGGAATTTGGGACACACAAGCTGTGGTCCCAGCCATTAACAGTGAACATAGACAGGCTTGGCTGAGTGGCCCCACAGGCTTGGCCACAGGCCAGGGATCCATTACCTTTCAGCTAATGTGAAGTCCCCGTCCTTTAGGGCTGGCACCTTCCTCAGGGGGTTCACCTGACCAAAGGAATCAGTGTAGTGCTGACCTGCAGGAGAGACCAGTGAGGTAAATGTGGATAACTCCAAGTCTTCTGAAGTCTCTGGCTGCCCCCACCTCTAAATTCAGGTACCAGCTTTTGGGAGCATAGAGGAAGAGGTGAACACTGTGCTTGTCTCTGGATCATAAATCACTCCACCTTCCCTGTGCCCACACAAATGGAGCCTGGGCCAAGCAGAATTTCAACTTGGGCCCCAGGAGAGGGTGATATTCTAGAAGCATAATCCACCTGACACCTCAGCCAGCTCCATCCATGTCAGGCACTCTAGTCCCCTCTCTGAGCTCTACTTTTTCCCTTCTGATTTCTCTTCCTACCCTGGGGAAAAGGAGGGGGATCAAGCCCTTCAAACCAGGCTGGGTGACCTGTTCACAATCCCAGAGCTTCAGCCACTCTTATTCTCATCTGTCCATCCAGGAACACGGACCCCATTCAGCCACTTAGCCTTTAACAGCTCAGCACTTCTTTCTTTCCCATGCCAAACCCTCAAAACTCCCTTCTCAAGATGGGTTCCCAAGCTGGGGTTGTAGCTCAGTGGTAGAATGCTTGCCTCATATGTATGCCTGGGTTCGATCCTCAGAACCATATAAAAATAAATAAGCTAAATAAAGGTATTGTGTCCATCTACAATAAAAAATATTTTAACAAATGGGCTTCCAAGTCTGAATCACTTCCACAGACCCTATATCCAAGCCCAGGCTAATGCTGGAGGGTACATTAAGTGCCCAGTTAGTATGTATGGAGTCAGGGGGCCTCCACCAAGCCAGCCTTCAGCTGATCATAGACTTACCTATGGGCGTCTTTTTCCTTACACTGAATGGACACATTTCCCTGCCCACTCTACCTCCAGAAACTACCTGTACCCACACTATGTCCCATAGCAGTTGGCTCACGCTGGGCCAATGGGAGGGCTCAGCTGAGCAGGGGCCTTCACCTGGGCTGGTTACCTCTTGCCTCCTTTACTAGATTCTGCTGCAGCTGTTTTCCCCGGTCAGTCAGACCAGCAACACTGCTTCTAAGGTAAGAGTGCTGGCCTTCCCTACTGCCCTGCCACAGGCCTCAGAGCCCTGCCAGTGGGTGGAAACCACCAGGGACAGGAGCAAGTCATTAGCAAGGAAAAAAAAAAAAAAAAAAAAAGCCGAAGAATGGCAAGGAAGACATGAAAGTAGAAGAGAACTAGATGGGGTAGATAGGAGCAAAGAGAAGACCTCCAAGTGGGGGCCATCTCCTGCCGGAGGATGCAGAAACGTAACAGATGGGGACAACTTCATCTTGGAAACGAAGAGGTATTTCGATCTTTTTCTCCAATCCTAGAGGTGAGGATAGTCTGGCTCTTTCTCCACTTGCCTCTTCTATTCAAGGACTGCCTTCTCCCTTTTATTCTATGTTTTGAAGAATGTCTTGTATTCACTAGGCAAAGATTAGGGTTCTTAAAAATACACAATTGACAACTGACGCAAAGGCTTCCACACTGGAGAGGCTGGGCTTCCCTCTAGTTTGTACACCTGACCACGAAGCGACGCCTACAGGGAGAGGACCGCCTGCACACTCAGCCCATACTCCCCAGCCTGCCTACCCAGCCCACCTTTGAGCAGTTCCACGGTGCGCAGCTGGAAGGGGATGCCGTTCTTCTTGGCGAAGATGTAGACAGCGCGGCAGGGCTGGGACATCAGGTCCAGATAGAGTTCCAGGCCCATGGCGAGGTCGGCAGTGGGTCGGCTGGGGAAGTGGCGTGCAGATATACGGGTCTGGCGAGGAGGCCAAGGACAGGAGCCGTAACCGGAACTTTGGGCAGGAATGGCTGAACACCTACTCCACAGAGCTCAACCAACTGGGAACCTGGCCCGACCACGCCCTCCCCGCTCATTGGAGGGCTCAAGAAACTTAGGGCCAATCAGTGGCGTCCCCACTGTCTTGCCCCTCCACCCCGCTCAGAGAATCTGGGCTGAAAGATTTCTTCCCAGTTGGAGAGGGCTCAGACAGGCGGGTCTAGGTACCGACCACCTCGGGTCTCGCTGCCAGGTCAGATACCATCCCTGGACTCAAAATCCATCTTTGTCAGATGGAGCAGAGAGAGAGGTGATCATAGACTTACCTTGGACACTTCCAACATAGACCCTCAGAGAATTTAGGATGGAAAGATTGTGCTGTCTGCTGTCAGCCCAAGCCTCCTCCCTCCACCCTCCGGAAGAGGAGTGGCTTGGGGTCCAAAAAGAGAAAGAACGGATGTGCAGCAGCGCTCCCACCCGTGCCTGGGCCTAGCTCTCAGGATGGAGACTGGGGAGAATGGGGGGGGGGGGCTGTTTGCTCTCTACTGAGGCCAGCCCTACACTTTGTGAAGGAATGAGTTTATTCCTCTCCAGTCCCTAGGGTGGTCTTCATTACACTCCCGCTAATCTCTCCCCAAGAAGCTAGAGCCCTGTGCGGCCTAACCAGAGGTCAGCGGGTGTGCCTGGGATTGTACAGAACTTCCCCACCCCTTTTGCAAGGCCAAATTCCTCCAATTGCATGTTTTTGTTTTGTCTTGGTTTTGATTTTGGTACTGGGAATTGAATCTGAGTCCTCACCCATGCTAAACCATGGTTCCCTCCGCTGAGCTACATCCCCAGCCCTTTTTTCTTATTTTAAAATTTTGAGACAGGCTCTGTGCTGCCCAGACTGATTTAAACTTGAGACCAAACGGCCTCAGCCTCCTAGATAGCTGAAGTTACAGGTGTGCACTACCATGCCCAGTTCCAACTGCAGTTCTGGAGCTCCTAAGGCCTATGATTATGGCACTACCATTTCCCTTGGGAGCCTTCCAAGATGTGAAGACCCCGATCCCAAATCCAAGATTAGGAGAATGTCTCTTGGCAAGAGGATAAGTTATTGGGAAGCTTAAGAAGATCTTTGTCTTCCTGGTTCCAAATAGTCCCCATTTAAGAAACATTTATTTCTCCCTTATCTCAATCCCCCCATCAGGGACCAGGAAAGTCTTCTTAAGATATTAGTGCTGCAGCCCTCTCCAAACTGAAAGGAGCCAGTTCTCCACTCTTCTCTGCCTCTCACTGCTTGCCAATTCTTCACAAATCACCTTTGGCCCTAATTATTGCAACATCCAATCTCCCTGCTTCCTCCTTGGCTGTCCTCCAATCCAAATCCCACTGGCAACCAGAATATTATTCTAAAATGCAATGTGAGACTTTTGTTCCTGTTTACAGTTTGTAGCTAAGTGCCTAAGCATTGCATTTAAGCCCCTGAAAGCCTGTACTCAGGAATTTTCTCCTCCTGACCAATTCCTCAGGACAGATGCAGGACTGGTGATTAACAATACTACATGCCAAAGGGCCATGTCCTGGGAGACTGGCCAGTCCAACTGATGGATCAGTAAACATGCCTGTAAATAACACATGAGATGCCTACAGACCCCTATGCTGTATGACAAATCATTCTCCAGGAACTAGAAGGCTACAGGGCATTTGTGACTTCATTCTTAGCAACCATCAGGAGGAAGCCAACCCTCACTGGGAAAGGGGGTTGTCTTTCAGATAGAGACCAAGACCAGGATCAAGGACAGAGGAAGGGAATAAATTATACAGAGCTAGAAACAAAATAAGTCTGAACCTAGGTTTATTCTCTAAACTTAAAAAATAAAATGCAGTGATTAAAGGTCTGGGTTTGTGTCCTTATCATGACTGTGATGGAGCCTTGGCAGTGGGATCAGGGCAAGTAACTCTTGCTCTCTGGGCTTGCTTTCCACAGCACACTGGAAATGAAGGTGCTTTGTGAACATGTTCACAGTGCAGGGCTGGGTGGGGGGCGGGGGGGGGCTCCAAGCTCACTGGATCATGGCTAGCACTCCAGGCATCAGCTTCTGCTTTATGGTGGGGTCTGCAGGGGGAGTGTTCTTGACCTTCAGGATGACCTCATGAGCTTCCTGGAAGAGGTCCTTCCCCACTGCAGCCTCTATTCGCTGGCGCCATGCAGCCAGCTTGGGTCGGCTTTGGAAGACCTGGCAGCCAGCACCCACGGGCTGTAGGAAGAAGACAATAGAGTGAGGTAAAGCTGAGGACCTACCTCATTGTCTGGTCTGTGGACCCCAGTACTCCAGCAGGGATTTCCATGCACAAGCATAATTTCTCAGCCAGGTGTGGACAGCATAAATAGGACTTCAGCACCTCCATCTAGTGGGCCCACACTACCCATGGCACTCACATGCATGAGTTCAGTGATGGCTACCAGATCAGCCAGGGAGATGTGGGGTCCGACAATAAAGTCCTTGTTCTGGAGGAATTTGTCCTCGAGCAACTGCAGGGTCACATCCAATTCAGCCATTGTGTCTTCCAGTGTCTTGGGAGATACTTGCTCGCCCAGGAAATTAGGGAGCATCACCTGGTGAGGGGGCAGACAAAGTGGGGGGTTAGAGAACAGCCTAGCCATGGTTGTAGGAATATAAGACCCCCAACTTTGGAGTTGTTTTTTGGTTCTATGCATCTTTTTTCCATGACCTAGCTAGGCCTGCAAGGAAATTTCCAAGGGATTTCTTTTCCCAGGTATATTCTTGCTTCCCTGATCTCTGACTGGCTGAGCCCTTGGGATATCAGACAAAATTACTCAAACCTCTTTGAGAACCACTCAAATGGGGACCTGAACAATGGTTTTAATACTTTGTGGGGAGGGAACTAGCCTAAGATGTACAATCATGCATCGATTAATGGTGGGGATATGGTTTGAGAAATGCGTCATTAGGAGATTTCATCATTGTATAAACATCACAGAGTGTACTTAAACCTTATTGGCATAGGTCAGTCACTCAAAATGGCCTGTTGAAGAAATCAAGAGACATGGTAAACAAGAAATGGATGAGCTACTGCTGGTATAACACAATGAACTATTTTACAGTCATTTTTTTTGTATAAGTAGAAGGAATATATTCTAAAACAATGATAAAAAAGTATAGTAAAGTAAATACATAAACTGGTAACTTAGTCATCCATTATCATATAAAGTATTATGTATTGCGGTGCTGTTGGTATAAACATATCTACTGCATTCCCAGTCATGCTAAAGTATAGCACATGCAATTATGTGCTGTACATAATACTTGATATGATAATAAACAACCATGTTATTGGTTTGTCTATTTTCCATACTCTACTTTTTAACATTATTTTAGCGTATACTCCTTCTACTTAGAAGAAGTTTGCTGTAAAGCAGCATGCCATGTTTCACAGGTAGCAGCCTCAACCATCTCAAGTTTACTAGATCTCTTGGCTGCATCAAAAGCACAAGACAGACCTAGCTGGTGCTTTTCAGTCTTGTTGGAGGCCACCTCTTCAGAGGCTGCAGTGCACAGGTGGCTGAGACAGAAGAATCCATCATCAGTGAGCTGTGTTAGCCAGGGGGAATATTTCTGCACCACAGATCACCTGCAGAGAATCCACAACCCCAGGGCCTGTGCTTGCAGAGAGCCACTAGGCTCTACCTTACCATGAAAAAGATCCTGTAAAGGGGTGTGGATACACAGTGACCCACAGCAACCAGAGGGACAGCCTAGAGTCCTGACTCCCAAACTTCTGCACACAATAGAAACAACCAACAGACATAGCATCATACCCTCTGTACCCTCTGAGCAATCAGCAGCAAGTCCCTGATAAACCAGAACACACTGGTGGGATGTCCATAGCAACTGGGGAGTGGCTCCTGTGCCCCCAGAACCATTGGAGGGATCCAAAGTCAAAGGATGATGGACATCTTCTAAATGTCTGAAATCCTAATGAAATTCAAACCAAGGTTCAACAAGAATTTTCTTTGCCTTGACATGGTTTACTGTAAATAACTCTAATGCCAAATTTGAGCATATATATCACTCTTTATCTTGATTGATAATTGTTACCCTAATAGCCAACATTGTACCTTCAACCCATTTCAGTGTGTTTCTCCTTATGGTTTAAAACATTAATTGGAATCATTCTCTATTTCTTTATTTTCCTAGTTCAAATTTATACTTCCTTCTCTTGCTCACTATTCTCCCTCTTCTTACCATCTGTTGCTACCTAAAATACCCCCATCCACCTCTTTCTCCTTTGTTTTTAATATTTATTTTAATCTTTGTTTTTATTATGATTTTCTATCTTTTCTTTCCTCCCCTCTTTTTTTCTTTCTTGCCTAATCTTTCTTCTTCCCCCTTTCAGCCTTCATATAATGTTATAGAAATTTTATTATACTTAATAACTAGACATAACTAATTTTTCAACTTGCTCCAGAACTTTCCTCAAGTTTATACCTGGATTAGAGGAACTGTGGAGAACACTATCAACAAGTTTTTTTTTTTTTTAATTTTCATAGGTTATATAATATGTGCTTTGGCTCTAAAGTGATTGAGGTAAGTAGGATTCAGTGACTTCTCTCAAAGTGGTGCTGGTACTGAGATCAGCAGAGGCCACACATTGAGTTAAAGTATCAATACTTGGATAGTCACCCAAACCAGGGTTTCTAAGAGAGAGAAGTTCACAAAATAATCTGTGGCTAAAAGAAGAGGTAAGAATAGAAAATATAGGAAGTGAATCATTCCAATGAAGAGATAGAAATCCTAAAAAATAATCAAACAGAAATCCCAAAAATGAAAGGCTCAATAAACCAAATTAAAAATTCAACAGAAAGATTAGACCACTTTGAAGACAGATTTTTCAGGCCTTGAAGAGAAAGCACATAATCTTGAAAATAAAGCTGACCACAAAGAAAAGATCATGACCAGAATATTAAAAAAAATCTGGCATAACATCAAGAGACCAAATTTAAGAATCATTAGGGTACAAGAGGCTCTGAAATACAAACGAAAGATATGCACAATATTTTCAATGATAAAATATATATTTTCCAAATCTTAGTCATGAGATGGAAATTCAAGACATATAAAACTCCAAAAAGACATATCATAATAGATCTACTTTAAGAAACATTATAATAAAAATTCCTAATATACAGAATAAAGACAGAATTTTAAAAGCTGCAAGAGAAAAATTACTGATCATATGTACAAGTAAACCAGTTTGAATTTCAACTGATTTCTCAACCCAGACCCTAGAAGCCAGGAGGGCTTGGAATATATCAAGCTTTGAAAGAAAATGGGTGCCAGCCAAGATTACTATGCCTGGCAAAATTATCCTTTAGAATTAAATATGAAATAGAAACCTTCCAGGATAAACAGAAACTAAAAGAATTCATAACCACAAAGGCTGACCAACAAAACAAACTCAATATTTCATGAAAAATAAAAATGAAAACCAATATAGGGACGAATTAACTGGAATAATACTCAATTAAAGGAGAATCAAGGCATCTGAATACCTTTAATTTATTTAATATCAATTGTTTAGAGCTCTGCCATTTCATCAGTGCCTGTTAATATTAATATTTATGTGTACCAGGAGTGTAGTTGATATGTTTTATTTGCAGTAATCCAATCTCCAAAGATTTCCTTTTGAAGACACTTTTCTCCCTCGTTAATTTTTACATTCCTATTGTACTAAATATTAAGTGTTCTTGGACAATTTTAGTGCTCATGTGTTTTAGGGACAAAAGTGAAATGACTTTATCATTAAACCAGAATGTTTGTTTTTAACTCATAGATCAAATGTGCCTTAATCATTTTTTTCATTTATATTTCAAACATTTAGTAGGCTTGCCATTTTAATATACGTGATTGGAGATCTGCTTATTTGTAAATAGCCTTTTGCTCATTTGGAAAAATAAACCAGTGGAAATTTTTTTTTTTAAGTAGAATCAAGCTGCACATGGTGGTGCACACCTGTAATCCCAGGGGCTCCGGAGGCTGAGGCAGGAAGAGCTCAAGTTCAAAGCCAGCCTCAGCAATTTAGGTCCTAAACAACTCAGTGAGACCCTGTCTCTAAATAAAAATATAAAAAGAGCTAGGGATGTGGCTCAGTGGTTGAGTGCCCCTGAGTTCAATCTAAAATACCAAAACAAAAAAAAAAAAGTAGAATCAAGTCTGAATTAAACATTAAAAATAGGGGCTGGGGTTGTGGCTCAGCAGTAGGGTACTTACCTGGCACGTGTGAGGCCCTGGGTTCGATCCTCAGCACCACATAAAAATAAATAAAATAAAGATATTGTGTCCAACTACAACTAAAAAATATTTGAAAGAAAATAAAAAAACCCATTAGAAATAAATCAAAATGGCAGGAGATAAAAATCACCTCTCTATAATAACATTGAATGTACCTGATCAAAACTTTTCAATTAAAAGATATAGATTGGCAGATTGGGTAAAAAAAAAAGACCAAGCCAGGCACAGTGGTGCACACCTACAAGCTCAGTGACTAGAGAGGCTGACTCAGGAGGATTGAAAGTTTGAGGCCAGCCTCAGCAATTTAGTGAGGCCCTAAGCAACTTAGTGAGATCCTGTCTCCAAAAAACAAGGCGCGGGTGGGGGAGTGTGTGTGTGTGTGTGTGTGTGTGTGTGTGTGGAGAGACTAGGGTTGTGGCTCAGTGGTTAAGTACCTCAGTCTCAATAAATAAATAAATAAATAAATACGTACATATATACATACATAAATACATACATACAAAAAACAAGACCCAACAATATATTGTTTTCAAGAAACACAACTTAGAGACAAAGACATCTTCAAATTGAAGGTGAAAGGATGGGAAAAGCTATACCATGCAAATGGTACTTGTAAAGAAAAGGGGTAGTTATTCTCATATCAGACAAAGTGGACTTCAAGCCAAAATTAATCAGAAGAGATAATGAAGGTGACTTCACAGTGGTTAAGGGAATCATCAAAAAACAAGACATGGGCTGTAGCTGAAGCTCAGTGGTAAAGTGTTTGCCTTGCATGTGTGAGGTACTGGGTTTGATCCTCAGCATCACATAAAAATAAACAAAGATACTGTGTGTCCATCTACAACTAAAAAATATATTTTTTAAAAAAACAAGACATAATGATTATGAATATGTATGCACCAAAACAATGGTGCATCTACATACTAAAAACAAATGCTTCTAAATAGTAATAATCAAATATGATTATATGATAATATAATGATATCATATAACCATATGAGAATACTGGGTGACTTCAACACACCTCTCTTACCACTAAATAGATCATCCAGACATAAACTAAATAAACATTCTTCAGAACTAAAAAATACTATCAATCAAATGGAACCTCACAGACATCTATAGAATATTTCATCCACCAATGACTCAATTTACTTTCTTCTCAGCAGCACATGGAACATTTTCTAAAATGGATCATATTTTAGGTCACAAAGCAAATCTTAGCAAATACAAAAAAACAGAGATTCCTTGCATCCTATCAGATCATAATGGAATGAAATTAGAAGTCAGTGACAAAATAAAAAACAGAAACCACTCTAACATCTGCAGATTAAATAATACATTTTTGAATGATTAATGGGTAGCAGAAGAAATCAGGGGATAAATTAAGAAATACTTAATTTCTTTTTTATTTTATTTTATTTTTTTTAATTTTTTATTGTTGGTTGTTCAAAACATTACAAATTTCTTGATATATCATATTTCACACTTTGATTCAAGTGGGTTATGAACTCCCATTTTTACCCCATATACAGATTGCAGAATTACATCAGTTACACATCCATTGATTTACATATTGCCATACTAGTGTCTGTTGTGTTCTGCTGCCTTTCCTATCCTCTACTATCCCCCCTCCCCTCCCCTAGAAATACTTAATTTCAACACCAAAATCAGTAGAAGACAGGAAATAATTAAAATCAGAACCACAATTAATGAAATTAAGAATAAAAAAATAAAGGATTAATGAAGAGTTAGTATTTTGAAAGGATAAACAAAATTGATACACCCTTAGCCAAATTAACCAAAAGAAAGAGAAAGAAGACTGAAATGAACAAAATTCGAGGTAAAAAAAAATCACTATTTTGAAAATTTACACTCAAAAAGGCTAGAAAATCTTGAAGATATTGAGAAATTCCTAGACAAAAAATATGAGCTACCCAAAATGAACCATGAAGATATAGAAAACTTAAACAGATCAATATCAAGTAATGAAATGGAAGCAACTATCAAAAATCTTCCAACAAAGTAAAATCTAGGATCACATGGATTCTCAGCCAAGTGTTCCCAGTCCATCAAAGAATATAATATACTAATATCAATCTTCCCCAAATCATTCCATGAAATAGAAACGGAAGGAACACTTCCAATTCATTCAACAAAGCCAATATCACCTTGATACCAACACCAGATAAAGACCCATCAAGGAAAGAGAACTTTAGGGCAACATCCTTGATAAAAATAGATGCAAAAATTCATAAAATATTAGCAAACCATAAACAAAAACACATTTAAAAGATAGTGCATCATGATCAAGTGGGTTTCATCCCAGGGATGCAAGATTTGTTCAACATATAAAAATCAATAAATTTAGTTTACCCATAGAGTTCATAATAAGAATAACATGATTATCTCAATGGATGCAGAAAAAGCAGTTGACAAAGTACAGCACCCATTCATGTTTAAAGCACTAGAGGAAATAGGAACAGAAGGAACTTACCTCAACACTGTAAAGGATATATATGACAAACCCAAGGCCAACATAATAGTGAACTGAGAAAAAGTGAAAGCATTTCCTAAAAATTGAAAAGCAATGAAAGAAAGCATTTCTAAAAACTGTAACAAGACAAAGATGCCCACTCTCACCATTCCTTTTCAGCATAGTCCTTGAAACTCTAGCCAGAAAAATCAGGCAAAAAAAAAAAGGAAATTAAAGGAATATAAATAGGAAAAGAAAATGTCAGGGCTAGGGTTGTGGCTCAGTAGTAGAGTGCTCAATCCTCAGCACCACATAAAAATAAAATAAAGGTATTGTGTCCAACTACAACTAAAAACATTTTTTAAAAAAAGCTCAAATTATTTCTTTTTAAAATTATTTCTATTTATTTCCACATGATCCTATATTGAGAAGACCAAAAATTCTCTACCAGAGGACTTCTAGACCCAATAAACAAATTTAGCAAAGTAATAATTTGCCATAAAAATCAATGTCTCCCAGCACTGGGTTTGATCCTCAGCACCACATAAAAAAATATTTTTAAAAATGAATCTGCTAAAAATGAAATTAGAAAAACTATTCCATTCACAATAACCTCAAAAAAAAAAACAAAAACAAAAACAAAAGACTTGGAATTAATCTAACAAAGAGGTGAAGGACCTCTACAATGAAAACTATAGAACACCAAAGAAAGAAACTGAAGAAGACGGTAGAAGATAGGAAAACCTCCCATGTTCTTGGATAGGCAGACTTAATATTGTACAAATGGCCATGCTATCAAAATCTGTTTTACAGATTCAATGTAATCCCTACCAAAATACCAATGACATTCTCCACAGAACTAGAAAAAGCCGTTCTAAAATTCATTTGGAAAAATAAGAGGCCTAGAATAGCCAAAGGAATTCTGAAATTCTGAGCAAAAGAGAGCAATCCTGAAGTCATCACAACACTGGGACTCAAATTATACTACAGAGCTAGAGTAACAAAAAACAGCATGGTACTGGCACCAAAACAGACACAGAGACAAACCCACATAAATACAGGTATCTGATACTAGACAAAGGTGCCAAAAACAAAAAAGAATACAAATAATAATAAATTCTGTTGAGGATGTGGAGAAAGTGAACACTTTTACACTGTTGGTGGCATTGCGAATTAGTACAACCACTGTGGAAATCAGTATGGAGATTCTTCAAAAGACTAGGTATGGAATCATCATACAACCCAGCTATACCACTCATTAGTATTTATCCTAAAGAATTAAAGTCATCATACTACAATGATACATACATACCCAGCGCAATCCACAATAGCCAAACTATGGAACCAGCCTAGATATCCATCAGTGGATGAATGCATAAAGAAAATGTGGTATACATACACAATGGAGTTTTATTCAGTAGAAAAATAAAATTGTGTCATTTGCAGGAAAATCTATGAAACTAGACCATTCATTATGTTAAACAAAATAAACCAATCTGGGGGGGCAGTGCTGGGGTTGTGGCTCAGCAGTAGAACACTCGCCTCGCACGTGCAAGACCCTGGGTTCAATCCTCAGCACTACATTAAAAAAAAAACTAGATATGAAAAAGGAAAAGAAAGGTGGGGAGTGGATCTCTTGAAAATCAAAGGGAGATCAGTAGCGGAAGGAATCAGGGATCAGAGGGAGTGGGAAAGGGCTGGGGAATGATATTGGCCAAATTATAATGTAATATTGTGTGCACACACAAATATATAACAACAGATTCTATCATTATGTACAACTATAATGCATCAACAAAAATGTGGAAAGTGTGTAGGGGAGAAGAATGTTGGAGCTGGGGCTGTGACTCAATGGCAGAGTGTTTGCCTAGCACATGTGAGGCACTGGGTTCGATCCTTAGCACTACATTAAAAAAATAAACAAATATAATAAAGGCAGTCTGTCTCTATCCATAACTACAATTTTTTTTTAAAAAAGAATGTCTTGTGATATAACCGGTTACAAGCATGTATTAATGAAAGCTCTTTTTACATGAACTTCCTCATCTGCATTTTGTTGGAGTTTGACATAAGTGACTCCATTTTGGTATCAGCAACTTTCACAGGGTGTATTTCAAAGTATATAGTTTACTGTACATAGTTTAAGTAGATCTACATTGTTGTGGAGCCATCTCCAGAACTCTTTTTTAAAATATTTATTGTTTAGTTGTAGGTGGACATAATACCTTATTTTACTTATATGTGGTACTGAGGATTGAACCCAGTGCCTCACGCATGCTAGACAAGCACTCTACTTCTGAGTCACAATCCCAGCCCCTCCAGAGCTCTTTTTATCTTGCAAAAATTCATCTCTGTTCCTATTAATCATAACTCCTCATTCACCTCTTCCCCAAGCCCCTGGAAATCACCTATCACTCTTATCTTCTGTGCTTAGATTCCAGAGCCCTGCTGAAGTGAACCAGTGTCACAGTCCCACCTTCAAAATATAGTGTTTCTTCATTTATGATAGGGGTAGGTCCCAATAAACCCATCATTAATTTGAAAACATCATAAGTCCAAAAAGCATTTAATATAGCTAATGTACTAAACATTATAGCTTAGTAACACTGTTACTAAGTACACCAGAGCTATGGCCTGCTTCTGCTGCCTAACATCAGGGAGCATATCATATGGCATATCAGTAGCCAGAAAAAAAGATAAAAATTCAAAGTATGGTCTTTACTGAATGGACCATCCTAAAGTTGAAAAATTATAAAATGAACCACTGTAAGTTGGGGACTATCTGTATTTGAAACAAGAGACAAACTGAAACTACCTGAAGCCACAACCCAACCCACCTCCTTATTAGCTGGAAGATAAGCCTTGTGCCCTGGATACCTGACGAAAGTACAATCCCTTCCTGGGAGTGTTTATTATATACTTCAATCTCTATTTTTATTTTATATATAATATTTGGCATTCAATAGTATCTTATGAAACATATAAAGAAGCAGGAATTTGTGATCCATAATCAAGAGGGGGGAAAAAAATCAGTGGACTGAGGTGTTGAAATTAGCTGACTTTTTTCTTTCTTCCTTTCTTTTTTTGTACCAGGGATTGAACCCAGGGGCACTTAACCACTGAGTCACATACACAGCCTTTTTTTATATTTTATTTTGAGACAGGTTCTTGTTAAGTGTCTTAGGGTATCACTAAATTGCTGAGGCTGGCTTTGAACTCACGATCCCCCTGCCTTAGCCTCCTGAGCACCTAGTATTACAGGCATGCACCACAGTACCTGGTAAAGAGTTTTAAGTAACAATGATAATATGTTAAAAAAGTAAAAAAGATTAATGAAGCCTGGGTGAACAGATGGTAAATTTAGCAGAGAAATGGAAACTAAAAAAAAAAAATAGCCAAATAAAATTTCTAGAAATGAATCTACATATCCTAAATAAAGTATACCATTATGGGCTTAACAGCTATCTGAGTAAAACAGAAGAAATAATTAGTGAAGTGAAAACAGGACTGTAGGAAATACCCTAACTGAAGTGAATTGGATGTTGCCCAAATCCCTTTGGGATAAGGTCCTAACTATCCCCCCATCCCCCAACCTTCCAGCCTCACCTTATGCCACAGGGCCCGTAGGCAATTTCTCCGCAGAGTTGTGTGCTGCCATGCCAGATACTCATCCACACGGGCGCGGGTCTGCAGGTCCTGAGGGTACCAGTGGTCAGGGACCTTGTACTTGTGTGTCAGATAGAGCAGGATCGCCACACTGTGGGCATGGGGGGGTATATAAATGGGTGGGGGAAGTGCACTATGTTAGGGACTTAATACCCAGTACCTTCTTTGATCTTCCTGACAATCTGTTAAGCCTTATTTTCCAGAGAAGGAAGGCAGGCTTAGAAAGGTGAAGACTTGCCTCAGGGCATACAGCTCTTATTGGCAAAGCTGGGAGTCTTTCTGGGGCTAATACCCAACTTTTTCCTACCACCAGGGAAAATCTCACAACAGAGTATCCCTTTAAGGGTTCAGAGACAGTTTTTGATCAGAGGATCAGAGAGAGTTTCCTAGAGGGGGTGGCATCTAAATGAGCCTTGAGGAAACTCAGTCCTTTCTGGTTTGTGTATACTCTCATTCATTGTCATTCAGACCAGCCTCAGATTACCTGATCGTTCAAAAAGAACATCGTCATCCCTCTATTCTCTATGTCATTCTTTCTGTTAAGAATCAGCTTCTATCTAAACCAACCACCGTGGCTCAGCCCCTTAAAACCTTACTCAGGATGGCCATTATGGCGCATGCCTATAATCACAGTGGATCAGGAGGCTGAGGCAGGAGGATCATAAGTTCAAAGCTAGCTCAGTAACTAAGCAAGGCCCTAAGCAACTTAGCAAGACCTGTCTCAAAAAATAAAAAGGGTTGGAGATGTGGCTCAATGGTTAAGTGCCCCTGGGTTCAATCCCTGGTACCAAAATAAAAAACAAAACCTTACTCAGGAAACATTGGGTGCTCAGAATCCTAGAACAACAGAACAGGCATGGCCTCTAGTTTTTTTCTCCAACCCTGGTTTATGAGGGCTGTCATGGCATGGGGATGGGGATGATCCTTAAAGGACATTGAGAATGTATTCACTGGGGCTATAGGAAAGTTTTCAGGAACTTGGTGTAACCCAATGATTGGGTATCACAACCCAAAAGTAAGAAAATCTCTGTATCTGCCACTGGCTCATGTTCCCTATTAAGATTCCTGCATCCACACCCAAGCTTACTGCCTCAGTTTTTCTGAGCAAGATTCTTTGGTGCTTCTTCTGCTCCCAGATAATTGTTCAAGGCACCTCTGAGTGGGTCCCTATTAGTATGGACCTCTCCAGGGTGAAAGAAGAGAAATGGAGAAGTTGCTCTCTGCTCCTGGCTGGTACACAAGGGTGTTCAACTCTGAGCTGACACAAGGACTCAGGATACTAGGGGGCAGCAGAAAGGAAAGAATGGTGCTGGGAGAAAGCCAGAGGAATTCACTGGGGTGCATGCATCTCAAAATTTCAGAGATTCTGAAATCTCAAAATTCTAGGTTCTCCTTGCTTTGGAAAAAGTGACTCATGTGACAAAAGGGCAGAACTGGGAAAAGGCTTGGCATTTCCTAAAGAGGGAGATTTCAACTTCTTGGGATTTGCTGTGATATAAAACATCCACATGTATAGAGGGTCTCCCAGAAGGGAGACCTATAGGGAAGCTACAGTGGCTCCAGAGATGGAGACACTGGGTAATCCAGATACCACCAGGCCATCCTGATCTAAGATTGCCAGAGGGATGCCCCCATAGTGGGTGAAATGTCATCCACTCCTGCTCCAAATCTCTGTCCCAGGGATACTCTTGTCAACAAATAAGAGACAGGAACAGAAGTAAAGTAGGTACCTGGTTTTCCAACTGGAAAAGAAGACAGGTAGGGAGGGGTCTGGCTTCCAATCCCAACTCTCTGTGGGATATGGGGGCAAAGGAACCCTTCATCTCTAAGTTCTTTAGTTTCCTTGTCTATAACTATCTATGGGTTAGGACAGGATGTTCTGCTAAGGCCTGGCAGAAGCCCCAGGTTCCCAATTACCTCTCAGTCAAGATGAAGTCCCCATCCTTCAAGGCTGGTACCTTCTTCAGTGGGTTCACCTGGACAAAGGCATCACTGAGGTGCTGGCCTGTGGAGAGCCCATTATGACAGGGGTGGGAAGAGAAGGCTGAGCCTTCCATGTAGACTGGGCCCACTCCCTATGATGCTCAGGCCCAATTTCATGGTTCTTCTCCCCACTGGTCTGCTTTCCTGAATGGGACAAACTGGTGGGGGGCTTCAGTGGAAGGAGGGGGGTGGTTGTTCCAGCAGCTGGAACAAAATATACCTTGACATCCTTTGACAAGTCCTCACGGGCACTACCCCTGTCCAACCCCTCTCCACCCCCACAACAGAGCTCAATGTGCAGGGCATGATGTTTAGGCCTCCTCTTTTCACCATTGCCAGCTTCATAAACTCATGCTTAGAGTGTCCCTAAGCTGCAAGGGCAGGTCACCTGAGTGGATCTCTAACTTCCAACAGCACCTGTACCCCATAGTCTGACGAAACACTTTAAAAAATTGGCTTTTCTCTGCTATCTATTTACTTGTTATCAACCTTTATTGCCCATCTATGTTCCCTTGCTCCCCTTGACCTAGGCTCTAGGACTACAGAGCTGGCCCTGCTTTCAGGTTCTGGTGAAGCTGGGACAATCTAATTTCCTGCCCTACCCACAACTCCTGCAAGGTACGACCCAGTGTCCCTTGAGAACCTGGTCTCTGCATTGAGCTTGTTTTAATGGTTTCTGCTCCTTCAGACACTCTCAGAAAAGCTTCTAAGATCACTTAAGTCTATTGCTGCTCTGCCCCATGGCCCTCAGTGGTTCACCATTAACCCTGGATCAAGTGGAATCTCCTCAAAGCTACATTGGATCATCTTTTCCCTCCACCCTTGAGGCTACCCTCTTTCCTTCAGACTGTTCCTCCACTAAAGGCATCCTCCCCTCCTTTTCTGGTGGAAAAGGCACCTCTCCCTCTGCACCTCTATAATTGACAGCCAACTTGACATCCCCTTGTCCACCATGCCCTTTCCTTTGCCCTATACTCTGTAAAGGCAGTCCCTGAATAAGGCAAGTGGGCAATCCCCAGAGGAGGTTGGGTAGAAGTGAAGTTTCAGGCAGAGGGACAGGCTTGAAAAGGCACAAAGGCCAAAAGAGAGGCACCTGGTGTTGGGAGAACTCAGCCAGAAAGCTGAGCCAAATAGAGTCACCCTGCTTGACCACCCAACACCACCTATATTCTGCAGCCTCCTCCTCTTAGCACCCCACCTCTGCCAGATTTGAGCCTGAGTCTGTCAGCTATCCTTGAGGATCCCCTACAGGTCTGTAAGAGAAACAATCACCCCTGCTCAGGCTGCAGGTTTCACCAAGGGGGGGGGGGGGTCCTTCTCCCAGAACACCCCATGGGGGCAGTCTCCCTTGGCAGCAGGAAAGGGAGGCAGAGGACAAGATAAGTAAGGCAAAACAGGAGGAGCAGAAGAAGGAAGGGACAAAAGGGACCTCAATACACTGTGGGACAGTGTAAAGGACAGAGCTGGAAAGACAAGTTCCCAAAGCAATGCCTCCTCTTTGTGTTGTTGTCAGTCTCAGGACTGGGGACCACAAGGGAGGGACCTAACTACATTTGGTTCCCTAACCCCTCTCCTCTCTCAACCATCTATTTTCTGGAGGTCGTCTATCTTAAGGCCCAGGTCACACCTATTTCATGGGCGCCAGGCCTTTCAACTCCTCACCCTATCATTTGGCTTCAGCAGAGCCCCTATTGTCTATTCCATGGGACAGCAGAATTTAGGGGAGTCCCAAATCTTGGATCTCCTTGCTGGTTCTCCTTTCTCACAAGATTTCCAAAGCCAGATCAGCGATGTCCCCAGGAAGTGGGTGGCATGGGAAGTGGCCCTAAGCTTTTGTGCCTCCCAGAGTGACCCTTCCCTATCTCTCAGTTCCCAAAACCCCAGACCCGGGCCCACCCTTCAGCAGCTCCACGGTGCGCAGCTGGAAGGGGATGCCGTTCTTCTTAGCGAAGATGTACACAGCGCGGCAGGGCTGGGACAGCAGGTCCAGGTAGAGCTCCAGGCCCATGGCGGCGGCGGCGATGACCAGACTTGCAAGTCCCAGACACAGCAAAAACGTTGACGATAGATATTTAACCAGTCCGTGTTGGGCGGCTCCAGCGCTGGGGCACTTTGCCTTAGCAGCTGAGCCTGGCAGGGGTGAGTGGAGCGAGAGGGTGGGGGCGTGGTTGAGGGGAGGCGTGTCCTAGAGGTTGGTGCTCCAGGAACTCAGACCAGATAGATGCGCTGGAGCCGGCGAGGGAGGCACGAGGAGGTCCCAGTTTCAGTTCTTCTGTGACCGGTTTATTTGACTTAGCATAATGTCTTCAAAGTGCATCCTGTTGTAGTGTGTTTCAGAATTTTCCTATCATCCCCGTGTCCAAGATGGGAAAACCGAGGCATTGCGTGATGATAGATCCAGAAAGTCAGTCTCCAGACTCCATTCTCTTAGAACAACACTAGCAATCCTGGTGCCAGGAAGTGGCAAAGCTTCAGGCTTGTATTCAGCATTTTGTGGTCACTTGCCTCATTTGAATTGCACGTCTTGAAATTTGATTGTGTGTTCCTGTGCTAAAGCACTTCCCTCAATCACATTCCTGAGTGTCCTAGTCCTGTTTAAGCTGCTGATACGGCTGGTTATCAGAGTTCTGTTTCCTCACATGTAGAAGCATAACACTAGAGAAGCACGAGGAGGCAAACATATAAAGCAGGGTTTATTTAAAAATACACAGGGGCTGGGGTTATGGCTCAGCAGTAGAGCGCACGCCTAGCCCGTGTAAAGCGCTGGGTTCTATCCTCAGCACCACATTAAATAAATAAATAAAATAAAATAAAGTTATTAAAAAAAAAAAGGAGTAACACAGCTTCTCCCAGGAGTGGGAAGGGGGGGCCATCGCTGGTATCCTGGAATCCTAAGAAGTGAGGGTGTTCTGCCTCTTTTATGTATTGTTAGAACAAAGAGACTGGGCTGGATGCAATCGTCAAAGATCATTTCAGCCTTTATTCAGGAATGGGATTACACTACACCTACAGGAATGACCTACTTTCCTGGTGGAAAATGAGCCATTTGGACAAAGGAGGAACTGGGCTTTATAGGTTGTGGGTGATTTAGTGAGGGTGTCAGTCTGAGCATTCAGGAATTCAGTTCTTGGGCTGGAGGTCAGTGGCCAGCACCCTGAGAGGAGTTATCTTGGAAGAGATTAATGTTTCCTAGAGATTATCACTTCTAGATTAAATGAGACACTTTCTCCCCACCTGTGGTCAGCATCTGGGAAGGAGTTATCTTTGGAGAGAAGAAAGCCATACTTTGATGGCTTTCTTTTCTAGTTCCTTCTTCCAGGCCTCACTATCTTGTGATTTTTATTTTCATATTCAATATTATTCTAGACTTCCTTTGTTCTCCTGCCTTCCTCCTCCTTATCGCTCTCCTTCCTGCATACCTCACTAGGCCCAGGAGATGGCCCAGTGGGATGGCCAAAAAGTGAGAAGCAGATGAGCTAGAGGGGCCAAAGTGGAATGATCAGGGCAGGAAAGGGGCCCAGGGTGCATTGATTAACAGCTCCCTCTCTGCTCAGAATTTGCTTCATTAATAACTCTTGGGGAGGGGCAATACAGGCAAGGTTCTGAGGACATTAACATTTCAATCTCCCAGGGTGGTCCCCAACTTCCTGGACCCAAATTGGCCTTCATTCTCTCAACCTGACCCGAGTTGCCTACATACACCGACTGCCTGTCTTTAATTCTGCCTTCACTGCCATAACAAAATACTCTAGCCTGGGTAATTTGTAAATAATAGAAATTTGCTGCTCGAAGTTTTGGGGACTCGTAAGTCCAAAACCAAAGTTCCAGCAGATTCATTGTCTGATGAATGCTCGGATCTCTGCTTTAAAAATGGTACCTCATTTCTGTGTCCTCATATGGGGGGAGGAGCAAAGCAGCTCCTTTTAACCTCTTTTATAAAGGCACAAATTCCACTCATGAAAGGGGGGCCTTGACTTAATCACTTCCCAGAAGCCCCCCAATACCTTAGGTCTCCACATTAATTTGGAGGAGACAACAATATTCAAACCATAACCCTGGATTTCTTTTTTCCCCCTCTCTCAGTCTCAGTTTCTCCAACTATAGAGTGATGGGGAGGCTAAAGCCCTCCAGTACCTTTGCAAGTTCAGGACACTGGACTTAATTGTTGAGTCCCAACCTCAGTCCTACCCATTGCCACCCAAGTACCCTTGGGGCCTGCTACCCAGGTAGCCAAATGACATCAGTGTTATAGATGTTATCTTCTTAAAAAAGGTCCAACTAAAAACACATCAGGAGGAGCATGACATTTTCTACATAGTAAGGAAGATTTCTATAAAGAAAATGAATGTTGGTAATAATGGGAGGAGGTGGTACTGGGGATTGAACCCAGAAGTACTCAACAACAGAGCTATATCCCCAGTCTTGTTTGTTTTGAGACAGGGTCTCCCTAAGTTGCTCAGGTGCACCTTCATCTTGTGATTCTTCTGGCCTTGATCTCCTGAGAAGCTGGGATAAAAATGTGCACCATTGCACCCAGCAGTAATAACAATTTTTAAGTAAAAAAAAGTTTAAAATGAGAAATTTTGGTTTTCATGTTAAGGTTTTTAAAAGAGCTAGATACTCAGAGAAAACAATATTTTCCTTATTTTCACCTCTCAGTGTCTCTAGTAAGTGCTCCAGGAAAGAGCTATTTGGATCCTTGTCTAGAGTAGAACCAGTCTTCCAAATCCAAAACCTAATTTAGTTCAACTTTCAGGATTGATCATGATCTTAGGACTAGACTGAAATCAACTCATATGACACAGATTTACTAATTTATAGGGGGGGGAAAAAGCCATTTAGACAGGATACTGTTAACAATTGCTCAGTATAACCCAAACTAAGTAGCACCCTCTCAGCAGTGCAGTCTCCCAGAAAACTGGAGGACTCTGGGTAGGTAGAATGAGAGTAAAGGCAATCAGATGACCCACAAACCACCTTTGGGACACTTGAAAAGACCTTCTGTAGTACTTATCTATTGCAACATAAAAAATTATCACAAACTTAGTGGCTTAAGATACATACATTTAGCCAGGTGCAGTGGTGTATGCCTGGCTAATCCCAGCAGCTCAGGATGCTGAGGCAGGAGGATCATAAATTCAAAGCCAGCCTCAGCAACTTAGCAAGGCCTTAAGCATCTTGGGGATATCATGTTTCAAAATAAAAAATAAGAGCTGGGGAAGTCACTTAGTGGTTAAGTGCCCCTGGGTTCAATCCCTGGTACCAAAATAATAATAACAACAACATATATTTATTATTTCACACTTTCTTTGGGTCAGAGTTCTGGGTATAATTTAACTGGTTCTTCTGCAAGGCTGCAATAAAGGGGCCAGACCCCCCAAATTCATGAGATTGAAAAGAGCTGCCTATCCCCTCCCACCATCCAAGGCTCAACTGCAAAAAGATTCATCCCTAAACTCTCTCAGATTGTTGACATATATTATTTCTTTGCAGTACTGAAGTTGCCTACTGTCTGTTGGCTGGAGGCTAGCCTTAGCAACTTGCCATATGGACTTCCTAACATGATCATGCTTCAAAACCAGCAATGGAGACTCCAGAGCTAATAAACTAGGAAGATGGAGTCTAATACAACAGGGTATTCTCAGTAATCTCAAATGAAAACAGACAAGGTTTTCATAGGCCTGTAGCTCAGAAAGCCCTACACTTGGGTGAATGCTATTACCATCTTGAAATTCTTGATAATTTTTGGTTAAGTAGCTCCATGTTTTCATTTGTATTCAGTCCTGGCCAAGGAGTTCAGAGAGCTCATGAGGGTGGACAAGCATGATTTGCTCTGGGTGGTGATGTGGCCATCAATTAAGACAGGCTCCTGCCTCACCCTACCCAGTTACTGGTTTTAGCAAGAAATATTGGTGCCCTCAATTTCCTCAAAGAAGGGGGCATTTTCCCACCACTGAAAAGATAAGTGGCTTAGAACTTGCTACTCAAATTGTGGTACTCTGATGAGCTGCAGCTGCCTTGCCAATGAGTTTATTAGAAATGAATCTGGGGGTTGAGGTTGTAGCTCAGTGATAGAGGCTTGCATAGCATGTGTGAGGCACTGGGTTTGATTCACAGCACCGCATCTAAGTAAATAAAACAAAGGTCCATTGGCAACTAAAAAATATATATTTAAAAAATAAAGTAAGAAATAAAGAAATCTGAGGCCCTGAACTCCAGACCTGCTGAATCAGAGCCTGCCAAGAATCATGCTAAGGTGATTCAAATACACCTGAGTTTAAGAACCTGAGGTTACGGAGAGCCAACTCTGTTCCAGAGACTGTAAGGCATTTTTTTTTTCTTTGCTCTCTTCCCTTTTCCCTCAGGATTTCCTCTTCTCTGTGCGTCTGCTCTGGAAGTGCCTACAATATTTCAAGGGGGTTTCCGTTGCCAAATATCTGATTCCCCTAGTATTTCTGAGTTAGAGTCTGAGAGAATCTGCACCATTCTCCATCTGAGCTGCTCCTGCATGACAATTCTGCTCTGGTGGAAAGAAGTCACATGATATAAAACATGGCAGCTACCTTAACTCTAGATTTGGGCTAAGCAGTTCCAAAGAAGGTGTTGGAAACAAGTAGATCATGTTCTATTCCCTAGACCCATACTTGACTTCCAGTCACCAAGGTATGCTTTTATAGACCATATCATCTGTGACATAAGAGAGTTTTTCTTTCTCCTTCCAATTATACTCACTCATAGCTACCTGTCTAGCACCACCTCATAGTCCCTAGATTTATCAGCTTTAGAGCAAAAAATAGGCTCAGCACAGGGCACAAGGCTGTGTTAGGTCTTACCACAAAGACAGCCAAATGAAAAGACTTTTGTTTTTAATTTTAATCTTGAGGGAAGATGGTCAAATTCTACATTATAGAATAAAAAGAGCCATCATTCATGTTTTGCATTTTTGGAGGCTACTTCCATGTTCTTTTGGAATAAATATGTTCTTCATAGAATAAATATGAACAATGAAATCTTATTTTATTATTGTGATATAATTCACATATCACAATACTCACCCTTTCAAAACATACAATTCAGCATATTTTAGTATAGTCACAAAGTTATGTCA